AAGTTTTAGGCGGTATCACTCACCCCTACAGGCCAGGATATGTTTCATCCTTTTGAGTGAAGAGTGCCAATGTGTCCTGACATCCAATTTAAAATGATCTCGCAGCTTCGGCACTTGATTTGTCGTCTTTGTTCTTTTGCGACTCATTTTGACGGAAAACATCATCAAATTTGACACATGCATGAATCTACACCGATGATACCGGAGCCGTGTTCGGTGTTTTTGTCATTTTCTGACATGCAGCCTCATTTGTACGCTGCTCCTCGTCTTTCTACGGCATCTTTTTCCCCTCTGAAGCTCAGGCTGCAGCGCCGTGGAAACTGCAGCTTCACATTTTCAACATTTTGCCCCATCAGTTACGCCTCCTTACTTCTGGGGACAAATGAAGGGCATGTTGAATAATAGCGGACTCGCTCTGCTGCTTGATAGCGTTTGGTGGGGCTCAGATTGGGGAAGGATTTCAGTAATTCTCCTTTCCTGGGAATCAGCAGAAAAGAAGCTCCAGTGGAGACACGCAGACGAAAGGAGGGTAAAAATAGACTGAATAGCAATGAGGCAACTTTCCTCTAGCCTGGAGCCATCGTGAGTCAAAGTGGGGGTTGCTTCTCCTCATAAGGACCTCTCGCAGCTCCTAAAGGTTTAGGAGGGAATAATTTTACCAGATCTAATCCCAGTCCAGAGAGCTCTGACAGGCCTTAGCCCTGCTCCCCCTGGATAAGAGAAAGTGGGACGAGATTCTCACCCAGAGTGGGGGATGATGGAGCCTCCACCATGACCGTTTTCTCCTCCATTTTTCTGTCCACAGTTCGGGCAAGTCTTATGACGCTGAATTAATCTCCATTAAACAGATTCCCTCTGGTAAGACAGTGAGTCCAGATCTGTGAGGGATGATTGTAAAAATATCTCTGGGGACCTCTCCTCTCAGGATTAATTTAAACTTCACTCTTTGTGATAAACATCGGAGGGTCTGCGAGCTTCAGATTAGATCCATGATCAAGTTATGCCTGTGAAATATTGCATACATTTAGGCTGGTGATTTACAAAGATGGTAACCAGGACTCGTTGGAGGAAGATCTCCTTGACACTCCTGAGGAAAATTAGTTAACCCTGGCTCATAAAAAAATACTGTCAAATCCTGTAAAAACATAAAAACTGCACTCTGGATGCCCCACCAGAAAATTCCCCCTTTTTTAAAAGCCCCCTTGGTCTTCTTCTTGCAAAATTGTGATTAAAAAATCTCCCTGAATGTCCTTCCAGAGGATGCAGTTTTTAAAAAAAGCCCTTCAGATAACCACCCTACTAAATATTGCTTTAAAAACAACCTCTGAATACCCCATCGGTGGATGAAACTAAAAGAAGTGCTCTGTGGATTGCCAACCTGAGGATGGAAAGTAAAAAAATTACCCCTGAATGCCCTACCTGAGTACAAAATAAGAAAAAGCTGCCCTTTTAATGCCCACCACTGGATTAAATCTAAAAAAAAAACCACTCTCTAGATGCTTCACCTGAGGTTAAAATGTGAAAATGTATACTCAGGATTCCCCACCATACGGTGAAGTTGATTTTTAAAAAGTGCCATCTCTATGCCCAGCCAGAGATTTTTTTTTTTAAAAGACACACCCTGAGTATTCCTTGTGTAAAATTATGATTAAAAAAACCCTCTGAATGTCCTTCCAGAGTATGTGAAATTGTCCTTTGAATGCCCCACTATTAGCCATAATTTAAGAAATTACATCTGGACACCTCACCTATGGTGTTTAGGTGCTTAACTAGTGGATGAAACTAAAAAAGTGTCATCTGAATGCACCACCAGTAAATGAAACCTTAAAAAGTGCTCTCTGGTTGCCCCACCAAAAGATAGAATGTAAAAAAGTTCCCGCTGAGTGCCTAACCTAACCTAAAAAAAGTGCCATCTTGATGCCCAACAAAAGAGGTAAATGTCCAAATCAGTGCTCTGGATGCCCTACCAATGGTTTAAACTTGAAAAAGTGCCCTCTGGATGCCTCATTAATCAATAAAACTAAAATAAAATGTCTGTAGATTAATAAAACTGATGCCCCTTTAATGGTCTGAATGTAAAAAAAATGCCCTCAGGATGCCCTTCCAGCAGATAAATTGTGAATAGTGTGACAGTGGAATATCTGCCTTTCAGATCTTCTCCCTGAATATAAGATGTGGAAAATTTGCCGAGTATAACTGTCTTTGTGTGTGGATTTGTGTTTCCTTTCCCTGATTGTGTCTGTTTTTACTTTCATAGTATCTGGATTCGCAGTAGTTCCAGTATTTTGCAGAGTATTACCACCACTTCATGTACAGTAATTTACACTTTTGCATGTAGTTTAAGATTTGCAGCACTTCTGCATTTGCAGCAGGTTTCTTCTCCTAAGGATTGGTTGGCTCTTTGCATTTAACCAGCTCTCATAAATCTGCCACTGAAGCACAACCTGGCTCTTTCCTTGTAGTGTTTCTTTGCACGTCTACACAGTAAATCAATATAGTTTTAAATACTTTAGAGACAGATAAAATCACGTTCGTAGAAGCTACACGTGCTCCCTGCTGTGCCGTAAAGGCTCACGTCTTAGATGTATCGAACAACGATTCTGACCCGTTTTCTGATATCATGAGGAAAAGACAGCAGAGACAGCTTGCCTCTGTATGTCCAGAAGAAAAGTAATCCTTTCAGAAGCGACCTGAGCGAGCCTAGGAGAGAAAAAGAGAGAGAGAGAGACGGTGTGAGAGTGTGTGAGCAAGCTGTGCGGGACAATGAGTCTAAAGATGACTCATTTTACTGCTACACCAGCTGATGCCTGTTTGCTCGCTGCAGTCAGCCCTGTTATAAAACAGCACATCCTAGACACACAAACATCTTCACACTTCACACTGATACCACTCTCACTCTTAATGCTAAGGCCAGTACGGTCATGGTTTGTGTTATGTCTCCTGGTTCAATTACAGTGAGTGCAACAATTGACCGTGCCTGATTTAAAGTGACGGTATGTTTATATACCACTCTTCATAGAAGCAGAGACAGGAGGTGGCTAGAGTGGCCGCGGACATTCCAATAATCTGATTCACCAACCTAAAATCCCATACTATGATGGGCTATTTGCTTTGTAATATGTGGAACTTACATTAAAATCACTTATTTGCGACAATGTTCGACAGGCTTATACTTTAGGAGTGAATTTTGACGATCAAGTTGAGAATTAAGTTTAACAGATTTAAATGCTAACACTCTTTTAGGTCGAAAAACTCTAAAGGAAATTTACCTTTTTAGGGTTCTTTAATATTACAATACAATAAGGTACGTTATAGTATGATAGGATACTATACAGTATAGTATGATAGGACTCAATATGATGTGGGGTAATATGTAATGGCACTGTACGACACAAAATTATACTGTACGATAAATGATAAACCATTCAGTATGATACTATAAGATATGATACTATGGGATGTGACATGATACCGTATCATATGATGTAATTTGTTACAGTACAGTAAGACACAATATGATACAGTATGATACCGTACAATAACATGATATGATACAGTTCTGTACAGTATGATATGAATATTACAGTATGATAGATTGTGGTGTGACATGGTTCATTTAGATACAAGACGATAAGATAAAATACTAAAGACTACGATATATTACTGAATGATATGACAAAATACAAAAGGATATCACATTATAAAGTAACATATCATATGTTATTGTTCTGTATGAAATACTGCAGGCATGGTAGGATATGATATGATATGATAGGATGAGACACAGCACAGTATGATGAGATATGATAAAATATGATATGATCCTGTTTGATACATTGTAGTATTGATATGATACTGCATGTTAAATACTGTACAGTAGGGTACTGAAAAATACAATTCAGTATGTTAGGATATGATATGATACTTATTGATAAAATATGATTAGGTACAGAACAATAAAATACAGTGAAATACTGTATGATATAATACTGTATGATAAGGTTTGACATAATACAGTAAGGTAAGATGCAGTATGGTCAAAAGATATGATAAGATAGTAGACAGTACATTATGGTAGGGTATGATACTGTACTGTACATTACTACGTGTAATGATACAAGAAGACACGATACTGTATGATAGGATACTAAATGATACTGTAAATTATTATACTTTACACGTAAGGTAGGACGCAGTACAGTCAGTACTTAACTTTATCAAAAGATACAATAGGGTAGTAAACAGTATAGTATGGTAGGGTATGATACGGCACAGTACTACATGGAATGATACAGTTTGAGATATAGTCCTGTATGATAGGATATGATATGATAGAAAAGGACACAATATTACACCATTCAATACAGTCTGATACTGTATTTTAAATACTATACAGTAGAGTACTGTAGAATACAATTCTGTATGTTAGGACATGATATGATACTGAATGATACAATACGATTAGGTACAGTACATTACAATACCGCCCAATACTCTATGATATGATACTGTATGATGAAGTTTGATATAATACAGTAAGGTAAGATGCAGTACTGTCAAAAGATACGATAAGATAGTAGACAGTACAGTATGGTAGGGTATGATACTGTACAGTACTACGTGGAATGATAAAAGAAGACATGATACTGTATGATGTTATACTTTACAGTATGGTACAGTATGATATAATAGGATGTGATATGATACAGTATGATAGTGTCTACTGTCCTCTCTGGGTAATCTGTGTCGGCTGCACTCGCTCAATACAAGAGAAGTTAAGGTGACTGTGATCAGTGGAGATAACTCCTTTGTTTGGGCAAGGCCACAGATTTCAATCATGTCTGGGCTTTCCTACAAAATCCTGTACAAGAGGTCAGCAGGTCAGATGGAGGGAGGGGGAGAGGCAGAAGAGTGATTTACAGCATCCTCGACTTAGTCAAGGATGAATAAAAGGAGCTAGGGAGAAGGAAGGAAGGGTAGGAAATGAGGATTAAGGAGGCAAAAGGAGGGATGAGGAGACGGTTAAGACGGGAGAGAGGGAGCTCACACACACACACACGCACACACACCCTGACACACACACATAGATACAGAGGTGACCGTGACGTCAAACCGGAGCCCAGCTGACTCGCTCGCTCCGCCGTGCCTCGCGCTTTTCTGCACATCCACTCCACGCGGCTGCTGCTGCTGCACGCCCTTTAAACACCGAGGAGGTGGAGGAGGAGACGGCAAGGCAAAAGAAGGAGAAGAAGAGGAAGGAGAGGGGCTCATACAGTGAGGAGGAGGAGGAAGGAGGAAAGAGGCTCTTGTTGTCATCCTCGCGCGCGGCACGGGGACGTAAAGGACATCGTTGTTGTTTTTTTTTTTGGACACGTTCAATGGAGACGAGGAGAGGATGATTGTGACGGAGTATTGTGTGTCTTAGCATCACCTCCTCCCCTCTCCTCTCTCCTCTCCTCTCCTCTCCTCCTCCTTCCTTCCTTCCCTCCTGAGCCAGCCAGGTGTTGCATTCAAGCGCGAGCTCCTCGTGTGGATGGAGAGGCTCGAGCAGGAGGGCTGATCCATCCACGCTGCGGAGCTTACACACACACACACACACACACACACACACACACACACACACACACACACACACACACACACTCGACACTGATCTTGTCCAGCAACAACAAGTTGATGAATGTGATTTGGAGCAGGAGCGCCGCGGGTTCACGAGCGGATTCTATCAGCTGTTTTTTTGTTTTCTTCCTCTCGGACCTTAAACCGGATCTGTCTCTTTCTGTGGAGTCTCTTATCATCGCTGAAAACCAGGGATTTATCTCTACATTTGTGCTTTTTTGTGCTGCACTCGCTTAAAGAAGAGCATGTCTGAGTAGAAAAAAAACGGAACCAGCTGTGCCAACGACGCACACGCGAGATTTCAGGGTGAAATCTAAACATTTTGTTCCTGCTGTCCCCTCTCCTCTTTTTTTCTCTCTCTGCGCTGCTCGCATCAGGAGCGTCGTGTGATTATTTTGCGCGGACTGGCTCTCCGTGACGCCGCGGCACCCTGATGGTGCGGACGGTCGGCGCACGGTGGCTCGAGCTGCTGCTGCTTCTTGGACACGCCACCCGGTGATTTTCTCAGACACGGTGCACGCTGGTGGGGGTTGATGTGAGACATGCTTTCACACTCGAGTGGGATTTACGCGGTGATTTCTCAGCGGAATAACGATGACCTCCAACCGCGCTTTCCCCCGTGCCGTGCTCGCCGCAGCCCGGTTCGACGCGCAACGCTGGACGTCGTCTCCCCAGAATCGCTGAGTTAACTCACAACCCACCGGGAAGGGAAGGTGACATTAACGACACAAGAGAGACAGACTTTAGCGGCACAGCAGCGATGGAGCTGTCCGAGGTCCGGTGCTCCAGCGCGAGCGAGGAGCTGTACACCATCAACAAGACCCCGAGCAGCAGCAACAACAGCAACAGCAGCGGCAGCGGCGGCAGCGCGCGTCCCAAACGGCTGCTGTGGCAGAACGCGGTGCGGCACATCACGGAGCAGCGCTTCATCCACGAGCAGGGCGGAGGAGGGGTGAAGGGCATCGGGTCGGACGAGCCCTACGACCCGAGTCAGCAGGACGCGAGGAAGCACTCGGCGGGGCGGACTTCAGTGGGGGACCGGCACAACAACGGCGGGACCAAGGTGTTCCCAGAGCGCGCCAGCAGCGACTTGGGTTTTCTGCAGATCGACTGCGCGCCGAGCAACTCCGACTTCTTCCTGAACTGGGGCTACACGTACCGGGGCGTCATCTTCCCCACGCTGCGCAACGCCTTCAAGTCCCGCGACTTGGAGCGGCTGTACCAGCGCTACTTCCTGGGCCAGAGGCGCAAGTCCGTGGTGGTGATGAACATCCTGGACGTGGTGACCAAGATCACCCTGCTGGTGCTGCACCTCACGCTGGCCTCCTCTCCCATGGACCCCATTAAAGGGACTCTCCTCGGCTTCTTCACGGGCATCGAGGTCGTCATTTGTGCCTTAGTGGTGGTGCGGAAGGACACCACGTCGCACAGCTACCTGCAGTACAGCGGCGTGGTCACCTGGGTGGCCATGGCCACGCAGATCCTGGCGGCCGGGCTGGGCTACGGGCTGCTGGGAGACGGGGTGGGATACGTGCTGTTCACGCTGTTCGCCACCTACAGCATGCTGCCGCTGCCGCTCACCTGGGCCATCCTGGCGGGTCTGTTCACCTCCGGGCTCCACATCCTGGTCCAGATGCTCATCTCCCAGAGTGCGCAGCTCTCCACCAACCAGGTAAGACCTCACCTGTCCTCTCCTCCTTACATCCTCATCTCCTCTCATCCTTTCCTTCTTTCCTTCTTTGACCTTTATCTCCCCTCTTTACCCCACATCCTGCCTTTCCTTCTCTCTCTCTGTCATCTTCCTCTTGTTATCCTCTCTTGACCTCCTCTCCTTGCCTCCTCGTCTGTCTCCTTCTTCCTCCAATAACTCTAATCATTTCCTCGTCTCTCACCTCCTCTTTTTCCTATTTTTACCCCCTTCCTCCTTCCCCCTCTTTTTATCCACCTCCTTCCTCCTCTCACTAAATTTCCTGTTTCCTTCCTTAACCTTCCTCCCTTCTCTCCTCATCCACATTCCTTCACACTCCTGTTCTTTTGCACTTCTGTCCTCTATCGTCTCCTCCTCTCATCCTCCCTTCCTCCTCTCTTTTCTCACCCAAACCGGTTTTCTCCTCCCCCCCTCAAGTCTTCAGAGACTCTCTGATTTTTGTCTCACTCTTTGTCGTTGAACGTAAACAACAGGTTTGGATTTTCATGTTTACCTGAGCTGTTTACTGAATTAGAGTTGAAGGTTTGAGGATGAAGATGATGAAGATGAGGATGAGGAGGTTCAGTGTGAAAACAAACTGACTGTGACTGCTGAGGTTTCAGCACCAGGAGCTGTCCAACACACACTCACACACACACACACTTATAAACACACACACTGTCACACACACACTGAGGTCCTGAAATGCACCTCAGCTCCAAACAGGTTCAGCTCCCCCTACTGGAGAAAATAGTCATTAAAATCTGAGCAAAACATCCTTCTTCCTTCTTTCCTTTCTTCCTCTCCTTTACCATTTTGCTTCCTTCTTCCTTTCCTTACTTCTCTTCCTTTCCTCTTTCTTCCATTCTTACTTCTATCCCACTCATCCTCTTTCGTTTGTTTGTTTCATTCCCTTTCCCCCTCTTTCTTTTGTTCTTTTTCTGTCTTTCTCTCTTTCTATCTCCATTTTTTCTTCCTTTTTTTCTCTTCTTATTTTCTTCCTTCCTTCCTTATCTCTCATTCTGCTTCCTTCCTACCTCCATTCCCTAGTTTTTTGCCTTCTCCTCTTTGTCTTTCTTTCCTTCCCTCCTCCTTCCCTCCTTGCTTCATTCTTTCTTTCTTTCCTTGATCCCCCTTCCTTTGTACTGTCCTCTTTCCTCCTTCCCTCCTTTCTTCTTCTTTCGTTCCTTCCTCCTTTAACCTTCTTTTTGTCCATCCTCCTTCCCTCCTTGCTTCATTCTTTCTTCCTTTTCTTGATCCTACTTACTTTCTTCTTTTCTCCTTCCCTCTTTCCTTCTTTCTTTCTTCCTCTTTCGTTCCTTCCTCCATTTTTCTCTTTCTTCCTTTCTCAGACTACAGTTTGTTTAGATCATATAACAGGTGTGTGTAGATTTACTGATCTCAGCTGATCATATTTCTCCGAGAAATTAACAGTCAAAGCGAGACGCTGAAGTAAACCGAGTGAAGAGATAAAGTCAGAGTCTGTCTTTGATTCGCAGGTTTGAGCTCCTGTTTAGTCTGCAGATTCAGTAATGATGCTCACAAATGTACACAGTGTTCACAGCGCGGCGTTACAAACAAACAAAAGTCACATCTGACCGTGTCGGCTCATGAAAACGAAGCACGCGAGGCCGCTCTCAAAGACCGCCGTCTGAGTCATGACTTCTTCTCACGAGCCCGCTCGATGCAGCTCTGAGTCATGGCTGTGCAGACGAGCAGGAACCTCCGAAAATACTCGGAAACTCAGCGGGCTGCAGCACTGAAAACACACGGAGCGTGCTCAGTCGGGCTCATGCTGCCTGGGCTAAAGGGCGGGATGATGATCGGAACCCTGTCCGGCGTCTCCCAGCCTCACGCTGAATCCCATCATGCTTCACTCCTCTGTCTCAGCTGTGTGGCCGCAGAGAGAACTGTGGATGTGCTGCAGCTGACTGGACGCTGCGCTCTGTGTGTGTGTGTGTGTATATGTGTGTGTTTTGTTGAGTAGCTGAGGGGGGATTTCCCAGCTTCCCTCTGTGCGGTTCAGCTGTGTCAATCTGCTGGCAGAGAGCCTCTCGGGGGAAAGGTCAAAGGTCGAGTGTGCTGTTTGCTGCATGCTGGAGTCCGGCTCAGTCCGATCAGACTCTGAGAGCCGATCATTGCGGTGCTTTATGCAGATCAATACAGCTGCTGATATCCGTCAATGAGCCTGTAAAAGCTTTTCCATCGGCTGATCCGGACGCCAGCAGCGATTCAGTCCACCAGTCCAGTTCTTTACCGACTCCCCTGTTGGTAAAGAACTGAGTGGGGGAATCAGAGGGCCTGTAGCCGGTCCTGGTACAAACTGGGCCTTGGTCAGCCTCGGGCAGCGAGGAACAGAGCAGGAGGAGGAGGAGAGGAGATTCACTGGACTGTGAATTCCCCAGAACATGTCATGATCCCAGACACAACAGTGCCGGTTTTTCGGTCCACATGGAGCACCACATGCCCCCCAACCAGTTACCCAGCACCTCTTACACAACACATCAGAACACGACAACGACAGTTTGAATAATTAAAGGAGATGAATGTTGCTTCTCTAGTTATACCAACTTTAGTAACGACCGCACAATAGCAATACACAGCGGTCTGAGGAGCCATAAACAAACTTCAACCAAAACGCCACTCTATAGCCACAAATAATGCTCAGAACAGCACCTAACTTCATCAACAGGACATATAGGGTCACAGTCATAGTACTAGACACCAAACATCTTTTTAACTTTGACTCATTTCTTTATCAAAGAGACTAAACACAACTCACCTACTCTCTTCCAGCAGCCGCTTGTTTGTGGAGCTCAGGCCAGTCCATTATAGACTACAGCGGGGTGACGCAGCTCAAGGAAGAACATTTATGATCATTTCTTCATGGAAATGCAGTCAGACCGAGACGCTAAGATTCAGATTCAGACAACTTTATTCATCCTCGAAGGGCAATTCAGTTCACAGTAACCCGCCTTGTTGTTCAAACAACGATCAGGAACAGACAAATACCAGACATTCATAATAGCATATGGCCCAAACATTCCCCTGTCCGCACCACAAATCAGCAATAAATAAATAACTACATAATAAATACATGTGCCATGCGTTCAAAGTGGAAAGACTGAAAATGCAATTAAAAAAATAATGCGATAAAAAGAGTAAAATAAGAACGAAAACAATCCTGAGACCCTGATTCCAGCACCCCAAAATCCAACACAGGCCCTGGTCTCTACTTCTCAGTGTTTAGCAGCCTGATCGCTGAGGGGATAAATGAGTTAGAGTACCTATTGGAATACTTATGCAGTTGATGGACTCACCCATACAAACAAGCGGCTGCTGGAAGAGAGTAGGTGAGTTGTGTTTAGTCTCTTTTCTAAAGAAATGAGTCAAAGTTAGAAAGATGTTTGGTGTCTAGTACTTTGGCTGTGACCCTATATGTCCTGTTGATGAAGTTAGGTGCTGTTCTGAGCATTATTTGTGGCTATAGAGTGGCGTTTTGGTTGAGCCCGTGGCTCTCTGTATTGATATCATGCGGTTGTTACTAAAGTTGTTATAACTAGAGAAGTAAGAGGTCGGTAAAATTCATCTCTAGAGGGGTTGTCTAACTCGGAGTTACGGTGTGTTTGACACTAAATTAATTTTGTTTTTTCACTGACGACGCCCGTCTTTACGTTGATGATAATCACAGTAGATCTCTCCGTGAGTAAATAAGTGCTTTTTTGTTTCAGTCTTGAGCTCATTTATTAGCTTCTACTCACACTGCGATGAGTCTGAGTTCGTGCCGTTATTATGAGCATTAACTTGCTGAAAACTGCGGGCGGGTGGGGGGATTATTTTAGCATCGCGTGTTGAGTCGAGGCGACCTGAGAGCGCTCTGAGTTCAGGGCTTTACATGATCGGTCTTAATTCTGCTATGACTCACACTTGCTGTGCCGCGTTCGGGCGAAAGCAGCTGGACGGACTCGAAGTCAGAGAGGGGATTAGGACGGCTCATACGGCACTCCTGGGGCGAGGAGGACCGGGGGGACGCTGTGAAATTAAACATCCTCAACTCAAGCGGTGCTAATCTACTCTTATTAGCTGTGTTTGCAGAAGGATTGGGGGGGAACATATAACACACACATTAAAACCAGAGCGGGGAGACCAGGACTCTGACAGGCGGTTTAATTAGAGAGGAAAGTTTGGGAATTCTCAGACCTCTCAAAAACTGAGTTAGATTTAAAACTGAATAGAAACAGCCTTGGTGTGATTAAGTATTAGATTTTTTTCTTTTTTATTAGACAGGTAAGGGTCTCAGGAGGATCTTTAACAGACTCATTAAAGGTGGGGTTGGCAGGAATCAGTTAAAGAAGGCTTTTAATATCAGTCAATAGTTATTACTTATTGACGACATTTGGCAATATAACGATATCGCTGTGTTCTCTTATGTCTGTGTAGTCAATATTTCAACAACAAACACAAGCAACAAAACAAAGTAAATACCAGAGACTCTGGAGGAATAACAGACGCTTAAAAAGGAGGTAGACCGGACAAGAGCTAAAAAGCCGGGTCAACATAAACGATGGGGGGGCGCTTGGGGATCTTGGTGACCCTGTAACCTTTCTGCTGGACAGGTAAACCGCTTGAACAAAGTAAGACAAGTGTCTGTAACAGAAGTGTTTCTTGTCAAACGGACCTGCTGTAGCGTGTTGTAGCGCCATCGCTAAACTGTCCTCCCTCGGGTCCTGGACTATGTCACTTTATCCTAGTTATAGAAGTCCTGCAAACATTGTGTTTGCTGGTAGTCTGTTGGCATCTACAGTAGCACCAATGCTTTTGACTTTCACCTTGACTGGGCCCCATTTGTAATTAGTAAATAAGTATTTATCTGCAAACGAAGCAGCCTCAGTTTCAGTCACTGTTGAAAAGCAAATGCAGATCATTCTGGTTTTTGTTTACAGTTAAGTTATGGTTAAAATGGTGAGCATAAACAATCTTATTATGGCTGTTGTCTATTGTTAATTAACTTTTAAAGCTATTATCTTTGGTTCCATCTTGGATCAGCACAATAGGTCTCCTTTGAGTTAAATCCAACATGATAGACCCAAAGATCTTTTTTTAAATTCTTAATTGTTCAGTCTCACGTCTGTAGAAGTGGATTGATTACGTTATTAAGGCGAGGGCGGTTTGGTTTGGAGGAACTTTTCTCAAACAGTAGGCTCTCTCTCATCCCTCCACCCCCCTCTCTCTCTCTCCCTCCATCTCTGAGTCTTATTCCCCCTGTCAGACTCAGAATAACCTCCATCGATCCGCCTCTGTCTCTTTACAGCCTCTCCGTGCTCCTGCTGGCCCCACATCCTTTGTCCTCGGCCCCTCCAGTGCTTCGGTATTAGCTGCTGCGTTTCCTTGAAAACCTCGACTCCGATACAGTCACGTCCCATCTTCCCCCCTCTCTAAACAATGAGCTCATATTGACCCGTTTCTCTTTTTTCACGTCCTCCTGAAAAGACTCCAAATAGAAGTGACTGTGGTTCTGCGCCGGCTGCTGTATTGATGGCCGCTCTTTGTGCAGAAGTCATTAAGCCTTTTTATTTGCTGTTAAATGAACAGAGGGGTCAGTAAATAACCGAGTGGGCTCTGAGGAAGTGTGTGTTTTAGTGTTAGGTGTTGCTCTTGTGTTGCTAAGAGCATTATAAAACTGTCAATAGCACTGTATCTTTGTGCCTGTGTTCACTATCCTGTTCAAACACACACACTCACTCAGCAGGAGCTTCACACTCGCCGATCAGCCGCGCTTTGAGCTCGCCGCCGCTTCCCCTTTCAAGGTCAGACTCGGCTTACCTGAAGCGCCGTCTGCACCGAGGAGATAGAGGGGTGGAAAAGAGCAAAGTGGGGGTTTTTATTAAAGAGACAACGCTCATGCATTTTAATCTCCTGCATTTAGCATGCTCAGAGTGTTTACAAAGGCCGTGTTTTCCAAATCTATAAAGCTGCTTTTCCTCTGAGAAGCTCATGGGTGTTACTTTTTACACAGCTTTGCAGAGATAAAACAACCTGAACGTCTCAGGCTGTGTTAGCGCCTAAATATATCTTTGACACCTATCGAGAAGCTTTTATGAAATAACTATTTAAAAAAATAACGCATATTTATCTTGTACTGACAAAAAAACTAGCATTTCATTCAACATTTCCTTAAAACCCTTTGTTTTGGCTGCTCTTACATAGATTTACTTTTGACACAGCTTTGCAATGAGGGGGTCATCCCTAAGCGTTGTCCTAAAAAGGCGCCATAACCTGACATCGGGTCGTGACCTTTTGGCGAAATGACACGTTCGGCATCACTTGTGTATCTCATGTTTGTCTTGGTTTATCATGGTCCTCCGATGTTGTAACATTATGAAACTGTAGCTGTCTTGACACACCAAGCGCAAGTAAAATCATTTCCAAAGAAAATACAAAGACACTTTTAAACGCTCCTACTACTTTGGCGGCACGAATTGGGCAGGAGCTGAAAATGTCTCAACTTGAGCAGATTATTGTTAATCAGCACAATGATTGCTGGGTGACGTATTAAAACGGACGGTTGTTCACTGGTTTCTAAAATGGAGGACAAACTGATCGTGTCGGTGTGCGGGAGGAGGTCGGATTACCTGGTAAATTTTAAAAATCTTTGTCTATCACTTGATCCAGCCAATTGAACTGGCAGGAATAACCGTTAAACTTACCGTTGACGCACGAATGAAGTGAGTAAATAATATTTATTCACGTGTCTAGAGCTGCGCGAATTAAGTGAGTAGATGATTTTACTTGCGCTTGGTGTGAGCGCCCCATAACCCCCGATTTCCACTGCAACCAGAACGGCTGCGATTTTCGCCATACACCAATTCCTACAGGATACGTTTGTGGGACGAAATTCGTATCGGATTACGGACAGCAGGAATCGGAAGAATTCACAAGAACCCACGGATTCACGTGCAAATGCGCGATAACAAGTTGTCTTTAGCCACAGAGGCTAACCATATAACCATATAGACTATGTCCTTCCAGAGGAGGAAATCTACTTCTAGATTTGGTGTCATCGGGCTGAAATTCTGTCTAAAAACCTTTCACTTGTTCGTCTCCGCCCGTTTTCATGGCGTGAAATACGATCCTCCTGAAACACAGAGTGTTTTATTTTGAAAAGAGGCCGGATGTTTTATTTTGTGTCTGTGCCTGACTTCCTTTCCAGCACGGGTTAATCTGTGCTGAATTTATCCGGCATGGTCCGGCGTCTGGAAAAAATAGAACTTATGCGATCAGCTGCGGATCACGGCGATCCGCAGTGGAATGGAAAGAAGCCGGTGGAAATTGACACGTTAACTTGAATGGTTAAGATCAGCTACGATCGTCGGATACGGCCTTTTCGTAGCCGTTCTGGATGCAGTGGAAACTGGGGGTAATAGTGCCAGCTCCTCCTGCTGAGGTTTTGACTCACTAACAACCTGCTCACTAAACACTCTCCCTCACACATCAGAGAATATTTGCACGATTGGACCGTTCCCCTGCAGACTGTAGTCACTGGTTGCTATGCAGAGTTTCAGTCTGCAGACACAGGTTGATTCTGACACACTTCCTGTTATCTGGAGTCGTCGTGACCTTTAAAGTCTGACTGTCACTCAGATGACGGCTCACCTCGTTCCTCTGTGGGCAGCTGAGCGTCTCCAGACTGACTCAGCCTGATGAAAAATCCCACCTCAGGGAGGAGGGGAAACGGGTCTAAAAGGTGAAGAGGGACAAATCAGTGACTCCTCCCTTTACTTCTGCTCTTTCCGCCCTCCTACCCTCTCTTTCACCCTCCTCCTTCTCCTTCATCTCGGCGGTGTCATGCAATTGATCTTGGACAATCTTGCTGTTACCAGACACTGCACTCAGCCGCTCTTAATATTTAATGAAAGATCAGGGCCATCAACCACAGCAGCTTTTCAAGCTTTTAATGGTGGAGTTTTCCAGGCATGTTTTTTTTGCACTGTGACCTCCCAAGCATTTCCACAAATGGCAACAGGCGTAGAAGCTCTTACCGTACTTCTATCATGAAACGATCTCAAACTCAGGGCAGGAGATACTCGCATTTCTTACAGTTTGAAATCTGCAATGCCGTTCTTCAAAGTTGGTAACTCATAAGGTTAGGAAGTAGACCAGTAACTCCAGTAACTCCAGTCTCAGCGTCTGGAAACCTCCTAGAAAGTGATGCAACAGTTGTTTCAATTATCATATATAATCATATGCCACGAGTGAGCATTGTTGCGTGAGCTCTAACCGGCAGATTGGAGCACAAAGCAAGTGAACCAAGGAGACGTGAGTCACTTCTGATCCATAAGTGTACATGGGGATCAGTACCACTTGCTGCCAATAGGTGGCATGTTGACTATGAAGGAAATAAAGAAGTAGATGGAAGTCTGAAATCAAAACTGTGAAATCTGGAGGAGATTGGGTATTACACATAAACGTGTTTTCCCACAAGGTTCGGGTCGCCATCTTTTGAATTTGAACCATTCCGATTTCTCGTTTTGATTCCAGTTCCTAATGACTCTTGATTCCGATTCTTTTAAAAGGCTGAATTAAAAAAAATGCATGGTCTCAATTAGGTGGCTTCTTCTTCGTAGGTGTTTGGCGGCTATTTCTCTTGGTCGGGGGACTCGGCATTAAAACTTGGAATCATAATAAAAAAATTTAAACAGTTCCAGTAGAAACAAAATTTTAGTCCTTGTTCCCATCGATGCCTGAGACTCGATGCCCAAGCCTCCACAAGGTGGCGCTATGAACAAAGATGAAAAATACAATATAGATGTATTCTGGGGTAGATTTAGATAATGTAAGTGCAATCCTGAGCAGATGCTAAACTGTACGAAGGTTACATCAACTTCCTGTTTCACGACTAGTCGCTTAAGTACCGTATTTTTCTGACTTAAAATCCTTAAATTTTCTCAAAATTGACAGTGCACCTTAGAATCCAGCGCGCCTAATGTATGATTACTTTGTATGGTGTTGCTGCTAAATACAAAGCCTTAAAGGAAGCCAAACACAAGTTCGTAGAGTATCAGCAGCATCTAAGGAGTATAGAAATGTAAATAAGCTGTAAACTGTGTCGGACTCTTTTTAAGTTATAAAAACACTGATTTGTGAGGGAACTTTCTTTGGAGCGAGTTCTTGGATGTGGATTTAGCCGTAGGTCTCGGTTCCCTTTTCGACTCACTCAGCCCTGTTTAAATAAAAACCTCGATGTAGCTCAGAGCTCCCATAAACTGCTCTGAGGAGGTTTTGGCCTCGGTTCCTCGTTTGACATGGTGGTAATTCCTCGAGTTTGGTCATCAGAGAGTCCAGATGAACTTCTGTGTCTGTTTGGGAAACTGCAGCCCTCAGTCTGGGCACTAAACCCATCATTTGTTCTGGCTCATTTCCCCCTCTCCTGGCTCTGCTTCAGGCTCTTTAAACCTTTTTGTGGAGTTTTAGTGCCGGGAGCGTCCTGACCTGATAAATGACACTTTATTGAGTTTTATCGCACAATCACACCGTCATCCTCCTCCAGGGAAACAGAAGCTACTTTCCTCTCTCCTCCGTCTTCTCTAGAGTTTGTAACTTCTGTAAAGACGTCTCATCTTCGCGTCCAAACTCCCTGAATCGTGTCACTTTTGATGCGGCGTGTTCTGTGGCCAAAGTTACCTGCAAGTCATCCAGATTTTTTCTGCCAAGCGCTGACTCAACACACCCATCCTCCACCTCCTCCTCCTCCTCCTCCTTCTCTTCTATAATGGTTCATGCAGGCAGACATTCATCTCAATGAAAGCTCCTCTTTGTGTCCCTTTCACTGAACTGCTGACAGAACCTTATTACAGGTTATTGTATCACGGCTGGTAAATCTAAGACGGCAGAATGCACCCAGGTGAACTCTCAGCCGTGAATTCGGCGGACTCATTGAATTTTTTGGAGACTCAAGCGATATCCAGCAGGCGGAGTAAAATGTGCTTCATCAGGGCGCCTGTGAGGCATTTCTGCTGCACAGTCAGGAGCTTCTGATCCAGGCTTTGATATGAAGCTTAACAGGTACTTCAGGTGTGGAGTTTTTATACAGCGGGGAGATTTTAATTCCAACTTTGCCCCTCCTGCGATCAAAGAGATATGATAGGAACATACAAAGTGAGTCCCGGTCAAAACTAGGGATGGGAATTAATAAGATTTTATCGATATCGATGCCATTATCGATTCAATTCTTTAACGATTCCCTTATCAATGCCTTTCTTTGATTTAACTAAGCTTTTATTTTGAAGGGCATAAAATAACTGCTGGAATGCAAGTAATAAAACTGAAAGGAAACAGTTCAAAGCGCGATAGGAGGGTTTAAAAGTTCAGATTATTAACAACCTGAAGAGGCACAAGCTCTTTTTGGATGTAAAGGTTAGTTATGGGGTTCCACAGGGTTCACTGCTAGGACCACTGGTGTCATAAACAACAATTAAAACCTGCAAGTGGCAAAAAAGAGCACTCAGTTTGTCAATTAAAAAAAAAAGGTTGAATTCCCTCAAATTTTTATGTCTGAATTTCCTCCTTGAAGAACTTTCAGTACTTTGGTTTCAGATTCAGGATACGGGTAAATGCTGGTCCTGGGTTTTTGTCCTTGAAATGCATTTTTATGATTAACTGCTGATCTTCATTCACAATGCTGAGCAGTGCTGCTTGTCTGTAAAGTAAATGTACTCAGCTGTTGCTCACGACCACAGCAGCAGACGGATGGAAGATGGAGAGACACAGTGATGGTCCAGAAGGAAGTTGTTCAAAAGTAGAGCGAGTTATTCAACGGCTGAAGTGCTGATATGAAGATGATGGTTATTAAACCTGCAGAGATGAAGTTTCCTCTCTCAGGGGCGCCACTTTTAGTTTCTACAGCACTTTGAAACGCGACACTGTTTGTCCAGTCAGGGCCTGATAGCGTATTGAGCGAGGTTTAGAGCTCAGAGTGAGGATGATTTTCGGCTTACTCCTCACATTGAGGATGATTTCAGGCAGGATTACCCCCCCTGGCTGTAATCTATTCATAGCACCAGGCGGCAGCCAGCAGCACTCAGCGCTCTCCTCCGGGGTCAGCATTTAATGAGATTACTTTTGGATTACTGTTATCTGTTTGAAATGTGGAAAATCAGCAGGTACTCCGAAAAGTGACTGATAGGAGTTTGAATTCAATAAGTTCCCCGTAACTAAAAAACTCGTTTGAACTGAAGTCAGTGTTTGAAAGAGGAAATGTCCTTTAGAGAGGAGACACATTTTTCTTTTTCATTAAAAAAATTTCACCTTTGAATCATCAGTCATGATTTTTTTTGCCTTGAGAAGTTACCTTTGACCCTTTAGTGCCTGAAACCACAAATTACTGCCCGAAAATTCAATTTTTTTTGGAGCTGAAATGTTTATTTCATTTACTACTAAAACCAAAAAAAATCTAAGGCCACAAAAACACAATGTGGTCGATAACGCTGTAATGTGCATGCCAGGTCGCTAGGTGGCGCGTGTTGGTGTAACCGCGCTCCCATATAGACCAACAATGCATACGTAGAACAACTTCCGTTCTACTTCCTAGAAGCACGCAGCGTGAGCCGACGTGAGCCAGGACGTCACAGGTTCGAGTGTTTTCAGCATTTTTGTACTTTAGACGAAAGTGGGACTAGCAGAGTGTTTACGACATTTCCACTCTGGAGGGGGTTTTCACTTTGTTACATTTTCATCTCCTGAAAACGCAGTTGCCGTCTAAATGGACCCCCCTAAACGAAACTACATTTTTCTGTTTTCTACGGAGACCGTTTCCGTCTAAAAGTGGCCTGAGTGTCCTTAAAATTTGACATATATTTATTTTGTTTGATACATTAGATGTTTTTGGAAACTGATAAACCAAAATCAAACTGTCAAATCAAACCGAATTTGTTGATCATATTGATTTGACAAAAGTATATAAAAGTATTTATCAAATATGATACAAAAGGCAACAAAGAGCTACGAAATCTGACAGTTTTCTCACCTGAATATCAGATTTATTTACTCGTAAGAAGCAATTTAGGTTTTATTTTTTTTACTTAGATATCATAAAATAAGACATTTATCCAGAATTTTCACGTTAAAGTGGCTTAGAATGAGTCTAATAAGACATTTTGACAAAAAATGGGACAAAAACATGACATGGTTAAGTTTTTTTTAAGTGCATTTTAGCTGAATTGTCACTTAAACCAGAAAAATCACCTAAAAAAAACGCCATAAATCCGTCTCCGCCGTCTGTATTCCTGTCTGTCCTCTTTGTTTTTACTCTGCTGCAGTCTTGGGACTAACTGGACTTGAGACTTTTAACAGCTTGATATCTGACATATGTGCTGAACGTCTCGTGGGATAACCGGTCTTCATCGGTTACAGTATCACAGACCGTCTCTCCTCTCCCTCGGGCTGCTGAGCTCAAGCTGCTACCTGCCCTGAGGGACCCGTCACCCTGACAAGATCAGAGAACAACCTTCAGCTCGGGCTTTCAGAAACAAACATGACGGCACACTCTCCTGCTTCTGAACAAGATCGACTGAAGCTGTCACACTGTTTTGAAAGGATAGATCGGCTCAAATACAGAAATCAACGTCTCTAAGACCGTCTCGAAGTCTTTGTTTGGAGGTTGTGGTTCTGGCAGCACTTTCAATCAATCAATAAAAATGTTATTTATACAGCCCAAGATCACAACAATCGTTATCTCTCAGAGTTAGAAAGGTTTTTAATTGAATGACCCAAAGATGTCTACTCCTCTTAAAAGCAAACAAACATCATCCTTCCTAAATTGGGTTTTTTATTTTTATCGTTTGTGGTTTTATTTTTAAAGAGAGGTGAGGTCTCTCAGTTAGGCCTGTTGATTTTTTGACCTCTTTGACTCAGAATTTACATTTTTATTATCGGATAATGTTACATGTTTGCAAAATCAAATAATCCAACAGTGAGTCAGTAAATTAATAGCTTATTAAGTGATCAAATTAATAATACTTAAAAAAAATAAGTCTGTAAAAAAATAGGAAGGAAGTCAGTAAAAACAAAGATAAATGAATTAAAATATTGGTCTGTAAGTAAGAAAAAATAAACTATTTTTTACATTGACTAAATAATTTGTAAGTCAGTTAATGAATAATATATATATGATAATCAATATATCAGTCAGTAATGAAATAAATAAGTCAGTAAATAAAAAAGTGCTCAGATAAATTTGTTATTGAATTAATTAATGGATGTCAGTATATAAATAATATATAATATTTAATAAATGATAACATATAATATAATATATAAAATGGTAAATAAAAAATGAATGAGTCAGTAAATTAATTAAATTAATTCACTTTGTAAATAAATGAATAAATACTACAGTGAAGAAATAAATTAAGTAATCAAATAAATGAACAAATAAATCTATTAATAGATAAGTAAGAAAATTATTCAAAAAAGCTGATCGTCACAGCCAAAATTTTCATGTTTACAGACGCGTACTAAATACGATTCTTGACTGAACAGTCAAAAGAGTGATTTTTATGAATGAATGATTAGATTTGAAGGTTTTAATGTTACACATCTTGAATAGTTAGGGGCTGAATTAACGGACATGTCGGCCCTCCTCAGCTCCACCTTTATACCTCTTGTTAGGTTCACCAAAACTTAGGTTGACTTGGTATTTAAGTAAATCTGCAATGAATCAGCGTCAAACTCAGTTTCAGGGACCAGCGGTTGAGCATAATTTTCAATATTCATTCGTCTCAAACTGATTCTCAAGCACTGAAAAAGAGCAGAGGTCGCACGTAGCATAACACCGACTCGTTCTAGTGAGATTTAGAGAGGAGTTAACGAGCGATGTCAATAAATCAGCCTTGGAAAACGTAGAGAAACTCTGCTGCTGTGGGAAAGAAACCAAGGATACACAGCAGCAGACACTGCAGACTGAGCACATCAGCTCAATATGTGTATCAGCACTCAGTGGCTGTGAGCATTCAGGCAGCAATCCATCACACTTGTTTACATCCACGCAGAGAGCTCCCCACAACGGCTGCTTTCAGCTCCTCGCTCCGAGGAAGAAACAAGACGATACATCTATAAGGTGACATTAAAGAGCACGTATGCTGCGCGCACGCTGTTAGGAAATGTCAAGAGATTTTATTCTAAAGGCCACAACCAGGCCAAGTGCATGATGCTAGATCTGCCGTTTGACGTAGCAACAGTCTGATTGTGGATAGAAAACCTGAGCCGAGGCTTGAAACTTACTGAAGGGTTATCCGGGTATGAACAAGCTCCACCTCAACCAGACCAAACCAACCACAGAGCTGATCTCTACCTCCATTCACCCGTTTGAACAGAAACCATCTGAGTGACTTCACATCACTGGCTGTACTCTCCTGGTCGAGGTCAAACCTCTTATACAGCCAACAGCTTTTCCTTACAAACGCCTGCCCCTTCGTCCCCCAGGGTTCTATGCTCAGTCCCCTATTTTTAAGGGCCAATCCACTTCGTATCCCTCAGCCCTCGGTTTGGTGCGTTAACGTCAAGCGAATGGGTGTCCCAATTGTCCGTAAGGTTAAGGGAAAGGGCTAATGGCAAGGGGTACACAACTCTTAAAACAAAGACAAACCAGGACCTCACTTGAAAGTAAAGGGGTAAGATTTTGATTTTTATCATAAAGGCCCCTTTTTTAAAAAAAAATTGTATTAGATATTCAATTCTTTGCTACTCCATGTAAATATCTGTAATGTTTTGAATTGTTTGCGTTTTAAAATTGCGCTAACGTAGCTATAGCTATTGATAGCTACGCTGATGTCAGATTGCTCTTGCGAACAACAGCTAACAGCGGCTAAAAGGTAATAACAGTGGGTTTTTTTCCGACTTGTTTACCATCATTGTCGCATCAGCCTACAACACAGCCAGCAAGCGGCGAGGCATGATGACGTAGTGTGAATTAAGTGGTGTCTAGTTTCTTAGGAGCGTGTTTTCACCCCTTACCCTCAGCCGTCAAAACAGCAGGCCAAGAGGACAGGTTAAGAGAGATAATTGGAAATGGCCCTTTGTTCTCTACATGCTGTCTCTCACAGCCCTGTCACCCCCAATTTCCACCGCATCCAGAACGGCTACTAACAGGCCATATCCGCCGATCGTATCGTCGGACTCTGCAGCTGATCGCAAGAGTTCCATTTTTTCTGGACGCCAGAGCATGTCGGATAAATTCAGCACAAATTAACCCATGCTGGAAAGGAAGTCGGGCACAGACACAAAATAAAACATCCGGCTTCTTTTCAAAATATAACACAACGTGTTTTAGGGAGATCTTATTTCACACCATGCAAATGGGCGGAGACGAACAAGCGAAAGGTTTTTAGACGTCATTTCACCCTGATGACACCATGGATGAGGAGATGCTGATTCTAGAAGTCTAGAAGTAGATTTCCTCCTCTGGAAGGACACAATCTACTGCTTATATGGTTAGACTACGTGGCTAGAGACAACTTGATATCGCATGATTGCATGTGAATCCGTGGGTTCTTGTGAGTTCTTGTGAGTAGGAATTAGCGTACAGCAAAAATCGCTGCCGTTCCAGATTGGAGATCCTGGAAATCCCGGGTTATGCTGATGATGTCCAGGTTTATACCTCCACCAGACCTTCTTTCAAGGATGCTGAGTGTCTTAGAGTATCTTGAAAAGCACTACACTGATAAACTGTATTATAATTGTTATCATTATTGATGTATGCATGTTGTAAAGCTGGCTCGTACTAGTTTGGTGCACATTTGCAAATCCACCCGCTGCAGCAGCCTCTCTGTTTAAAATATAAGTTCAGACACTGCATACTAAAAATATTCAATCTCCAGCACGCACACACAGTGACCCAGAGGAGGTGTGAAGTAAACCCAGCGCTCCGTCTGTGCAGAAACATATTGGTGAACATCTCAGTTTTCATGTCTGCTTGTTGGAAATGAGTTCCTGTAACACTCACATCTTCCAGCAGACGCTCACTCCTCGTCTCAGACTTTGGGCCAATTTGCACGTCGAGTCTGGAAAAGAAAAAAAAAACAGCCGGCTGTGAATGTGGAGGTGCCAAGAAGAGCTGTTTTCAGACTGACATGAAGACGTGTCTGTGATTTGACTTTTAAATCAGCCTCTCGCACCAATGATGCTGATAGACTCGGAGTCCTGCTGAACATGTGGCGTTAGAACGACCAATAAATCACTGCAGGGTTAGTGCTGAGACAGCTGGTCCGGATCAAAACAAACACGGTTATTGTTCTGCTGCTTTTTCACAGTAATTCACATTTTTATGATCCACTCTGGGCTTCTTTATTCCTGAAAACACAAGGAGGGTGGTAGCAGTACTTTCAAGACCCCTGAACAAACATTTATAAAGATTTTTAACATCTATGTTTTTGACACGTTAAGTTGTAGCCATATTTTACAACAGATAACTTTAGGAAATTGGGTTTCAGTTGCTCGGGCTTGTTTCTGTCACAAGGCAGGGTCGAACAAAAGGAGCCGAGTGCAGAAGGAAGGATTTATTAAAGCAAAATTAAACAAGGAAAACTCACTCTGAAAATGTCAGAGTGAAAAATTCAAAGGAAAAAAACACAAGGAGGAAACAAAAACTCAGAAGGAAATCAACTGGGGATACAAACACACACTGACATTCGGTACGTTTACATGACACCTGAGATCTGATTAAGACACCTAGATAATGCGATTGAATTATCTGTAACCAGCGTAGTCGGAGTATAATTGGACAATGCGCCGCGCCCCCGTAACCCCGGAGCAAAAACACCAAACAAGAGGAGCAGTGTGCGCCTCATCTGTAGCAAAAGTAGCGCATCCATTAAACAACGCTGTACGATGCTCCATCTTGTTGCTCAAAAATACCCAGCATAGGGATGGGAATTGATAAGATCTTATTGATAACGATGCCATTATTGATTCTTCTTATTGATTCAATTCTTTCGTGATTCCCTTACCAATGCCTTTCTTTGATTTAAAAACAAAATTTTCACTATTAACTCTAAATTTTATTGAGTCTCTGATAACAGAGAAAGATGAATGCCACCTTCAGTGAGAAACTATAAATAATTAACTGGCAAACTATTTGTACAGCGTTGGTATCAAGTCAAATACATCATACTACTCAAACGTCACGATGTCTGTCTTAGTAAATTCAAGCCACGCTTCACATTGTTTCTGCCTACTTTTCGTACCATGCGCCTTACAATCCTGCACACCTTATGTCTGATTACTTGTTGTGGTTACTGACAGATTTTATTGTGCTCAAAAATCTGTCAAAATGTGTAAGTACGACTTCGGTGAGCAACAAAGCCGCTCCGCTCAACGGATATTCAGAGCATTACGGTGCGCTGTGTCACTACCTGATCAGCCCTGTAACACGACCCCTGAGCGGTCTACAAGACTGCGTGACTGTGATGTTGAAACTAGAAGTGCATTCATGTAAGTTAGCCCGGGTACAGAGTACGGGTTAGCAACAATAAACCAATCAATGCTTAATGCGTCAATCCAGTGAACCTTATGTGTGAACATAGACACGTTCATTCACGTTGCGCCGTACAATCCGGTGCACCTTATTGCCTGAAAAATACGGTAGACTAACAAGAACATATCATGATAGTTCCACTCTGTTTTTAACCTAATTTCACCATTAAATCTTGTTTTGTTTTGTTTTGTTTTTTCAAACATTTTAATGAGTCTCTGCAGGGATTGACTCACATTTAGAGAGCGCCCCAGTGGCCACTTAAGGAACTGCAGTTTTTTTTTTACATTTTCTGCACTGATTTAAATATCGGACTGACTACAAACACAGAGGTACTGTGTGGAGCTTCTGGCCACAGCTCCTGGTCTGGTCCAGGTCCTAGAGGAGGTTTATGACACTCAGATCAGGGTAACTCTGGTTACATAAGCTTGAATCTTGTTCTAACAGTTTGGACTGCCGGGATAAACGCTGACAGTTTGTCCGGGGAGAGAAAACACAGAGCGTTAGTTTGTTTTTCTGTGGCGCTGTCAGCAAACATCAGCGATGTTGCAGTGGGTTATGAATTATTAATGGCTTCTGTCCATGTCATGTTAAATTTTGGATTGTGATCTCCTCTGACAGCCGGCACCGACTGTGGAATATCTTCATGTAGTCGTCAGGAGAAAGCCGAGCGTGTGAAGCCGAGTTAATCATTCCCCGTCCTCCTCTGTAGCTCCGAGCCGCAGAATAAATCCCTCCGCTTGGCAGAGGAGTTTCTGCCGCTGCGGGGGAGTTTAGCTCCTCTGCGTTAGCCAGCTGCTCCTCTAACATGTTTGCACACAGCTGTCATCGGATACTAAGAGCAGGTTGTAGAGCGGTGGCCTAGCAGCTCCAAGGACCGACTCTGCTGCTCTGACTTAGTTTACTTTAGAGTACTCTGCAAAGACTAAAAATAGGAGCTCGCACTCTTTGAGCGAAGGTAACTGATAGCTCTGAAATATTGATGCTGGCTGATCTGGCTCTTTGCCCGCTCTTTCCAAATCATTCATGGTGTCAAAAGGTGACACTTGGTAATTATCCAGCTGGTGTAACGAGCTCGAAAAAGTTTCCTTTGACAACCTGAAAAGATGGAGTTACTGAAGTTTAGAGGACGACATTTTCACGTCTGACTCATTTTCAGGGTCACTTGGGAAGTTTTATTGTAGTACAACCTTCTTACTTGGCGAGGGATCGGGCTTCCTGGACATTATTCTGAAGTTTCCATGATTTCTCCAGTTTTTCTGAAGTTGTTTGTTCGTTTTAATCTCTTCAAACAGTTTTCAAAAGTTGATAGTCTTGGCTCATGAGTAGATCAACAACCAAAAGCTTGAGAATATGAACAAGTTAAAGTGATTTTGGACTGTAATCTTTACGGTCCTGATGAGGCCTGTACATCCCTGATCATTTGTAGGGAAGTGACGGAAGTTTTGCTAATTTATGGCAGATAAAACCAGGTGTAAGTCTGCGAGATGATGACCGGGTCCAACAAGTTGAGAGAGTACCTGGACGGACCTTTGTTAGGGTCCTCTTTTACCCAGACATTTCCTCATTTTTGGTAGCTGTCCGGCGTTGTCCCGGGGAGTTTACAAAATCCTTCAAATGTTCAGGGTTTTGTAAAGAAGTTTTAAATTTTTGTCCCGTGGACTAACTGAGTTAGAGGTGTGTAAAAAACACTTGATCCGACCCGAAATACTCTCCAAATTAACCACACATGACTCTGTGACTCTGCCCCGTGTGGTCGAGTCCTTTTTGGAGGATTCAGAATATGGTCGCCCTACCTTTGTGGACATAAAAGTTTTAGGACTGGACTCCGGCATGTCTTCCTCTTCAGTTTGCAATACTTTTTACTGTCCAGTCAGCAAAAATAAGAGTATTTAGTGTTATCTGCATCAACATGCTCCCTCGCTCATCTCTTCAGTCAGTGAAACAACGGTGGCCTTTGAGGACAAAAAGCTCCGGTGATTCATGATAAGGATGATCCAATTTGTCAAGTTTCATTGTGCACAACAACAATTACTCCATGCAGAAACGTACACATCACTAGTTTGTCCATTCTGTGTTACCGTAGAAACACGCAGCCTTAGATAAAGACACGATCGCCTGGCTACGCGCTTGGTGGCATGTCACATGAAAGGTAGGGTAGGCAGGATCTGAGGAAGTGTCCGTTTCCTGCCTACCCTACCTTTAATGTTTGTTATGCAAACTAGAATCTGAACAGGGTGAGCAGGACCTAAAGACGAGGCAGCGGTTCAGCGGATCCTGATCAGTCCCGTTTTGTAGTCGACTCACTTTAAAACATAAATGAGACAAAACTCGCCATCATCAGCTGTTTTTGTTGCGTGGATTGGAGGACAGGAAGTCGCCCGCTCTCCTCTCTATAAAAGTGTGTTTTCATTCTCACAGTCTGGCGCTCTCTTGAATCAAACTGAAAACATTATGATAATCATTCCTGTTATTAACCCGTCCTCATTATCCTCCACGTAGCTGTTTGTAATCTGCTCCTCTTCTGACCCGCTGCTCCTAATGAGACCTTGTTAAAAACATTCACATCACTGGCATTTTCCTCTAATGAGTGCACCGGCGCTCTCCAGTCCCGTGCCCTTTATGGCGAAGCCGGGCGCTGCTCTTTTCCAAAACAACATGGCCGCCGTCACAGCCACCGCAGCTGCTACAACTGAGGCGGCTTACGGGGTTTAATTCTGGGTCTCAGTGGGAGGAGCAGAGGCCTTCAGGGGGGGCGACTTAGAAATTGAATCAGTGCTGATGGCGTCCTGGGAGAGAGTCACAATAACACCCTGTGGAGCAGGGGGAGGCTCCTCAGCTCAGTGATACACTGAAGAACCTCAGGGGGGAGGCCTGTGAGAAACACGGCTGAGTGTTTGTGTGTGTTTGTGTGTCTGAGTGTGCGGCTTAAAGGAAAAAACACTCCTACGCGTGTTTAGATTTACCTCTTCATGGTTACAGCGAGGAGGCGGCCACCTACGCTAAATTATGAGGCAAAATCAGGCGAATGGAGGAACATTCTGAGTTTGGTCGTTTTTTATGCTGATGATTTTATTGAAAATGAAAGTAAACGTGTGATAAAAGCTCAGCTAAATTCCTCCTGAACAAGTTCCAGACGGGGGCTTTATCGTTTTTTTGCAGATTTGACATGAACAGCTGGGTATCGTCTGCATAGTGAGGAATAAGAATCCATTAGGGAGCCTATGAATGCACCAAGTAAGGTGGCAGTGGAGTTGAGTATAGCTACAGTCTTAAAGGGATATTCCGGTATAAAATTACGTTAGGGTCAAACACACCTTAATACCAAGTTAGACACCCCCTCGGGAGATGAATGTTGCCGACCGCTTGCTTCTCTAGTTATACCAACTTTAGTAGAGAAGCAAGCGGTCGACAACATTCATCTCTCGAGGGGGTGTCTAACTCGAATATCCCTTTAAGCTCTTTCATCTCATACACTCTTGTTTTATATCTGGGCATGTCCAACAGTAAGTTCACAGGGTCAAACATACGAATTAGCGAAGTATTTCCAAGAGTTTTGAGTTTGCTTGTGATTTATCAAAAGTTTATTTGTAGAGAGTTTAACTGATTATTTGAGGAAATATTTGATGACTTTGCAGTTTGAAACAACATCAGACATGTATCAGAACTCAGGGGGGCACCAGGTGATGGTTTTACAGTGTTTTTAAAAGAAGGGAGGACAAACTGCGACTCTAGAGGCAGCGAGTTTGTCCTTGGTGTCTCCAGATATTTGAGGATTTATGAATAAACAGTTCTGAATGGCGTACCCTTCTCTTTAGTCAACAAGGACACCAAAGCAGGGCAGCTAAAGAGGCCGACAGGCAGAGGCGAGGAGTGCCTCTATAAAGAGTCGACTCACCCTGTGGAGAGCACCGGGAGTCAGAAACCCCCTCTTCATGCTCTCTTCCCCCTCTCCTGTTAGGTGCTCTCAGTGCAGCAATCTCTCCGCAGAAACTGTAATCGAGCACTTCAGAGCTTTTCTCTCAGCCAGAGAGGACGCCAAACGGTCTGTTTGTGGTTTTTATCTGCTCTGACACAATCCAGCCTCCAGTGTTGGCAGAGCAACACTTTGTCCCCTTAAAAAAAGAAACTCAGCGACAGACAGGGAGCGCCGAAAAAGACTTTAAGTTATGAAATCAGCTTCATAAGCTGCAAACTCAGACATCTTTGCTTTTAACTCAGGAGTAAACAGTCGAAAGAGCGGGCTGCTCAAAAAATTTAAAATGTTGACTACACAGACATAACAAAACACAGCGATATAGTTATATTCCCAAATGTTATTAATAACTAATAACTATTGACTCAGATTCCTGCCGACCCCACCTTCAAACACTACAGGAGCTAACCAATGCTAGCCGCCTAGCTTCCTAGTACCTCCATGTTTGACCTCACACATGATGATGTCTGATTGTAATCATGATTTTAAGTTGGGCTGGCTTCGATTGTCCTCCGTACAGATCCGGAGGAAGAAAAATCGCTCTAACGCCCCTCACACGCCAGATAATCTGGCAGGATAATCTTTAAATCTGTCTAATAATCCGGCCTTTGCTGACTTTTGTTGTAAGGGGGGAATCTGGTCCAAAATTAGAGGGATTTTCTTGTAGTGCGCTCAAACTGAGTCTTGGTGCAGTTTTATTGAGATGGTGAATTCTTGTGCAGCTGGGTTTCAGTATTTACATTTGTGGTCTTTGCTGCACATCCTTCATAAGTGTGTTTACGGTTGTCTCAAGAGGAGTTTAGACCTTGTGAGGTCAAAATGGTTTTAAGCCGTTATGACCTTGAGATAGCCATCCATGATCTGATCAGGTCAAGATTAAGACTATTGTAATGCACTTTATGTTGGCATCTCCCAATCTTCTCTTAGTCGCCTTCAAAATGCTGCTGCCCGTCTTTTAACTAACACTAACCCATGTGAGCACATCACTCCTGTTCTTACCTCCCTTCATTGGCTTCCCGTCTCTTTTAGGATTGATTTTAAACTTTGAATGTTTGTGTTTAAAGCTCTTAACGGCCTCGCCTTCATCTATTTAACTGAACTTTTAACCGTTCAGGAGCTCTGAGGTCGTCACATCAACTCCTGCTGGGGGTGTTCAGGTCAAAACACAAACACTGGGGTGACCGAGACGTTTCATTCGCTGGTCCGAGGGTCTAGAATAAGCTCCCCACCAAAATGGGATTAATTCTGACCGGGGCTTTTTTAAATCTCGATTGAAAACATATTTATTTATGATGGCTTTTAATACCCAGTACACGGTGACACTTTTCTGTTTTTATTGCTTTTTATTGATTCATTTTTAGTATGTATAATAAAGCACTTTGGTTCACCGAAAGGGTTGTTATAAAAGGCTGTATAAATAAAGAATATTTACATTTACATTAACATTTGCATTTGGATATATCCAATGAAAGCTCTTGTGCTTGGTTTACTTCCATTTTCAGCTCTCTGAGTGAATTTTTACAGCCAAACTCATAATAACAGGGACCTGGGATAGTAAACAAATCAAATCACATATATTTATGCGTATTTGATCATGTTAGTTGCAGCATTTTCAGGTTTTATACTCCCAAACAAAGATCCAGGATTTCTGAGAGCCTGTTTTTGCCTCTAAAGGTCATAAAGCTGGAAACGTCCTCACCTTGGAGGGTAGTCAGGATTTATCGATCAAAAACCTTATCTGGCACCTGCAGACGTGGTGGAGTCGGCTCTCTTTATGTCTTTTTAAGGGACTATAAAAGCTGTCCGCGGGGACGTCTTTAATGGAGACACAGAGACATGGTGGATGGGAGCAGATGCTCAGGACCTGTCCAGGCCTGTCTGAGTCTGTAATCACTCCCTGTAGACCCACATGCTCCCAGTTTGTGTTTGTGTGTGGTTTTCCTCAGCCAACCTGTGTGAACACTTGCATCATGTAAAGCTGCAGAAGAAGAAGAAGAAGAAGGGAGGAGGAGGAGGAGGAGGAGGAAGCTGGCTGGGCGATGGCAGCGGCGGATGACGACGTGTGCAGCTGAGCAGGACCGTGGCGTTGCCGAGTGTTGCATCATCAGCTCGTCTTCCTGACTGCTCTTACTTCGCACAATGACGGCTGATGAAAACCTTCAGACTTCATAAAGTCACCTTTCACCAGTTTTTCTGAGTCACTTATGAGGTTTACAAAAGCTTTACATCCAAACTCGTACTTTGAAGCGCTTCGACTCTTCGCCTCCTCGGTCGAGCCGTTTCAGCGTCACTCCTCGGATGTTGATCGCTGACCTGGTTTATCCTTTTGTCTCAGCGCTTTTGTCTCCTCCGGTTTCAGATGTTCTCGTCTCTTTTGAGTGGACGTCTTGACTCACTGACTTCTCATAGTCGTAGATGACTAACTAATGATGTCCCGCTTTTTAAATTTTTAATGGCATCTTGATACACTTTTGCAGTTTGGGTCATTGCACATTTTTTTAGTTGGGACTGTCTACTCTTGTAAATTTAATCTGTATTCATTTACCGTTAAAGAGACGGAGTGTTTTGATTGGTTGTTTCAGGAGGAAAGGCAGCTCTTTTATAAGGCACTAGATGATTAAATGGCGTTAAAGGGATATTTTTGTATTTTTGAGTATTATTTTCGAGTTGCATGTCACAAAAAGGTGTGCCAGTCAGTCTGGCCCCTTTGATTAGACAGTGCTAAGAGAACAGGTTGACGTACCTGTCCTGAAGTCCTGGTTGACGATCTGAGAAGCAGTCGAAAAAACTGAGCCATTGAGGCAGATTTGAAAAAAGCGTCCCATCCCACACACATACAAACCTCTCCCCTCTGTGTTCCACGATAACTCCCCCCCTGAACCTGTATCACCCTCCCCATGACACACCCCCTCTGGCAGAGCAAGAAACTGGTCGGCAGAAGATCCTACGCTAGCTTCCGCTCAGAGCTCCGAGGAGGGCTGGGAGAGTAGGAGGGGACGAGTTGGAACAACAGGAGAGGGGTGTGTCGAATATAGTGCTGTAATTGGATGAAGAGGCGGAGCAGGAGATTGACCAATAGGAGCTGTCCGGGATGGATGGCTCTCATTGGTCAATGTTTTTGAAGCCCTGCACCTGCTAGAGTGAACGTTTTTTTTCCGTTCTTTTTTCTCTTCACTTTGTGGAGATCGCACTATAGGACCATGATCACCATAGAAACGAGGTTCATACTAATTACCAATCTCTCCAATCGTCATCCATGCCTTTAAGTTGACCTCCTAGCACTTTGCCATCAGAAAGCCCGCTCATATTTGCAGACCCAACACACATACATGCTCTTCTGCCTGATTCATTGATTGGCGTCCTTCCACATCTGTATAATCTGTTCACGCCAAGGCCGCTCATATATCCCCGTACCATCAGGGACTCTTGCTTTTAAACTGTGCGCTGATAGAAAACCATGTGGTCTCATGTGAAACTTTGGTTTGTCGGATCACAGGACACTTTCTCCTCTTAGTCCCGCTCTAATTTAAACAAACTGAATAAGAGTCAGAGTTCCTGGGTCATGTTTACGCAAACTTCCTTTTCTCTTCAGCGGTTTGAACCAGAATTTAGTGATGGACTCATGATTGTTGTGGGAAGGGATTTTGAGCCCATGTGGCGACTCCCACTACAGAATAAAGTCTTATTTGCAGTGGGTCATTGCTATCCATTATTGTTTTTCCACTTTGTCCCTTTTGTACAAAGATTTCCTCGGACTTTCTGAAACTTTTACCAAAATTATTTCCAACTGATGCGACTTTTCTGTGTTTTTAAGTTTGTTGTTGTTTCCCAGTCCTCCCAATCCACAGTGGGTGTAGTCCAAAACACAGGAGACCAAAAACAAGGAAATATTCGATGAAAAAGACTGGAACCTCGTGGTCTGACAAGTCCTGAAAGTTTCCTGTCAGTAGCGGTTTTTGTAACTCTCTCTTATGTTTTTTCCCTGCCTGTGTTTCTCCTCAGGTTGCTGCTCAGGCCGTGTTGTTCATGTGTATGAACACGGCGGGGATTTTCATCAGTTACCTGTCAGACCGGGCTCAGCGTCAGGCCTTCCTGGAGACGCGCCGCTGCATAGAGGCTCGGCTACGACTCGAGACAGAGAACCAGAGACAGGTGAGTCCAAAAGCATGACGCGAGGAAATACGAAGTCTGCTGGAAATGATGATTATTATTTTAATTGTGACAGTTTTGGCGAATTAATCCAGTCAAGTTATTGCAGTTTGAAGATCATTTGTAGGAGTTTCCTTTATACGTACCTGTCCAAGTTTCCCCAATTTATAAAACATTTTGACCTTTTTTCGTGAAATATTTTCTTGTTTCCATGACAAAACTTTTGCTTTTTTAATCGCTTCTTTTGCCGATGAACTAGTTTGGTTGATTTAGTTGAATATTTTCATGTTTTGTGACTTTTTTTGCGTCCATAAAAGCTGTTTCTCCATCTCGTAAAATGATTTCCTCTTTTGTGAAACTATTTTGCGTTCTTTGCATGTTGTTGAACTTCTATGTTTCTTCTTCCTGTAAGATATTTCTACTTTTTGCAATCCACACAAGCTGTTTGTGCGGTTGACCTTCAGGGCTCCAGGTTGGATGAATATCTGAGTTTTGTGGCCTCGAGGGTCGGTGGTTTGTTTCGAGTAGAAATTTGTGAAATTGGAGTTTAATCCGGATGCAGAGTCCGAGCCTGCGTGTGTAAAAAGACATAAACAGTGTCCTTTAAATGTCTCTCAGCAACCTCTGCATCACCGCAGCAGCCAAAAATACAGCGTTGCATAAGAGCGCAGAGCGGGAATGGTACGTGTTTGCGTCCTGTGGTCGGGTCACGGGGCTCGCTGTGACGAGAGTTTGATAAAGGATGCAAAGCGATTGATGGATCTCGGCTGACAGGAGTGAATGTAAGCAGCTCGGCTAATGAGCCCGCTGAGACGAGGAGAACATGGACGCCGCATCGATCCACCGCTGTCACACAAACTGTGCATCAGTGCCCTGAACACACACACACACAGCCTAACAAGACAACGTGCACACACTCAAATAGAACGAGTGCACACGGTCTGAGTCAGATGGACACACACACACACACACACACACACACACACACAGTGAGAGTGACACACACTGAGCCGTGTTTACTCAGTGCAGAGAACGGTCAGCCTCCAAGAAGCCACAGAAAGCTTTTAACTGCGCTCCGTTTCCTGGAAATGTTCGGCTCTGATAAGACTCAGGATGGTTGTGATGGAGCAAAATGGGGCCCCACCCTGAGCAGACCACCCTAATGTGAACCAATCAGGGGCTGGTATTATCGTCAACAGGCCGCGAGAAAACATGTCTCTGTCTGTAACACGGCGAAAGATCGACTCCTCCTCTACGTGAGTCTTCTCTGAACTCTGCGGCGTTTCTGCAGAGCTTCACTGAGATCCGAGGACAGAGTGTGCGAAAACACGAGCTGAAATAACATTTCCCCGATAAAGAGGATCACATGACCCTATGCAGGTAGAAAACGTCCTTCAATTGTGGCGCAAACCTGCAGCCCTGTAGTGATGGGCACTGCAGTTCTTTTAGATGTACTAAATCACTAGAATTGGTTCACTAAAAAGATTCGTTCGGAAGATTTGTTCACCAAATTACTGAATCATTCAGCACTTGGTGGGAGGAGCCTGGGACCTCGACTTCATGAACTGATACACAGCTGAACAGTTCAAGATTCAGTTCAGATCGTTGCTTCTGGGATCAGGAGACGAGTGTCGTGGCTGTGTTGCTTTGAGAAACAGGTATAGAGCTGCAACTATTGAATATTTTAGTAATCGAGTATCCTACCGAATATAATATCGATTACTCGAGTAATTGGACCCAAACGGCAGACTCACATAAAGAGGCCAGACTCGGAGAAATAGAGGGCAATCGCGGGACAAGCGTGTCCGTAAGCGGAATGCAATTCTCGTAAGAAAGCTCATTATGATATTAACTTTCATCATGTCCCTAAAAACATTAGTGTCCGAGAGCTAAATAGCTCCGATGTTACCTGCTGCTGCTACGACACCAGCTACGTTAGGCTACAAGCTAGCGCTGTCCCCACCCACGACTCAGAGGCGAAGTGCTAATGAGCAACTGGAGCTCTGCAGAAGAAAACAGTGTTGCCGACTCCTCAGGAAGGAAAGTCGCTAGGTTGGCAACACCGCAAGAAAAGCCCCTCTCATCATTTATTTTTTCCGCCCCGCAAAACCTAAACAGCGCTGACTCCTCCTTCTACCGTGGTGACGTAAGCACATTGTGTCACCTTCAAAGAAATCTGTGTAAAACATTGACGATTTGAGCTTATAAACGAGTCCTCGAGGCAGAGAAAAATTCTTTCATCATTTATTTGTAATCGAGGTATTCGAGGAATTGTTTCAGCCCTACAATGGTATGCTATTTATCTGGTCTACTCGGTAAATTGAGCTCAATGAGTGATTAGTTCACTGAACGTTTACACAACGGTACATTCAGTGAAGAATTCCCACTTAACATGCGCTGTTCCCTCGCAAATCACCACAATGATAAGATCAGACAGTCGCGTATTTCTCATACTGCGGGTTTAATACAGTACTTGTTGTTGTTAAAACAACGAAGAACAACAGTCGCCATGAAAGTATATCCCTCAGACAGAAATTATTCCAGATCGTGTAGTTCACCATGTGATTCGTTCACACGCCTGCACCAACACGCTGAGGTCAACTGAGGTGAGAAACGAATGAAGCATTTGAGGAAGTGATTCGGTTTAGTACGTTCGCATAAAAGATTCGGTTCTTTCAAAGGAATCATTCGCGAACGACACAACACTACAGCCAGTCAGATCCTGTTCAATCAGCTTAATCTTTGTGCATAAATGAAAGCCGAGGCGGGTAAAGCAGCAGCAAAGATCCAGTTTGCTGCAACCTGGTCCTGAATAAGTGGAAGAAACTGGAGGCATGGATGGATCACACTCTACGATTTGCATGCCTCATGTAACTGTCCCATCTACAGGAGTATTAGATGTGCAGGATAGCGTCTCTATCATGTGTGAGACCAACAGATGAAATTCACTTTTGCACCTCAGAGGAGATATCCGGGTCAAAAATGAGAACACTGCGAGCTTAAACACAGACTTTAACCTGGGCCTCGATGCTCCTTCTCTGCTGACTTTAAACTGAAAACCACCCGAGCGACTAAACAGCAGAGACAAAGGAACAAAGTGTTTTTTTCCAGCGAGCTCGGTCCGAATCAGATACAAGTTGTCAGAGAGCTGCTGGAGGGCTTCAGCTCGCGGTTACAGCCGGGCCGCGCTAATGACTTTCAAAGCTAATCTGACACCGAGTCCGCTGGCTCTCAGCTGTCCAAACCGGGGACAATGGCCAGTGAAGCAAACACACTACGGCCCCTGTTCACTGTCCACACTGTAAAAAATGAGCTGCCACATACTGCTGTATGTAAGGTTTAAATAACACTGTAATACAACACATGACGGATGAGCTGAACTGAGATTCACCAGAACCAAAACTAATAGAGAGAAACTACAGAGTCCCAGTCTAATGCATGTTTAATAACAGAACCAGAATAAAAGATGTCCTACTTATTAGACCCCCTACAACATAGAATTAACCCTATAGTTCCCATGTCCTATTTTCTCAACACAGGGTTTGTAGCCACAGATCAGTTTACCACCAGGACTCTTCTACTTCTGAGCCGTCCTGGTTTAATATGTTTACCATCGTAGGTGTGCTGAGATAATGAACTGATTCAAGCTCTTTCAGGACTGGAATTATCCTGCGTTCCACTAACCTCAGAAGTCAGATGTCGGAATGACGTTACACCCAAGTTGATGGCATTCCAGAAAACAAATGGGAAAATCAAGATGGACGCCTATTGTTAGCCGTTGTTAGCTGTTGTTAGTCATCATTAACTATTCCAGTTGTAAACAACGCATGACACAGTATTTCACTCTTAAACACAGTGGCACCGTGTTCACAGTTAGATGTTGGGCAGTACAACATAAACCACTTATTCAGTTTCACAAATACAAAACAGAAGCGCTAATAAATAAAACATTATAAGAGCTTTCGCTGTTACTCTTTACTGTTGATGCACTGCGCTGCCATCTTGGATTATGAGGTTGTTGTCAAGTCAGGGTTGGTGAGGACTTTCCGAGTTTGAAATCCAACTTCAGGGGGGGCGTTCCAGATGAATTTCCGACTCACAGCTTGGAAATTCCAACTTTCGAGAACAACTGGAACGCAGCAATACTGACAAGACACTGGACTTTTCCTAAATATTCTGATGTTTTGCAATCGTTGATTTTCCTGGCTGTAGGCTGTCATGGCAAAATAAGAATGAACATTTTCGGGACATTTTAAGTTTTTTTAAGAGCTGTACCTGCACACTGTTCCTGATGTGTACAATCTACCTATGTTATGGGCCCTTGTATCTCCCTCTACCATCAGGGACTCTGCGCTTATACTAATGGGGCACTTGCATGAATGAATAGTGTTTAGTCACTTCATTCACACGTCAGCTGTAATTTGGATGGTAATCCCTGCCAATTAAGCGATTGACAAAGGTTACCGGTGAACAACCGACCGTTTTCATACGTCATCTGAGAATCTTCGTGCTGATTGGTTATCGTGACGCAAATATCCACTTAAGACCTTTTCAGCTCCCGCCTAAGAGTAGTATGAGCATCTAATCGCGTCTTTGCATGAACTCAACATGTAATTCATTTGTGCGAATGATTTGACTCGCGCTTGGTGTGTGGAGACAGTAAGACAGGTACTTCCTCTCCTTGTATGGCGTGATTGAACTACGATCGAGTTTCCTGCTTTGCCTCAACCCGTTTCTTCATCCTGCACCTACACAGATTCCTCCCTGACCCTCCATAACAAACAGATCCTCAGATTTTTCGCGGCTGCTCATCCATCATTTCTTGCAGTGGATCTCCAGCTTCACACCCCGGAGCGTTCGGTTGCGATGCAGCAGCCGAAGCATTAGCAACGCTCCAGTGGAATGTTTGTCTGTCTAGACCTTAATTTGGGGATGAACTGCTTCGCTCCCCGGCACAGACAGCAGGTCAACACAACACAGCAGAGTGAGCAGAGAGAGCCAGTGCTGCACAACGGAAACACCTGCTCGACTACAACACCGTCTTACACGCAGAGAAAAAATCCTCATATTACATAACAAGCCGAGCCAATGACAACAAGACCACGACTTCATTTGATACGATCCTTTAAATATAGACATGTCCACCAGTTAAACAAAAATATGAGAAGAAATGTTATTTTCAGAGTGTTAGGTTAAAAAGGTTGGGAATGATTGGTTGGTTTCCCCAAAGAAGCCAAATTATTATTCCAATCATTGTGTTTTTATTCCATCTGGGGTCTCAGGGTTTATATTTCCAGTTACATTGAGTCAATGATTGTTTTCCCGTCTGCTGTTTGAGCTTAAGTCAAATCCAATCAAAGCAGAGAGACTAACCTGTTTTTGTTGTTGTTTTATCCCAAACTGTGGAGATGTTTACACACATTTCAGATCAAAACATGAACTAGAATCTCTGTGTTTGTTTGAGAGAGACTGTCACAGTATAGCGACGTGTCTCAGGAGTTAAAATGCCTTTTCGGTAATGTAAATGTAAAGCTGTGTGTCATCTGCTTAGCTATAAAAGTTGATGCCGTGCCTTCTGATGACATTTCCAAGAGGTTCCAAGGACCTGAAAACGACCCCTGGGGGACACCATGATTAATTTTGTACCCATACTCACATGTTTTAACCTTCAGACTAGTTAAAAAGAGCGCCATAAAGAGCCTGTTTGATGAGTCAACACTATCTGATCGTCCTCAAAGATAGTTCTGAACCTTTTTCGGCAAATATGCGAAAGTATTCAGACTGTTTGCTGCTCATGAAGTGGACGTAATGTTTTTCCAAATGGACGCTCAGTTCATTCTGCCGCGTTTCTAAGAGAATAACAAGCGGCGGCATCGTTTTTTTTAGACTGGTTTTCCTCAGCAGCAGTCGGATGTTTGCGCGAGTGTGTGTTTGTGAGAGAGACTGGAGTGGTGAAACAGCCTAACCGGATTGCTTTCCATTCAGCGTGACAATAATGAATGAAGATGGATGTGTTTGGAGTGAATGAAGCAGAGGATGAAGGCTCTCTCTCTCTCTATCTTTCGGCTTTACTCTCTGCGTCTCTCGCCCATTTCCCTGCTCTACCTCCCCTCCCTCGCTCTCCACTTATGTCGGAGCTTTAGAGAGGCTCTCCTCGGCTCTCAGACGGCGACATGCAGCTCCTCTGAGCTCAGGAGAGGCTGTGCCTTTATTTATCTTTTTATTAGAAAACTACATTATGAGCCGGAGAGAGAGTAAAAACAACCTCGTGAGGTTCACATCAGCTGGACAGATATACCTCATCACATGCTGTTGACATGCAGTTCTGGTCTGATGAGCGACCGAGTCATAAGGTCGGATTTTGATGATTTTTCGAATGCGCACTTTGATGCCGTTGTTATTTAGATGATGCATAAAAACATCCAGACATCTATTCACTCTGCATTAAGGCGACCAGATCACACTCAACTCGGTATTACTTAGTAGCAGTGCATGCCCCCTGTTATAACACCCCATAATAACCCCCAATAAAAACCGCTGTTCAGGACTGCACGCAACATGCTAACTCGTGCTTCCTACCTACTGGGCTATCGTAATAACCGTTGCTCGAGCCTACACGCAACATTTTTTTTCCTCATTCAAGAAACACTTAAATCTTGGACATATCCAGGAACAGCCATACAGGTCATCCAAAATGGAGACTGGTCATCTAACTCTGAATGGTATGTAGCTGCCAAAAGTAGAGACCCTTGCACGTCATTTAACGCCACGATCTGCTCCATCTCTGCCCTGATTGGACAAATCAAAGCTGAGATTAACAATTTAAATGGCCGATGGCAAACATCTGCGAGAACAGTTTCTTTCCTCAAAGCGCAGGGTACATCATTCCTTCGCTCACACAGTCACACCCTGGTGGTGGTAAACTACCTTAGTCGTCACAGCAGCTGCCCTGGGGCAGACTGATGGAAACATGGCTGCCAGTTTGCACCTCTCCGACCATCATAACACAACTCTCACAATCATACACCATTGGAGGATACACAAGGATACGCAAGTTGGGTTAAGTGTCTTACCCAAGGACACAACAGAGATGAGGGATAGGGCAGGGTTTGAACCACCAACCTTCCAGGTATTGGCCGACCGCTCCTGAGCTACTGCCGCCCTCAACAGCTTAGCAGACAAGTTTCTATCGGTTACAGATAAACATCGGCACATCATTTGCTGCAAACCGATCAGATTCCCACTGCATACGGGCCTCATAACATTCCAGCTGAGACACACCCTTAAAGTGCATCTTCCTTCCACGTTAGTGACAGACTGACTGACAGATTTAGGATTTGGGAAGGCGTTTTGGAATAATTGGCGAAGACATTGGCATCGTTTTTTTTCCCCTTTCCCAACTGGATACAGGCCTCAAACAGTTCTTTGTGCAGAGAGATGCTGACTTTTCCACAATAATTGCATCATGGCTCATCTAAATGTGCACAACACGTTATTAGCTTTACGGTGCGGTTTGTGGTGCATTTAACCGGAAGAGTGTGATTTATGAATTTAGAGGTTTAGCAGGTGCAAAACCCACACAGTCCTCTTCTGAATCAGGTCCCCCAGTTGAAATGTTCCTTTATCATTCCGCACAAAAAGACACTCAGCCTTTTTTTTTTGCTCATGAGTAGGACCTGTGGGAGGAGAAACTAAAATTTTGGGTTTTTATGTCTTGAGTAAGTGAAGAAGGCAGTTTCTTGGCTCTGTTGTGGATCCCTAAGGCCAAAAAAACTCCTCCCACTCCCACTCCAAATCTGTTTCTGCCTCTGCCAAGCGGCACTGCGTCAGTACAATAACCTCAAGACAAAATGTGGTTGTTTGTGTTGTTTTATTTATTTAATTTTTTTTTTCTCGGAGGATCCTGCTGGAGGAGCTTAGGCTGGCAGAGTCATCCTTTAAATCATTTCTCACAGACAGACCTTTATGTAATTTGTTCTGACAAGATTTATTCACTTGTGTTCGCCTGCTTAATAGTTTCTCTTTGACTTGTGTCTAATCCCTCTTTGCTCTTAATCTGGATGTTATGTCATGCACTGCAGACCACAGTCACTGTACGAACTCAGCCTATATACTGGGACACAAATATGTAGGATTTTTAAACTCAAAACTTCAACCGTCCTCTAAACTTAATCTTTTATCTGGTGCTCTTAATACCCTTAAACGCAAACCCAGCCCCTTATTTGACAACTTTAAAGGGATAAACCGTTTTGCCACTGTAAACAAGAGATGAATGTGATAGTGATCTGTCTTTGCCGTTTCAGACGACTGATATGATTGTTTTTCTCCCCCCACAGGAGAGACTGGTGCTGTCAGTCCTGCCTCGATTTGTAGTTTTAGAAATGATCAACGACATGACAAATGTAGAGGACGAACACCTCCAGCATCAGTTTCACAGAATCTACATCCACCGCTACGAGAATGTCAGGTGAGGTGCCGATTTCGGTTGTTGTCGAAGTCCGATTGACCAAGTTTCATTTGCATGTATTATGTATGTATAAGTATTTTCAGTGTTTGGATGGTGACCCGGATATCGAAGTGACATTTCCGTATTTTATTCAGCATTCTTTTCGCAGATGTTAAAGGCTTCACAAACCTCTCCACGACGCTGTCCGCGCAGGAGCTGGTGCGAATGTTGAATGAACTCTTTGCACGTTTTGACCGCCTCGCACATGTAAGTGATTCTAACCCCAGATCTTCAAGTTGATACCTCTCACAGAAATCATGACAGTAGATCTTAAAAATGACGTTTTTGGCTTGTTCTGCAAATTTGACTCTTCTATGTCTATGACCTGATGAAGTGATTCCTCAAACACTTATACATATTACAATGATATTAGATAATAATACTGTAATATTACATATTACATATTTTTCATTGGGACACACTAAGATAACAGACGGACCAGCTACTCGTCACACCAAGACACATCCGAAAGTTTATATATCTTTTCAGTTGACTAGTATACAGAATACATGCGACATGGATGATGATGTGCTAATTATAACTTTTGCGATTTTCCTTGCGGTTTTTATTTTTACATGTGAACTGTTTAATATTTGATTATTCTTGTTTATAAAAAAAAAAACTGGTTTGGAAGCGCCAACATGTGAAAATTTATTACTAGACATTATCCCAATTGTATTGTACCGTATTGTAGTGTTTTGTGTCGCAGTGTATTGTATTGTAATCCTATCGTTTGGTATTGGATCCAATCGTTTTGTATTGTATCATTTTGGGTTGTATTGTGTCATATTGTATCGTATGTATTGTATCATTGAGTATCGTTTTGTTACCTGTCGTATCGTTTGTTTTGTAACATATTGTTTGGATTTGTATTATTTTGTGTTGTATCGTTTGGTATCCTATCGAGTCACACAGAGACACATCCGAAAGTTTATATATCCCAATTGGGATATTTATATCCCAATTGTATTGTACCGTACTGCAGTGTTTTGTGTCGCAGTGTATTGTATTGTAATCCTATCGTTTGGTAATGATCCAATCATTTGGTATTGTATCATTTTGGGTTGAATCGTGTCGTATTGTATCGTATTGTATCGTATTGTATCGTATCATAGGGTATTGTTTTAAAGATTTATTACTAGATATAATCCCAGTTGTATTGTACCGTATCGTAGTGTTTTGTGTCGCAGTCGTTTGGTATTGTATCATTTTGGGTTGTATCGTATTGTGTTGTATTGTATCGTTGGGTATCGAATTGTTACTTGTCGTATCTTATAGTTTTGTGTCTTATCGTATCAAATTATTTTGTATCATTTGTTTTGTAACATATTGTTTAGTATCGTATCATTTTGTGTTGCATCGTTTGGTATCCTATCGAGCCAAGTGACTATTATACAGAATACATGCAACATGGATGATGATGTGCTGATTATAACTTTTGCGATTTTCCTTGAATTTTTTTTTTCCTTTTTACATGTGAACTGTTTGATGTTTTATTATTCTTGTTTTTAAAAAACTGGTGTGGAAGCGCCAAAATGTGGGAAAGATTTATTACTAGACAAAATCCCATTTGTATCATATCGTAGCGTTTTGTGTTGTATCGTATCGTTTGGTATCATATCGTTTTGTATTGTATCATTTTGTCTTGTATCGTTTGGTAACGTATCGTTTTGCATCGTGTTATATCGTATTGTTTTGAATCATATCGGTTTGTATCGTGTTGTATTGTATTGTAACATGGCATAAATAATATCATACTGTATTGTATCGACGCATCATATCAGATCCCATCATATCTTTGCATAACATATGAAAATGTATATCATCAATATCATATATCGTACTGTATCACACCTTATAGTATCATGTCACATTACATCGTATTGTATCATATCGGTATTCCATCCCACTGTATCCTTAAAAAAATCCAATTTGATTCAGTAAGTCGGCTTTTCTCCCATGTCAGTATCCGTGGTTTTTGTTGGTTAAAAAAAAGAGGCGGGTTCAGATATAAAGGTGGTAGATTTGTATCTTGAGGAATCAGAGAGCTTCTTCATCTTAGACTAATAAAACCCTTTTCTAAACTCAGCAGTTAGAACACTAAGATGTTCAAAGGTAACGATGTGCTTCCTTCTGACTTTTATGTATAAACAGAAACACAGGCGTTCACACGTGTACTTTTCCTCGTCTCCTTACATCATTATACTGCTCACCGCTGTCTCCTCATAACCTCGGCCCTGTACCGCCCTAAGGCTACAGCCTGACACCTCATCAAGCCTCATTACCTGTGTACTTGAGTTAACATGCATTAACAGGTGCACACAAAGAGGTATTCTTCTGCGATCCTTCAACATAACTCTCAGCGACACTGGCAATACTGGTCCTGGATATTTATAGATTCTGAGGAGGTACTTTCATTATGCACACAGCAGAGAGACGTAAATAAAAACCAGCAGCCCGCCTTTCTTGGATGTAAAGCACACAGTAGTTCGTCATCATTAGACACTCTCTGATATTGTCAGCGTGTCCCGGATTTTTAGTTATTAATGAAGTTCTGCCATTGTGTCTTATTGGTCTGATTCATGTTACACCTTTTACACACCTTTGGATAATCAAAAGACTTCATACGTCATCTTGGTGTCATTAGCGCCAAGACTGCGCACTGCTATGCCCTTAATCACTCTGCGCCATACGCTACATGGACACTGCCATTTAATTTCCCTTGGCGGCTGTGAATGGAGGTTAGATTTAAACATAAAACTCCACTATAAGTTTTTTATATCTTACGAGAAGCGAAAGCAGGACTCTGCTGTCTCTTTACAGCTCATCTTTGGTCGACGGCCTCCGGGGGCTTTTAAAAACTAAATAAATGTACTCCGGTTTCTGGATGAATTTTTAATTCAGAACACCCGAGTGAATAGCTGATTGGATATGCACTCCGTAGGACTCTTGTGTTTGTCTGATATTGGGTTGGAAAGGATTTCAGATTGTCATGCTTGGTCAGTCAGGTTTCACAGTCAGCTCACCAGAGCAGAACCGACCCGATACGCGTTATTTATTTTTCATTTCCCACTCATATTTTCCCTGTTTCTATTTCAGACCACATAGGCGTTCTCTAAGTGCTTGTTTACTGATGTGAGCGTTGTGTTGCAGGAGCACCACTGTCTACGGATAAAGATCCTGGGAGACTGTTACTACTGTGTATCGGGTCTACCTGAGCCCAGACAGGACCACGCCCACTGCTGTGTGGAGATGGGCCTCAGCATGATCAAGACCATCAGGTACTGTCCCCTTACGCAGCATTTCTGTGACTGTGTGTATGTTTTTAACTGAAGAGGTTTGGACTGCTGTTGGTCTGATGCTTACTAAAACCAAACTGTAGTTAAAAAGTGAAGCCAAAGCAGAAGTGCAAATCTCCTCCAGTGTCAGCTTGTACGTGTTGGGGTACAATCACCATGAGGTAAATTTATATGAAGATGACATAAGGCCATTACTGTTAGAATACTCCTATAAGGTTAGGGGTAGTCAGGATCTGAGGAAGTTCCGGTTTTTAGGAGAAATCTTGAACTTAAACTCTACCCCTCACAGGGTTAGGGTCTATAAGATCCCGAAGCATCATTGGTGTTGACCCGACTTCTTAGCTCTTGTCCGGTCTACCTCCTTTTGAAGCGCCCGTTATTCCTCCAGAGTCTCCGGTATTTACTTTGTTTTCTTGCTTGTGTCGGCAGTCGTGGCCAAAGGAGGATTCAGACAATTTTCCGAACTTTCTGGTTGGTTTCTACTGTCCGATATTGTAGCACGCTAACTTTGTTTGGGTTCGTGCGCGTTATTGGAGGACGTGGAGCGTGCCTCACAACAAAAGGGAGCAGCGTCTGCCTCACAACCAGTCAGGTTGGGGGAGGCGGAGAACGGCTTTGTTTACAGTCAGAAAGAGCGGACCGCTCAAAAAATTTAAAATGTTGGCCCACTTTGTTTTTGACAAACTGTATATGGTCATTAACACCACTTTGGTCCAATAGGTGGCGTTTTTAATATGACAAACTTGTATATGAGTTCAGGCTGGACCCGTTATCAAACCTGTAAAATTTGGTACGGGTTGGTTATTGCATGTGAAAGTTAGTACCATGTATTTCCACAGGGTCGCGCTCTACTGGAGAAGTGAGTGGATAGATGAGTTGTAGGGTCAACTTTGATCAGGTGTATAAAAAATAAACCGACTGAACGTTTTATGAAGGAGGTAAAGTAACTTCCTGTTAATGGTGGGATATTAGAGGTTGACAAACAAACATGGCCAGACCCTTGGACATATGATAAGTAGGAAGGAAGGAAGGAAGGAAGGAAGGAAGGAAGGAAGGAAGGAGGAGGACTCTACTGCCTGTTCTAGCTCCATGAATGAACATAAACTTAGACACAGCATTGAAAACAAACGTCTTTTCTCTCCGTCTGAGTGAAGACTTGATCTTTTCTTCCCCGTTGAGGTGAAATCATTCCTCCATGGTGGTATTTTTTGGCTTCATCTCTCACCACGGGAGGACACGGAGGCATGTTGCCGATATTTAAATGTACAGCCGATGCTTTGAACCTTTTCATCTGCAGGCAGCGCTGCTGTTATCTCTGTATATTTTAATATCATTCCTCACAGCGCTCCGTGCGCCAGCTCTCTGATCTGCTTTGCTGCAATATTTGCATTTGCAAGAATTCACCCCTGGCTGTTTTTCTGCAGAACAAACATCATAAACAATCACATGGTCCTATCGTATCACACATCCATGCATCTCAGAAATGAAAGGGGGAAAATGTTTTCAGTGACGGTGTGTTTTTTTTCCCAAAATTACACAACGAGGATTTGCAGATCGCATAAGCTCATGAATCACATCTCACACGCCGATGGTGTAATCTTCACATCATGGGGAACAAAACTGGTTAAGCAGCAGAAACAAAGTCTGGAGTGACTCTCAGAAAACACACAGAGGCTGTGCAGCTCTTTGTGGAGAGGCTTACAGACTCTGGAGATTGTGCTTTTAAAGCCCGAGGCGTTTTCATTCGCGTTATCTTCTTTGTGGCTGCAGCATTTTGGCGCTGTCACAACCCATTCAGTGTGACAGTGAGGGAGGAGAGGAGGACTGATGTTTGGAGGAAATAGAAGGATTAGGGATGGATAAGCTGTGAGATTTGTGCTGTATACTATTAAGTCGATATGGCGAGCTGCCTACCAGCAAACACTCTGTGCTGCAGAGGTGCATGCTGGTACAAATGGCTTAAACCTTAATTAATAAACCCTGCAAAGACCTGCTCCTGCATCTTGCGTTCAGATCTTTGCACTTTGTCGTTTTTTAGAGCTGGGTCATCGTGCGAAAGGCAAAAAAAGAAACCTGAGCGAAACACGCTGTGAACTTCACAAATCAAGTCTCAAATCACCTCAGGGTTTAGCTGCCAGACGGATTTTACAGGACGCCAAATCAAAGAGATTTCCTCTCCTTCAAACACGCAAACGCGTACAAATATTTATTCAAACTTAATTACAATTAAAGAGAACTCTAACCTCTTATAGAGTATAACGAGGAGCTGCTATCTGAGCTCATCCCAGATACAGAAAAAACAACACATTGAAATATCTTTTTTTCTGTAATATACAGTGTATTTGGATAGGAGACAATCGAGGCATTAATATCAGAAAATTCTGTCTTTTTATATCAGTTAATCAACTAATTAATTAACTTTCATTTATATTGCACCAAATCACAACAATCCTTATCTTGAGATGCTTTCCAGGCCGAGAACAAATTCTTTGATGTTTTACAAAGACTCGACCTCAAGAGGTGAAAAGACAAACCAAAGTTTAATCCTGCAGTTGCACTTTAATTAATTTAGTCTGTTTACTGTTTTCTCCTTTCTGGTTTTTGTTTTAGTTTTCTCGCCTCGCTATTTTTGTCCTTCGTTTTGACGTCTACTCTGTAGGACCCCGAATACCACAACAACGACCTTCTCAGGTGTCTTGTTGCTGCAATTGTCCAATCAGGATGGCTTCTCCATCGTTTGTTGAAAAACATCCCTGTACTGATCTACAGATGTCAAGAGTGTTATGCGATGGTCAGGTTACGACGAGATCGCCCTCTGTTGGATCAAAAAGCGAAACTCTTACAGACCCACTCTGATGGAAATCATGTTTTTCTTGTTGATGCTACAGGACATATCATGAGAAAACTACATGAGAATTTGCTTTTCTGAGTATTTCTGATTTCAGATCGCTGTGAATCTCTGGCAGACCCAAACGGCAGGTTCAGAAACAGTGAGATGTCAGATGTAACCAATCCAAGCTCCGCCCCCAGAGCCCACTATGCAGGTCAAAGATCGTGGAACGAGCGTGTGCATGAGATTGCAATGCTCATAAGAAAGCTAATTATGATATTAACTTTCATCATGTCCCTAAAGACATTAGTGTCAGAGAGATGAATAGCCCATATGTTACCTGCGTCTTCTACTACACTGGCAATGTTAGGCTGCAAGGTCGCGGCGCTGTCTCCGCCCACAACTCAGAGGTGAATTGCTAATGAGCTACTGGAGCTCTGCAGAAGAAAAGCCCACGAAAATTGGCGTAACAATTTTCACAATTTAAAGACCACCAAGAACACTTTAGGTAGTAAAAAGAAACAATCAGCGTGGGACTTAAAGATACGGTTTCTGTTTTCTTCATCGTTTGAAGCTTGTTTTGTCTTTTATTTTAGTCCTTTGGTTTTGTCTTTAACTTTTTATCTTTACCTCTACTAAACATCACAAATATCACCAATCCAGGCAGAGGGAGATTCGCGACATTCAGTGGAGTCTGGCGGCTTTGCAGAGAGAAATAAAACCCTAAATCTGTCAGCTATTAAAACGCCAAAACATGCTTAAAAATGTCATCTCTAGAGTAAGTGTTCCTCCGCTACAGACAGTGCAGATTCCTCGTCCTGAGCTTTGTGGACAGGTTATGGTTTTTGCAGCTTGGACTGTTAAAAATGTTGATTTGAGGAGCTGAAAACACGTAATTTTATGTCATGACAGTCCGTGACAGTTTTCTATTTCAGGGAGGATTTTCCGTCTCTGCTGGGATCTCATTATTCACCGCAGGGAAACATCTCAAACTGTCTGCATGACGGACGTTAATATTTAAGCAGAGAATACAGAAGAGCCGCGGTGTCAGTTTCAATATTTTATGGCATAATATCCACTCCTGTGAGACGTGTATTTGTGTTTGTACATGCAGGTTAATAGCTGTGTTTGTACCACTTAAATAAGCTGAATTAGCTGAAAGTACTCTTTACTCTTATTCCCCTAAACCCATATTCATTTGATGTTCATGTTTACAAGAGGTTGGATAATTAGGAGCGAGAACAAACACCAAACAAAGAGCTCAGAGCCTCATTTTATCAACACCTCGAATTCACATCAAGAGGCTCCTTTCCTTTAAAACCCTGAAGGTCAAACATGAGCGCAGAGCAGCCCAGAGTTTCTGGACATCGTGTTCGAGACTCTATAAATGTGTTTGTTCGCTTTTAACATGTTTATGTGTGCAACGGCTAAACTACACAAGCTGCAATGTGCCGATACTTCCTGTTGTTATCTCATCATGCTGTTTCTAAACGTGATGCCTTAAGGAGGGATGTCAGCGTCCCTCCTTATGGTGGTATTATGCAGCCTGTGGTGTGTACAGGCTTTTTTTGAGGTCCTGCATAACAATGAAAAACACATTTCCCCGAGCCCGTGCATGTGCAGTGTATTAAGGTCATCCTAGTGGCTAACAGCTCTGAGAAGTCTCTGCAAAGTCTCCAAAGCCCACCTCCTGAGCAAACAAAGCCTCTGCAAGGCGTCTGAATCTGATTTGCATAGGCGTGCATGAAAAACCACTCCCACTCCCGGTTCTCCACCAGTTCAGCTCCCTCCTACACCACTGTAGCTATTGGCTGACCACAAAAAGTTTCATACGAAGGGCAAAAAAGTGAGAATAAGGTTTAAAAAGTGGGGTAGGCAGGATCTGAGGAAGAGGCAGTTTTTGGGAGAAACCTAAATGTAAACTCTACCCCTCCGAACCAGTGCAACGGCAAAGGTTCTCCTGGTGCACTCGCCAAAATTGTTTTTTCCGCTTCTGCACTCTCCTCTCTCAGACAACTTCCAGGTAGCCAATCAAGTTGAGGTTAGAAACTAATCGGCTTCAGAAATTACTGAGGTATGAAAGCTGAAGACAGTTTTAGACCCACAGGTTAACGTGTCGAAGCTAACCAGAACAAACTGCTGCAGATCACGTACCAGCCAGATGATGACAGCACATCAGTGATTGTTAGAAATAGGAAAAGCTGACCTCTGACCTCTGGAGGGGGAGGAGAAGAATCTTGTCTCACGTCTTCATCATTATTGTTATCATGAACAAGCTCCAGTAGTAGATTGACTCAAGCACCTGCCAAAACTCCCATGATGCCTTTCACCTCACATACATAACTGCTGTTACAAAGCATGAAATGAGAGCGGGGTTCTCTCCACAGACGCTGATCGGCATCAGTTTGCCTGATTTTATTTGCGTTCCAGGATAATAAAGTATGAAATGAGAAACGAATGCTGAAATCTCTCTTCTCTGTTTGAGCTCATTGATACACTGAACGTGTTTTTGACTCATTTTCCGCTGAATTATCACGACATTAGCTTCTCATTTATGTGTTTGTCCAAAGGTTTATTTCATGTTTTTGAATTTGTTGAATCTACTCGCTCAGGCTCGACATTCTGCTAAATGACCCAGAGTAACCCCTGGAATATTGTGTCCTTTAAGTGAAGGGCAGGAGGCTAAACGTATTCATTTTTCATTTCAATCTTGAATATTCATGTTTACCATTAAACATTTATCTCTACCCTCATTTATTATCACTTTAACTGAATTAATTCAATAAAATAATCTATTGACATTAATATTTTAAAGGAACACACCTGTGTTTGGGGGAAATTTGTTACTAATTCGATATAAATTAATCATCACGAAGAATGTAATAAATCAGTATATTTGTGACTCTATAATAAGGTCCGACCGATATAAATTTTTTTAGGCCAATGTCAATACCAATCATTAGGGAGGAAAAAAAATCTGATTACTGATTAATCTGTCAATTTTTTTTTTAGTTTTTCAAGTTATAAAAAAAATATATATATACAGTAGGTATACTGAAGGCTACTGCTCTTCACACCGACAGGAAGACCGACTGATCAAACTCGGACCAGAAAAGCGTTTTCAACTACCACCCCAGCGCCGATCAGTGCCTCCGAGTCTTAACTCCCGTTACTCATTTCCGGTCAGGTCTCATCTGGAGACATGCAGCTGCCTCAGTAAGAGAAGTAGCTCGATCACTGATGTGTACTGTTGTTTATTCTACCAGTACTGGCACGGCTAACAGTGTAGCAAGGCTAATAGCAGGTGGCTAACTAACTTTAGCTTGCATATTACATGGTGCTTCACCGTTAACTCGGAACAAAACTGCAGTTTTTTCTTGTTTTTTCGCAATACTGCATTGGCTTCATGTTTTAAAACTGAAGGTTAAAGGTTCGTCACTCAGTAATCAAGACTCTTGTATCGATAAGTCCACTGTCAGCCATGTTTGCTTTCAGCATTAAATGAATAAGAGGATGTCTGGACCTTGAATCTGACTCGATGTGTCTCTCCAGGTATGTAAGATCACGTACGAAACACGACATCGACATGCGGATCGGGATCCACTCGGGCTCTGTGCTGTGTGGTGTGCTGGGACTCAGGAAGTGGCAGTTTGACGTCTGGTCCTGGGACGTGGACATCGCCAACAAGCTGGAGTCTGGAGGGATCCCGGGGTGAGTAAATGCAAAAGATACAACATTTTCACAGGGGTTTGTCTGGCCTTGGATTTGATTATTGGCAAATCACTAATGATCATGTTTGCTACAAAAAAGCGCATTTTCACATGGGCTTAAAAAGGGATTGACCTACTTTTGGAGATAGCCCCAAGTGGGCACTCAAGGAACTGCAATTTTTTTGCACCTGGCATTGACTCCATTTTTTAACACCAGAATTTTCCACTTGGGTTTTCTCTATATTTTGGCTATGAATGTCTGAAGACAGTGTTTTTCCTGCCAGTTTCAGTGATAGACAAAAAGATTATGCTAACATTGAGAGCGCAAGTACAGGCTCTTTCTACGACTATTTTGTCTTATCTCTTTAACAAAAAATAAAATTCCTCACTCAGTTTATTTATGGGTTCAAATGATTCAGACCCTTTTACGATGCTGTATGTCTTTTGTCTATTGTACAAAACAAAATATTTTTGCAGCCCAACCCAGAACCAGTCTTCGTAGGTTTTATATTATTTGTATTTTAGAGGAGATTACGGAGAAACCTGTGCCAAAACTAGTCAGAGAAAACCGTCAGAACCGTCTGATGTACGGTGATAAAATAGTCTCCTGACGTCAGTCTGAAGAGTCCCTCTGCCAAACTCTGAGTGGATTTTCACTCTGATGATCCCTTTGGCCTTCAGACAGGAGGTGACATCAGTGCTCTAACTGCTGGATTTTAACATCCTGCCAGCATCTGTTGTTGAGTGATGCTGTAAAAACTTGACCCATGGTCTTCACTAAACCCGGTTACGTAACGGCACCCAGCTGTAGCATGGCAGGTGCCCAAAGAGGCAAATTTCACTCTGGTCGCTTATTGGACCTCATCTTTGACATGATGAGTCGTGTGTCCACTGAAGTATCTACAAATACACAGAAACCGTCAGATTCTTCGTAGATCCAACTAAATTCTGACAGGGACATACTGAAGTTTCAAAGGACTGTCTTTTCATGTGGGAAAAGTCATATATAGCACTCTTCAAAAACAAGTTAGTATACCTAAACGTGAAAAGCAGCTAAATCTAATATAATCGAAAGAAACAAGGTATTTAAACGTTACAGTCTCTTAAAGAAAAGCTGAATACCAAGGTTAATAACAATTCAAATTAACCACAAATTAAAAAAGGTTACACAGAGAAAAGGAGGTCAAAGGAAAGGTCAGTCTCAAAGGACACTTTCCAAACAATTTTAGATATGGCTAGAGGACAGATTAGATATAACCAGAGGTACAGGGAGCAATGACAACAACCTCAGCTTTGGAGCCCCTTAACATTTTAGACATTCAATTCTTCATTTCAGTCAAAAAGGACAAACTATAGGGAGCATCAGTTGTGCCAGGTTTAACATGGCGTAGAGCTGAGCGTCATCTGCATAGCAGCAAAAGTCTATATCATGTGACGTATGTAAACATGAAGAAGAAGGATCCTAGACTGGAACCCTGGGGTACTCCACATGAGAGAGGAGCATAAGAGGAGAAAGCATTTCAAAGCTCTACTGTAAAGACTTGTTTGACGAGGAGGAGAAGCATGTACACGGAGAATAAGAGGGGACTTAGAATAGACCCCTGAGGGACTCCACAAGACAAACACAAGAAAGGGCGGCATTCCAAAGTTCTACAGCAAAAAGACGTGCTTGACAGACAGGAAATGAACCAATCCACTGCCATGAAACTGTGGTTGTCCGTGTCAAACGCAGAGCTAAGGTCAAGGAGAATTAGCATAAAGCACGAACTACAATCATCTGTAAGCAAGAAGTCATTAGAGACTTTTCTACAGTATTTTTACCAGTGAGAAAAAGCAACTTTGAGGGTGTCCACTGATGCATTTCACCTAAGATTTTAAGTTTTTCTATTTGTGAGTATTCGTTTGACATGACCCTCTCTCCATGTCGTGTTCCAGGAGGATCCACATCTCCAAAGCTGCTCTGGACTGTTTAAATGGGGACTACGAGGTAGAGGAGGGTCACGGGAAGGACCGGAACGACTTCCTCCGCCGGCACAACATCGAGACGTACCTCATCAAGCAGCCCGAGGAGAGTCTGCTAACCCTGCCCGAGGACATCATGAAGGAGGCGGCCAGCTCTGCGGACCGCCGGGCCAGCAGCACCACCTTCAACGAGGCGTCCTGGAGCCCCGAGCTTCCCTTCGACAACATTGTTGGGAAACAGAACGTAAGTCCCGCCGCTGCTCGTAACTCAGGTCATGTTTGCATTTTGTCACACTGTAGAAAAACATCCATCTGAACAGCAAACTTGTTCTGCAGCTCAGGATTTAACCGTTATTGTTTTTAGAGTAGCTATAACCGAACCTTTGAGCTTCCTGACAAATCTTTTAACCATCTTTAAGTGAGTCTCTGGACAGGCTCTGAGCGGCGCTGCAGAACGAGCTGGTTTCTCATGACGGATGTTTTTCCGCAGTGCATGGGATCTTCTCAGTTGTCTTGCTTGTCCGTTGGTAGTTTTGTTGTTTTTACTTGGAATGAGTGGACGGCTTTCTGCAGGGGGAGAGACTGGGTTGTCATGGCAACGCATCACTTTGTGTCATTCCTGCCTGTTCGTGAGGATGATGAGCTTCTGATTGTGTTGTCCATCAAAACATCGTCTTCACACCGCCTTCATTTGTCCACATCCACGTAAACTTTAGAAATCAATTTACCTGCCAGAGACTTTAAAGTCATGTTACAGGAGATTTTTTCCTCTAAGTGACTAAAATTAGAAATATATGGAGAAAGTGAACGTAGGGGTTGGAAAGTTTATATCATTTGGCCATTTATCAGCAATATTAATTACATTTTTATGACTTTTTTTACAACAATTTTCTTTTCTTCTTGACTTTTTAATCTTGAAATGATGAGGTATGAGACATCTGAGGTAGCTGACCCGAGAAAGACAAAAAAGTCACTAAAATTGAGAGATGAGAAATCTTAACAATCAGATTAAAGGTTGATAAAATGATGAAATACGGGGTGGGGGTTACAATTAGAGAAAAAGTCAAAATGAAAAGGTTTCAATTTATGAGATAAAAAGTCTCAATACCAGAATTTAAAGCCATAATGAAATAAAAAGTCTAACTTTTGAAACTTAAAGTTGTTGCGGTGAGATTAAAAGTTGCAAATATGATTAAAAAAAAGTCAGTATTAAAGTAAAAAGGGTAGTATTGAGATTAAAACCGAAGTAATGAGGAAAGGTGTCGTTACAATGAGGTGAATACTCATAAAGATGAGACTGAAGGTCACGATCATCAAAAGTTTCAGGATAAAAAGTTGTGAATTTTGAGATTTTGAGTCATGAAATAAAATAAAAAGTCTGAATTATGATCATTTGACTAAATAGTCAAAATTATGACTAAAACTCTAAACTGTAGAAAAATTTGCAATCATGAGATAAAGATAAAAAAGGAAAGACTCACAGGAGTTCAACACTCCTCTGAGAGCGTGAATTCAGTGTTAAAGGTGTCACACAGAAATAAGAAGCAGCCGTGGAGCTTATAGAGAGACGTGAGGGTTTGAGCTGAGCGAAGACAGAGATGCTGATGTTTTCTGAAAAATCTGCATAATTTTGACTAACTCACGCCGACAGCTCTGTCAGAAAGAAGATGAAGTGAAGGAGGCGAGAGATGACGGATGACATGAGACGTGATGGATGTGAAGAAGTCCTCCCGCACGCTGCCATCATCCATTTCCAAATTTCTCTCCGCTAACTTAAATTCTGTCTTTATGCTGTTTATCTGGACGTAAGCTCAAAAACGCTGTCAAAATATTTACATTGACAAACCGGCCGCTTTGTTCTCCGCTGAGGACGGTTTGTGGAGCAGTTTTAAACAGGATTAAGATCAGAGACGGCTCGTTTAAAGCCTCCAGGTAATACTAGTCCCAGGATGATAGCACTTTACTCTATGATAATAATAAAAACTCACAGCTCTGTGAAATAAGGCAGCAGAGATCTCCACCAACAGAGGATTTATAGTACCACTCAGTGAAAGTTAAAGGTAAGGGAAAAGCTCGCTACACAATCGCCCGCTCAAACCACGTTTGATTCAGAGTTCAGCACTGACAGAAATATCAGTAAATCCGTCTTTATCCTTCAGCTGATTTAACGTTATCGTGCGGTGTATCTGCACAGCAGACAGCCTCAGCTCCCGTCTCTTCTCCTGCAGCCGTGAGCCAGCAGTGAACTCTGCGTTACCTCTTGTGTATATATGAGGACATGTGCGGCTCCTCCTCCTCCGTGAGTCCGCCAAAAGCTTATAGATGTGATGTAACCGTTTGTTTCGGAGTCGGAGGACTATCTTTTCTCTGAAAAGTGCCACTTCTTTGTCTCACGCACAATGAAAGCCTGTCAGGACAGTCGTTTCAAAGCCGGGCTCTTAGCATATCAAAGGCTCCTCGGAGGAGTTTGGAAGATTCTTTCATGTCGACGCTCGGCTCTGCTTGGAGCCCAACTTCTGCCTCTCCGGTGGATTTTCAGTCCTCTTGGTCCCAGTTTGCTCTTCCTGTTGGTCTGACGGGGTTTGCAGGATCAGGCAAAGTAAAAACCCCCAACAGCTATGCAAAGGCCGTATCCACCAATGGTAACCATTCAAGTTCATGTGTCGATTTCCAACGGCTTCTTTCCGTTCCGCAGCTGATCGCAAGAGTTCTATTTTTTTCTGGACGCTGGAGCATGCCGGATAAATTCAGCACAGATTTACTCGTGCTGGAAAGGAAGTCGGACACAGACACAAAATAAAACATCCGGCTTCTTTTCAAAATAAAACAGGAGACAAACAAGTGAAAGGTTTAAAACAAGCATTTCATCCCGATGACACCATGGATGAGGAGATGCTGATTCTAGAAGTCTAGAAGTAGATTTCCTCCTCTGGAAGGACACAATGGACTGCTTATTTGGTTAGACTGTGTGTCTAAAGACAACATGTTATCACGTGATTGCACGTGAATCTCGGGTTCTTGTAAGTTCTCGTGATTCCTGCTGTCCGTAATCCGCCACAAAATTTTCTCACAAATTTATCTAGAAGGAATTAGCATACGGCGAAAATCGCTGCCGTTATGGATGGGAGTCGTTCAGGATGCGGTAGAAATCCCGGGTAAGGGAGGGTGTCAAAGGAGAAAAGAAAAAGAGTGACATGAAGAAAGAATCTTGATTCCTACGGCTGCCTCATTTGCTGCTGGAAGCTGACGTTTCCATTTTACAGCTGATAAGACACAGGACAAGTCTTTACTAAAGCGTTATAGTCAATCTTTCTATTATAATGTCAAAAAATTCTCACCGGATCTGTCTTAAATGAAAAACTATCTGCTGAAATTGGCACATGGTCCATTTTTATCAGCAAATGCCTCATATGGAGTCAGACGGATGGATCTTTTCAGTCATAGGCGGCTGAATGAAACACCAGTGTTCAGGTAACAGGCTCACTAATACCCTCCAATCATCCCCTGTTTTACTGTGAAGTACTCTGATGATAAATGACATCATATCCTGCGTTTTGGGAACTATCCGGACTGATTGCCACAATCAAACCCCGGAGGTTTCTCCTCAGGAGTTTCCTGGACGTGCAGCACTGAAATCAGACTCCCAGTCTGTGTGGTCTGTGTGGCGGTTAAGTGGCCCTGTCCTCACCTCTTTCATGCTTCACTGTGTACCTGCCGGCTCCCATGATGCACTGCAGTGTGAGTCAGGCTCACGGAAGGATTGTGCAGATTTTGTGCGGTGCTAAAGACAGAAAAAGACACTAATTCACAAAGCTCATGCAAAGCAAAAGCATTGGTGCTACTGTAGATGCCAACAGACTACCAGCAAACACAATGTTTGCAGGACTTCTACCACTAGGATAAAGTGACATAGTCCAGGACCCGAGGGAGGACAGTTTAGCGATGGCGCTACAACACGCTACAGCAGGTCCGTTTGACAAGAAACACTTCTGTTACAGACACTTGTCTTACTTTGTTAAAGCGGTTTACCTGTCCAGCAGAAAGGTTACAGGGTCACCAAGATCCCCAAGCGTCCCCCATCGTTTATGTTGACCCGGCTTTTTAGCTCTTGTCCGGTCTACCCCCGTTTTAAGCGCCCGTTATTCCTCCAGAGTCTCCGGTATTTACTTTGTTTTCTTGCTTGTATTTTCCGAACTTTCTGGTTGGTTTCTACTGTCCGATATTGTAGCACGCTAACTTTGTTTGGGCTTGTTAACGTTATTGGAGGATGTGAGCGTGCCTCAAACGCAAGGGAGTAGCATCTGCCTCACAACCAATCAGGTTGGGGGAGGCGGAGAACGGCTTTGTTTATAGTCAGAAAGAGCGAGCCACTCCAAAAATTTAAAATGTTGACTACACAGACAATCCTTCGAAAAGCCACGCCTCCAAACACGTCATGTTACCGTGAATTCGACTTCCTGACTCTGAAGTTAATCTGTCACACCACTAAACATGTGAGACATCCAGCACATGAAACCCTCTGAGATTACTGTTTACACCCTCCTCTCCTCCCTCCACTTGCCCTTTTCCCGGCATCATATGGTGGCATTTCCACGAGACAAACGTGTCCTGTTATTAATATGTATCATACATGTAACCCCTATACTCCCCCCCTCCCATACAACCACTGCTGCGGGCGATATCGCATCGACCGGCCAGTACACAAGAGGGAAATGTCAGAGGTGGAAGCGTGTGCCCTTTAGGCTGCGCGCTACTTTAGGCCACGCCAAAAACAATCATGGCAGCCGGGCTCATAGCGCGGTCCCTTCTGAGCCTTTGTGTCAGGAGCTGATGCCTGAGAGCGGGAGACTTACAGAGGTCATGTTTGCACACACGGGTTGTTGTTGTTGTCTTTGGCTGAAACATTATAAGTTAGGAGTGATGCAGTCACACAGATGTGGCGATAGAAAATATATTTCTTATCTGATTTTAAAGTTTGTTGGACGGAAATGTGGTGTTCGCTCTTCTGTTGCACATATATTGTCACATTTACAATAAGCTTACTTTTAGGACCTATATGAAATAAATCTAACTAGCATATCAGGTTAAGGCCTTCTGTATATAGGTAGTTGAATTTAAGGCTGCGCTGAGCTGAAAACTTGTTAAACTTGGTACTTCGCTAACTAAAGGGCCTCAGACTGAGGCGCCAGTGGACCAACAGTCTAAGCACCCCAAATACAGCCACTTAAGTCCTCATCTCAGTGGTCACTGGTTTGATAACCGTCCACGACTCTTTATTTATATATTTTGGTGTTTCTGTTGCAAACATATCTTAAAATAAGTTAGCTACAGGAGAAGTTTGCCAAAAACTCTTTCAATGTAGCCTGATGTGCACCTCCTCAAAAACGTAACCACACACTGCAACAGCTCAGAGCCTTTTGATTGACTAAGTTAGCATGACCACACTGCATACAATATGCTTGACCATCAGCATTAAAATTAGCAGAATGACAGTTTCCTATCTGGCAATTTCCACTGCATCTGGAACAGCTACAAAACGGCCGTATTCTCCGATCTTAGCTGATCATAACCATTCAGGTTAATGTGTCAATTTCCGCCGGCTCCTTTCCGTTCCGCTGTGGATCGCTGGACTCCGCAGCTGATCGCAAGAGTTCTATTTTTTCCGAATGCCAGAGCATGCCGGATAAAAACAGCACAGATTAACCCATGCTGGAAAGGAAGTCGAACACAGACATAAATCCACGAAATTCGCCTCACAAACGGGTCTGGTAGGCATTGGCGAACAGCGAAAATCACCGCTGTTCCAGATCGGAGCCGTTCCAGATGCAGTGGAAATCCCTGGTTAGAGTGTCCAAACCTGCTATAGGTGACGCAGAGCAAAGCGATGTGCCATTTTAACTCTGTCTCTATTTCCTGGATAAGAAAATGTTATCCACGGAGTTAAGATCAGCAGATGTCTCCAAATTTTACCAAGTGGTCTGACGAGTCTTGGCTCGTGTTAACAGCAAGATGAGAAAGTTTGAGAACTGCCTCAGTACTGAGTATCAAATCTCCTCATATGAGTGACGTGTGACTCTGACATTATGCAGCCGGTTAAAGTGACCTGTGAGGCCCGTCAGTCTTCAGTAATCTGCAGGAAGCTCTGATCGCCGTTAAATCAGCCGTTAATGACAGTCGGTGATCGTCAGAACAGCTTTGACTGGTTAAAAAAAAGGAAAGAAATCCACTAATGAGAGTTTTTCAAGATCATTTTTCTGTTTCTCCATAAATGAACTTTTAACGACCTCTGCGATGAGGATTTAATTAATTAAATCAGAGATTTTAAGCCAGACAAGGTGAGACATGTAACTGTCAGGAGATGTTTGGAGACGGTGAATGTCTTTCTCTCCATCATCGCACATTTCTCTCATAATCGCAGTAATGGCCGCCAGCTCTACAGGGCTCAGACTCTCAAAAGGGTAATTTGTCTGAAAACCGCTGCACGGCTGCTTTAACTCACAGCTAATGGTGGAGAGCTAATGTCAACGACTGTGAGAAAATGACTCCTCACGTATGACCTCCATCACTTTCACTCCAAGTGCTTCTCTTTAAGAAAGTGGCGTCTCCACCTGGACTGACAGGAGCTCATTGGACAAGAGAAATGATATGGATATGGATTTTTTGGCGCTGATGCCAATACCGACCATTTGGAGGGGGTCCGATTACTGATTAATCGGACAATTTTTTTAAGTTTTAAAATTTTTGTTAATTTAAGTAATATATCTACATATTTACTTTTTTTGACAAATGGCTGCTTTTGAGCCTTTCAAACACTTCTCAGTAATATTAATCTCGGTAATGTTTCACGTATTTATCATAAATTTATCATGAATCAAACTCGGATCAGAAAAGCGTTTTCAACTTCGTTCAACATCGTCAAGTTGTTTGAACTGACACTTGCTGATTTCTTGTCTAACTGGTTTATTTACCGTTGAGGAAGACCACTCTCCTCCGTGCGTCCCCGCCACTACCTGCTTCGGATCCATCACTCTGCTGTGCTGTGAGGTAGTTAGTGGATGAAGATTGCCATGAGGTCGCTGCGCCATCTACAGGATAAGTCTTTTCAAATGGGGGAACATTTTCGAAGTGAAACCAAATCTTATCCTCCGCATTTTATTTCTGAAAATATTGGCGAGTTGTACGGGCTAAAATTGGCCGATAAATCAATCGGGTCCTAGTAGAGACTGGATTTTTTTTCTTTTATTCCTTCAGTTTTGGCGGTAAACTTTCATTGCTAAGGTTGCTGTTGCCTCTGAAGGCCTGTTATGTGAAATTCACCAGCCTCTGCGCAGTCCTACACAAAGAGACACAACGGTCATGCTGTTTGGTTGGGAAGATGGCCACTGTGGGAAAACCGTCTCTTCAGATTTAAAACTTTCTTTCAGACAGAGCAAGACGAGAAGTGAGAAGGTGTTCAATCAAAACCTGAGGAGGACACCCTGTAGATAATCTTCACAGTATCGCGAATCGACGACCTGTGAGGTTGTCCGAGTGGAGGCTGTGTTTCACGTTCTTTTTGGTGTCTTTTCATGCTTTGTCTATTTTCATCTGTTTAACGCATTTTCATTCGCAGCCATTCCGATCATAAACGCCATTGTTGTTTTAATGTGTGCATTATCACAAGCTTTGTCTCCACTAACGTTGACTCTGTGAGTGACTGGGAGATGATGCATGACTTGCCCTGAGCCGTCTGTCTGATAGCGAATGTTGCATTTTGGTCTCCCCCTTTTTCTTCCCGTCCCCTTAATTTTCTTTTTCTTTTCTTTCGTGTATGTTCTGAACGTAACTGTGTGTCTGTTCTTCTTTTTTTCATTTGTAACTTGAATGAAACAAAAAAAAAAGGGGGACAAGCAGGTTCATTCTATGTGCATGTGCTTTCCCCCTAGACTCTGGCTGCCCTAACGAGAAATTCGATAAATCTGCTTCCAAACCATCTCGCACAAGCTTTGCATGTCCACTCTGGTCCTGAGGAAATTAACAAGCGAATAGAGAGCGCCATCGACTTACGGAGTGGCGATAAGTTGAGAAGAGAGCATATCAAGCCTTTCTCACTGATGTTTAAAGACTCCAGCCTGGAAGAGAAGGTAGCTGGGGTTTTAGACAGATAACTGTTTTTTTTTCCTTTCTCTCTCCTTCCTAACATCTATTTTTAGACCAAGATCTCCAGAAGCAAAACAAGAACCAACAACTTTTTTTTTTTTTTTGTCCTGTCATGAGTAAGCTAAAGGCACCGGGAATACTTTTGTTATCAATACAATCTACTTACACGAGTCTGTTTTAGACGAGGGTGAAATCAGAGGAAATCAATTCCCTCAGTTGGACTTTTTAAGGAGTCTGAAGCTATCTCAGTAAATCTGCACTCAAACTTTTCGACTAAAAAAGTGAATTGAAGAGATTGTTAATTTTTACATGAAATTTCATATCTAGTTATTGACTGATTAAAAAACCAAATAAATAAAGCAAATTAAACTAAATGTAATGTCAGTATCATATCGCCAATATCTGCTGTATTCCCAGCTACATGAATAATGGGTGACACTGGCACTGAACCCAAAATCTGCGTTTCTATGGCGTCAGGATGCTTACTCAGAAATCCCACCAGATGCGGACCAGCAGGCGGATAAAATACGCAAGCATAAAGTGCCCACCGGATCCGATCTAACTCTGCTATCAGAGGAGAAGCGCTTACAAGATTACAGCTATTTCTCGTGAGACTGGACAAGATCTCGACATTGAATGAGATCCGCCAATAGGTGTATATAAACACCCACATCCCACAACCCAGGCCTCTCCAATTATTAAGCTAAGAACAGTTCAACATATTGACTTTATTTTGTTTTGAAAATTTACTGGATATTTTACTCTGTAGCTGCACAAAACTTCCGCTGCTCCTCGTGCTGCGCTGCACTAAATCGATACACTTTCCTACAGCGTCTGGCAAAAATAGAAGCCTTGCCAGCCGCCAGAGCGGAACCAGACACAGGTAAAGGATGGTAAAGCATTAAAGAATTATAGCAGCACAGCCCAAGCAATGGTGGCTGGCTGCCCCATAATTCAGGCACCACATATGACAGGAATTTGGGCTTTGACTGGAGAAATAGACAATATGTGATAGTTTAGTTGAGTAAACAGGTGTATCTATAGTTTAAACCCTTGTAAATGGACCAGGACTAAACTTGAACTACAGCTCCTAATGTCACTGAGGATTAGACCTTCTTAGAAGATTATATAAAAGGTTAAAGTGCCTCGTGCTTCAGACTCTATGCTTGTGTACATCAAGAAACATAGTGAACCCAACCTGTAACAGCAGATAATATCTCTAAGACCTTTTTTAATCGTTGTAGCTTATATACTTTTCCAACCTGATCTATGACTTATGAGTTTTTAAATTTGGCTTTATTTTTACCACTTTTACCACACTGATTTGTACTGCGACTGATTTGCTCCGAGCCTCCTTTAGTTTACTCATGACCTGCAGTTCACAGACCTGTTACTCTACTACAGTGTTGTGGAAAAAGTTGACTCGTTCAACTTTGATTTTTCTATTTTACAGGAGCACATTGCATTCGCAAAAGAAAAAATGAGTACCCGTCCCTTGATTATGATTTAGCATCTCATAATTATCAAACCTCTTTCTTTAAATACAAGAGGTATATGCGCTAGGCTGAATGTACAAACAAATGCTTTAACTGGTTCAAAATAGAGGAAGAACTTCGCAGATCAGTCCAGCTTGTGGAGAAACAACTAGCTTAAGAAACAGAAGAAAACTAAATACATTTTGTGCTGTTTAGCAGCATTAGCAAATTTTCACCGTCAACAGCTGACAAGTTAGGTTGAAAAACTTATTCTTAAAGCAACAAACAAAACTAAGAGAATACCTTTGATTTTGATAAAGGAAAACTAATGCCCAAGTTGCCGAAAACTGCAGTTCCTCAAGTGTCCACTCGAGGCTGCGTCCAAAAGCCAATGACACCCCATTGGAACCAACATCAAAATGCAAATTTTCAAAGTAGAAATTAACACGTTGACATCTTGATGGAAGAACAATTTTTGTGTGAACAGAGCATTTCTCTGCCTGTACACATTGTTCAGGGTTTGAATTGTTTTCAATCATCAGTTTTTTCGGATATCGAGAATGTTAGCTTTTAACAAATATGCGTTATTTGGGGCGTGGCTGATTTCACTGACATCCTGGTTTATTTCAAATGATTTACAGGAAGTCTAAGACCTTCTTCAAACCTTACTCCGTGCTTCTTTTCTGATTTGACCAAATGTTAAGTTGAGTGAGCAAGTCCAAATCGGTAAACTTCTTTGTTGGGCTTTAAAAAGCCTTTTCATTATTTGGCATTGAGATGTTAGATCAAAATCAACGTCCAATCACAAGAAAACGTTTTTTCCTTGGTGAATGCAATGCACTGCTGTAGCTTTTTGTCCTTTTCTTTCTTATTTTGGTTCAATGGCTAAGCTCACCTTTGACCTTTAAGTTCACCCTCATATGCCCCCCCCTTCCCCATTTATGTTTCAGTTTAAATCCCACCACCATCTTCAAAACTTTCCCAATAACCTTTTTTTATTGGTTGACCTCTTAACCTCTTCAGTAACTGTGCAGTGATTTGCTGTTGGCCTCCCTCATTTTTACGTTTTAGTTTTTTATTTTTTTGCCAAAGTTGTGAAGAAACATGGAGCATCCTCTTGCTAATTTCCCAGCACCCTTTGAGAAAGAGACAGAGCTAGGAGGGGGACGGCGGGGACCGTGGTGGGGTGGAAAGTTTCAGTCTGAAATGAGTCAGGCTATTTGTCCAGACTGGTGACTCATCAGGTTTAATTTTAACATCAGCACAAGGCTTTCTTTGGGGAGTGCTAACACCTAAAACTTTCTCCTTTTTATCTCAAAATAACTTTCCAGTCCTAAAAGTTTTGTATGTTGGTAAAAAAGTCCAATTTGCCTTTTTTAAACCGAGTTTATTGATGCTTAAGTGCATGATAAGAGAGAGTTCAACTTGAGGGAATTGGCTTGGGATTCTACACTGAAAATAGCCCCTTTAATGAGTGGGACTTAATGAAAGGGACTTAATGTGTCTAGTTGTTATGAAATCTGGCCGACTTCAGATCTGCAATTTGTAGATTTTTGCATTTTTGCTTGTGTTGCTCTGAATCCTCTCTACATCAGACATTTTCTAAAATACAGACCGCTTGATCGAACACCTTACCAGTTGGAATAGAAGCATTAATGTGAGTGTTTGTCTCTATTTATTTTTTAAAGTTTAGCTTAGATTGGTCGTTAGCATTGAGCATGTTAGCGCTATATCCTGAGGGTCTATCAGACTCAAAAAAAAACAAATCAATCTAATACTAATAGATAATAACCTTTCAAAAACTGTCAGCCCTTTTCAGTTTAGCCGCACAGCTAGCTTATTTGTAGTTCTGTGTTTTTTGTCTCTAACTTAGCTAATGTCGATAGCAAATGGCTAACAGCTAGCATCGTGCTTGTGAGCTTTGCATCTTCCCCAGGACCCCACAGCTAACCCACCAGCTCCTGTCTCTCTCTAACGCTTGTGGTTGAACCGCATGCTTTGCATCTGTCCCGGTGCGTTGGTGTGTTTGAGGTGCATTTCAGTGTGTTCAGTCCTTTCTGTTTGTCAAAAAATTAGGTTTCTCCATTTTTCCCCTCACCTCACTTCTCTCCTTTTTATTCCCTTTTTTGTCTGCTTTTCCTTTTTTTTTTAATGGTGCAGTACTCCCAAATGAGAGACGAGGTGTTTAAATCTAACCTGGTTTGCGCCTTCATCGTGCTAATCTTCATCACTACCATCCAGAGCCTGCTTCCCTCTGCCAGGTAAAAAAAGGACATAAACATATTTAACATTTTATATGATCTAGATAAAATTCTATCCAGCTAGCTAAGCTAAGATGTCTCAAATTGGAGGTTTCCAAGTTTCTAGATTTGATATTACGACAAATGTTCTCCCAAAGGTTGGTCATGGATGTAGTAAGTATGGTAATATATATATTTTTTGCTGTTGTTACTACTTGGCGATCTTTTGTGTTCCTATAGGATGGTGACCATGGTGATCCAGTTTTCAATCCTCATCATCCTTCACTCCTGCCTGGTTCTAGTCACAACAGCAGAGGACTACAAGTGTCTGCCTCTGGTTTTGCGCAAAGCGTGTTGTTGGATCAACGAGACCTACGCGGCTCGAAATGTCATCATCTTTGTATCTATTCTTATCAACTTCCTGGCAGCAATGATCAATATAGTGAGTCAGTTTTAAGAGCTTATATGTGATGGCTATGATCTTACCTCATGAAGAAATTGGAGCGTCCTGATGTTCTTTATCTAAAAATGACGACACTAGTTCATCCTTCTTCTTTTATAAACAAGAGAAGAGGGTTTTTTTGTGGCTTCTGCAAATGACTGCTTGTTGACAAATGTATGAAGATTGCCCTGAACCTGTACCAGTAAATACCGTACTAAAATCATCCCTGTTGGTCTCTCACAGCTGTGGTGCGACTTCGACAAGTCCACCACGTTCAGGAACCAGACGTACAATGCATCGGCCTCCATCCCGGACATCTGCTTTTACCCTGAGGTACTAACTAAATGATGTGTCTGAAATTTTGCAGTCAGGACCATCTGTTGTGTTTTTCATACTGGCTACAGCGGCGAAATGATGAATTAAACATTCTGGACATCTGCTTGCACCCAGAGGGAGGTCTCGCCTCAGTTACCGACGACTGATGGAGCCACAAGAACGTCACAGAGCCAACATCCATTATGTTCATTTGATCATACAATATGCAGCTGATTGATGAACTGAATGAGGGAGCAGAAATTTGTGGCTCTCAGCTTGGGGTTGAGTGTTTGCAAGTGTAAATCACAACCTTTATGTCCTCTGGAGGGTCAGGGGAGCTGGTGTGTTTGTAATGGGAACTTATTTCAGGTTTGTTAAAGGAAATTTTGTTTTTCAGCAGTGAGAAATCAAGACTGAAACACTGAATGACACCAACTTAGGGAAACATTGTTAAACCAGAAGCCTTTGACCCATTTTGACCTTAAATATTCATTATTTTGTCTTTAGAAAGAGCTGTTTTTCTCACTTCACACACAAAGGTCAATTCACTTGTCGGAATGAATAGAAACACACCTTTTCAAGCATTTGCACAACGTCCCCTGTGACTGAGAGAGCTTTGTTTGTTTGGGAAAATAAGCACTGATGATTTCATTATTGTTTTTACCAATTTGGCACCTGATAGCTACAAAGGAATACTAGAAAAGCTGTGATACAAACAGAGGGAAAAGACTCCAATAGATAGTGAAGTGGAGTACCAATTAAGCTCAGAGCTGAAACTGAAACCCCCTCATTTAGAGACTCGGTAGTTCAACTTCCATTTCATTTCTCTGTTTCAAGCTCTATCCTGTCCTCTCTATAGTTCTATAATGTCATTATATTGAACTGCAGAAATACGTATCATTCCCCTAACAACATTAACTCGTTCCTCTTTGTTCTTGTGTCCAGTACTTTGTGTTCACAGGAGTGCTGGCGATGGTGACGTGTGCAGTGTTTCTTCGGCTGAACTCAGTGTTGAAGTTAGCAGTGTTGCTGGTGATGATCGCCATCTACTCCCTGCTTACTGAAGCTTTCTACACCTCGCTGTTTGTCCGCTATGACACCGTCCACCACAACACAGAGTGAGTGTTTCCAGAGGGGGTTTAAATCATTTGTAAAAACTAAAGTATTGGGGAAAAATGTGATAAGACAGCAGCAAGACAAAGTCCTACAGCTGTCTGTGCAGGTATTTCAGAGATCAATCAACACTCTATGTAAAAATGGTAAAAAATCAAAGTGCTAAAACCCCACTCAAAGGCGCAAAACACAAGCCCACCAAGTTAATGATCTAGATAAGCTCTTGCAATAGATCTTTTTGGCTCTGTTCATGACTAATGTTAATCAGAAAACACCGTACAGACTGCACGCTCATGTGAAATTGGACTCTACAGGCTTCACTACGTCCAAAAAACGTCATCAGACACATTAAAACTGATCTCAAACCCTATTGCAACAGTTACACCATTTAAAACACTGGATTGTTGTAAGGGCTGAGGCATTAATCTTAGATTCTAGAACCTGGCATTGATCTTACATTCTAGAATGTATCTTTGATTTTATGCCGAGGTCAGACTTCACTTTCTTTCCTTCTGTTACTGTGTTAGATTTGGTGATCTCAGAACAAAATCATGCAGTGGTTTGTTCATGGACAACTTGGTTCCGCCTTCCGCTTATATACGAATTTAAAGCCGAAAAGCTCTCGGCAATTCTGCGTTATTTCTCCATTTCCTTAAACCAACATTGTGCAGTAGCATTGCACACATTCAGCGGGAGAGTCGCAGAGAGTCGCTGTGATGACGCCACGAGAGTTTGCTGTTCTCGGAGTGGCTTCACCCAGCGAGGAGGCAGACGCTGTCCATTCTATATACAGTCTATGGGTTTGACCAACAGACGACAGACTACACAGTGGTACACGACAATATCAATCACAGACTGTATAATAACTAGACATGGCATCAGTGATGTCACCTGTTTGTTTCTGAGGCAAACTTTCGAAACCGATCAGCGGTAGTTAAACCTAATTTTCGACAGCCTATCAGAGGCGGGTCTTTAGCCCCCTCACTAATAGCTACACTGTCAGTCAGGTTAGCTTTGGCTTTAATCCACCAATACTGTAACCTAATATCTTTGAAACGAACATGTTTAACAAGGTAAATTACAGTGGGTGCCGGTGGAGCCCTGAGTTAGTTAGACTGAGACTGTTTTGGTCTGCGGCCATCAAGCGGGTACTCTGGGAACGGCAGTATTTAGCACTGTTTCATTGGCTTCATTCCACTAGACCAGGAGTTGCTGCTTGGGTAAAAGTGATCACCCAGCTCTGTTATGTACTTGATTTCCAATCAAAGACCCGTCTGTTGTTGATGCTTGCCCCAAATGTAGGCAAACTGTGTTAAAATATTATCTTAAAGACAAAGGGCTCAGCTCTGTAAGGAGGAAATCAGAGGTAGTTGTTGTTCCTCTTCTTCTGAATCTTCTCATCTTGACCTTTCTCTCTTTTTTCTCAGAGGGCCATAAAGAAAATGAGTGTAACTCCCACCTGCACCCTTCAGAGCTTTAATGGAAACCTTTGCTGCAAAGGGATATAATTTTAACTCTCTCCCTGCTCTATGCTTTTATATATTGACGCTGTAAAGGTCATGGTGCTAGCACTGAGAACACCTGCAAGATGAGTTTTCTCACGGCCGCAACATTTATGTCCAGAAAAAAAGGTCAAAGAGGCTCCCTGATGTCCCTGTCTTTGCAAGAATCTAAAAATTAGGGTGTATTGATTTGCTCCCTGGACTATAGCTGTACACTCTTAGCTGTAAACGATGTAAAAAAAAAAAAATAGCACTTCATGGGTTCAATAAGTTGTAAAAATGCACCGAATAACAATTTCAGGATGAAGGTCAGTAACAACAATGGACAGTGCCACTTATCTGTACAGTGAGAATTACACTCACAGTATAAGCCAGTTGTCACTCACTATTACAGCACCAGAGAGACAGAGACAGGAACAAAGACGCACTAAGTAACTCTCCTCTGACCCGTTTCTGTCCTCTTTTGATTCCAACAGAAACTTTCTGGGGACCAAAGAGACGTCTTTACTCCTGATGGCCATGTTCCTCCTCGCTGTGTTCTACCACGGCCAACAGGTGAGATCACACCAACAGCAAACTCTTCATCACTATTGATTAAAAACTTGCAACCTTGTGGGTTCAGTACACTCAACCACAATCATGGGGAAGACTGCTGGCTTGACAGATGGCCTTGGATGAACATGGACACCCTCCATAATGAGGGTGAGCCCCAGAAGGTCATGCCAGAAAAGGGCTGGCTGTTCACAGAGTGCTGTATCAAAGCATGTTAACAGAAAGCTGACAGGAAGGGTAAAGTGTGGTAGAAAAGGTGCGCTTTAAGAGGATTGTCAAACAAACCAAAGAGGGACTTCGAAGGATTTCACAAGGAGTGGACTGAAGCTGGAGTTAGTCCATGAAGAACCAATACACTCAGACGTGTCCAGGAAATGGGCTACAAGTGTTGTGTTCCTACTGTCAAGACACTCCTGAACCAGAGACAGAGCCATAAGTCTCTCCTGGGCTAAGATGAAAAAGACATGGACTGTTGCTCAGTGGTTCAAATGTCCAGTGTGATGATTCAGGGTGACATATCATCTGATGATTTTTGTCCACTGAGTCTGATCAAGGCGAAAGTCAACTCAGGCAATTTTAGAGTACTTCTTGTTTCCATCTGCTGACAAGCTATACGGAGATGCTAATGTCCTTTTCCAGAAGGACTTGGCACCTGCCGACAACGCCAAAACTACAAGTGGTTTGCTGACCAGTGTATTACTGTGCTAAATTGGCCTGACCTCAATGCAAGCTCTGCTAGCGAGCGCCGTCTGCAGCTGCCTGGACAGCTACCGCATTGATGTTGCAGAGACTAATAAGAGTAATTTATGAAACATGTGCCACGATAAAAGGCGATAAAGTGACCTGTTCAACAAAAACTCTGCTGTCACCACTCTAAGGATGACCCGATGTTTATTCAAGTTAGATTCCTCGCTTGATCACATTTCCTCTTCATCTCCGCCCTATCTTTTTTTGGCTTGCGATTTTTTCCCACTTTTGGCATCGGGGCAAGCAGAAGTGGGTTTTTTTTGCATCCTTCTCCATCACAGCTCCTGTAGCTAAGCTGCTACACTACTTTTAGCCGCTCAGAGTGGGAGGGGACGAGTCGGAACTACGGGAGAGAGGTGTGTCGAATACAGATACGATCGATATAGAAACGAGGTTCATAGTAATTACCATAATAATTACCAATCTCTCCAATTGTCAACCATGCCTTTAAGATAACCGATTTTTGATTTCCAGATATTTTCTTTTTTTTAAATGCATCTGCAATTTTCTTATCATTTTAGATTCCTTTAAGCATGATTATGCAAGCTAAGATCTCATGCAGCCAAACACTTGAGCTGTACCATGGGGCTTAAGTATAAAAAAATCACTGCAATCACTGTAATAGTAGAGGAAATCATCCTTATGAGGTGCCCGTTATTATCTGACCCTGTGTGACGCTTCTTGAGATACATAGAGCCGCTGAGACACACCACTTCCTTTCAACAACTAAAACAATAAATGAGTCATTTTTATAAAGCAGCAGCTGAGGAAGACGCCAGAGGAAAACTGGTATCACCATGCTGCTCTCCAAGGAAACCTTTGATCATGGAGTTCACCGGCTCGACAGCAACAAGAGATGGAGGGCAGACGATCGTGATTGAAGGTCCTTTGTAGCCTCATGAAAGTAGAGAGCGGCCACATTTGAAGTCATCGGCTGGCATATTGATTTTCCCAGGGTCAGTCTTAGACTTGTTTGTAAGGCCGAGACAATAACAGCTCACAGCGGGTGTCTGCAGCTCTCACAGCTCTCTGTGAGAGATGCATCAGGCAAAGAGAGGAGACTACAAATAAAGGAGATGGTAAACTGTGTGCAGGGAGGTCCAATGTGATCCAGCTTCCGTTAAAGTACAAAGTTATAAGTTTGATTTGTTTGAATTTAGTGTGAACTTTATTAGCCCCATTAGCTGTGGTTAACCTTTTTTTATGGTATGTTTCTGCGTATATCCAAAACTGTGCATGATGGAGAACTTGTTGATGGCCTTGGTCAAGTGTGTTTGACCCCAGCAGGACTGAAGTGATGCTAGTTTGTTAGAGGAAAGCAATGTGGGTATCCTTATTTGAGCATTCTGAGATTAACACCGTACTGTATCATGATGCGAAAAAACAGGTAATGACAGTAAAGTCTGATCACTAGGGTTGGGTATTGTTTGATTTGATTCCAATTCCGGTTCTCTCTCTCTCTCTTTGTCCTGTTTGTGTTCGGCGGCTTCTTCTTCATTGGTGTTAAGCAGCGTCTTCTTCGTTGGTGTTCAGCGGCTATTTCTTCCGGTCTGTGTACTCCGGCGTCGAAACTTGGAATCAAAAATTTTCAATTTGAATGGTTCCAGGTAAATTGGAATGTTAGTTCCAGTCCCCATTGATGCTCGAGACTCGATGCCCAACCCTACTGATCTCATTGCCTACCATGAATGTAGTGTAATTCCAGAGTTTGAGCTCTAATCGGATCAGATTACCTTTGAACAACCACAGTACCTCAAGTGTCCACTAGAACAGTGGGTCTTAACTGGTGGTTCCTGACCCAAAAGTGGGTTGCGGAGACGTTCTGGATGAGTTGCAAACAGCAGGTCAAAAAAGTAAATCAGCGCATCCAATGTTTGACATGTTTGACTTGTTTTGAAAGAGACACATACACATGCAGCGGCCTAAGCTTGGTGGGCAAGGTAACTACCATACAACACGGGCTATTTAAAATGTGCATTTTGGTTCACTGAGGATGATAAGGGCAAAAAAAACCCAGTGTGTAATATGTAGCCAGGTGTTTGCAAATGAGCATGAGAAGCTCCATTTGGGAACAAAACATCCCACATATAAAAACAAGCCAGTGGCACTTTTTCAGAGACAACTCCAGAAGCTGCAGACTTGAAATGCTCTGAAATGCACTTTACTCAATCAAACCGGTGTATTTGTGTTAAAGATTTGAGTCTATAAAGGTTTTTTTTTTTATAAAAAAATAAATTTGTGTGGTTTGAATTCTATAAAAGTGGGTCGCGACTTAAGGACCATGGGAAAATGTGGGTCCCAGAGTGAGACCAGTTGAAAACCACTGCACTAGCAGGCTGTCTCCAAGAGTGAGTCAACCTCCATTGAGCTTCATGTTGCAAAGTCAAGCTTTGTTCAAGTCTGAAGAAATCGTGACTCATAAAAGGAGCAGGTGGACGTATGAATTGATGTAGTTCAGCTCCATTAATGTTAACCATCAGTTAAAGTAACGATTGACGTAAGATCATTTCGCCAAATTCTCCGTCATAGTGGCAAAGACATGATGAAAGATATGAGTTGACTAAAAATACTGGCAGAAAAAGGCAGCAAAGAAATCCCTGAGAGCTGAACCTGAATGCCAAGTCTCGGTTGGAGCTCTTTGGTCGATGGTTAAGGTTTTGAAGAACAGCATAGGCCTCCGCCTTTGAGCGAAGATCCAACAGAAAGATCTTCTAACAAAGTCACTCTGAATCAGCAAACCCAGGAATAACGAAGCAGCTCCTCCCTAAACAAGTCTTTCCTCCCCTTTGTTGCTGAGCACTATGATCTGTTGTAGAGAAAAAACACGTAAAGGGTGTGAAAACCGGAGTTAGTGCCTTTCTCAGAGACTCTTTTAAGCGATTTCATTGTGTCGGGAAGAAGAGCGCATTAAAGCAGAGAGACGGAGGAGACTCACTCTTTTATCCTGCTCGGCTTTTCTTATTATACGCTCTCATTCAGCGCTCGTTAAATGTGGAAAAACAACATTTACACACATTTTCCGACCACATTGTGTTTCTGCTGCAAGTACACAACTTATTATGAGAGCCTGGGCAATCTTTGATAACCGATACAAAAGAGGAGACGGATGGATGATTACAGAGCAATTTTAAACTCACAGGGATGAAGACTCTCTTTAACTGAATCATTTTGTATTTGAATATTGAGTCAAACAGTTTTTCCCTCTATTATCCTCAGTATTTGGCGATGCAGTGTTGATATCTGTTTCTAACCTCAGTCTTTTGCATAATGAAAGGAAAGTGGCAGAACAGAGAGGCCGGACAAAGTTGTTCTTTGCAACCAAAGTGAGAAAAATTAGGATATTTGTACTTTTTCTCCTATCTTGTCACGATCTTTTTAGTCGAGTTCGCTCAGTCTTTCATTCACTCACCGAAGTCTGCCATGATCTTGCTCTCGCAACTTTGTTTTTGCACCGTCACAGGTCACGCAAAGTCATGCCAACACAGCAGGTCCTTGGACTGCCAAATTCTCATGAGTGTCACGTCTACACCGGACACGGAAAACATTTACATGCATCATCAACGTGTTTTTGGATGCCTGAATGTTTTGTGTTCGCATCTTGTGCCATATCATGTTTATCCGGGTTTTGATAAAAAAATCAAGAAGTGTTGAATAGCTCAGGGTAGCTACATCGTCACAGTGTTTGTCCTCCATTTTCCAGAAAAATGACCTTGCTCTGGAACTGATTTTAAGGTTTTGCAGCCCTGCACCTGTTTTTCTCTCTTCACTTTGTGGAGACCGCACTATAGGACCATGATCGCCATAGAAACGAGGTTCATAATAATTACCAACCTCTCCAATCGTCAACCATGCCTTTAAGTAGTTTTAGTTGTAATGTGTCGTGGCCTAAAGTCACTTCATTCACACAAAGAACTCTCTAAATCGATCTTTGGGTCATTCGCATCCCCCAACAAAGACTTGCATCCAATCAGGTCTTTACTTTGACTTGATGTGTCATTCACTTGCAGGAATGGTTGAATTTGTAACTGCTGTGAACACAACACAAAAGATTTATGTTGCTGATAAGAAGTGAAAAGCGGAGCTGAAACTGACATGCTTTAAATAATCCACGAATATATATATTATATTTAGAACTGACCCTCGATACCTAAGCCTCGAAGACCGGGCTTGTGTGTTAGACACCACCTACTTTTAAGACGGCACTAAAGAGTTAAATATGAGTTTTATCCACTGAGTTTTACAGGAGCCCAGATGCACAACTTTATGGTGTTTAAGTGTAAATTACCCTCAGAAAAGCAGCAAAGGGGAAGCGGAGAGACTTTATGACTTCGACTCTTTTTTCCCAGACTTTAATGTGGAGTTTTCTTCTGTGTTTATTATCCTCATATATTTACACTGACTGTAAAACAGGAACATGGCTCTCGTTAACCTGATTATACGGCGAGAGAGATGACAGAGGCTCTAATTCTGCTTTATTAGGACTGTTTTTTTCCCGTCCCTTTCTGAGGGGTATCATAAGCTGTTTTAAATCAAAGCGTCACCCCGCTTTACACCGAGAGGTCATGTGGGTTAACTTCTGTTATTTCACCGTGCACTGTCTCATTATTCTCCCTCCAAACCGGCCCTGCGGGACTCCCATTTTAATTAGAAACACCGAAGATTAAACTGAAGTTAGTATTCACTCATGTGATTAAGGGACTAATTGATACCAGGACTAATCACGAGAACGGCTTCACCAATCACAGAGGCTCCGAAGTCCTTACAGGCTTATCTTTCTTGCCCCTCAAAAAATTAATTTTTAGTATCTATGGTTTTTCCTCCCACCCTTTATTCCACTAATGAAACAGTGCCGACTTTAGCGGGACTCTAATGTATTTCAGTGACTTTGCATTAATTGTGCAAACACAAAAGCAATTTGCGTTTCCTGTCGGAATAATGGCGCTGCTCCTCAGACTGATCACACTCTTGTGCGCTCCCTAATTGATCCAACTATTACCAGCCTAATTTACCAAGCACAAAAACTACACAGTCGACTACAAAAACAGCAGGAAATAGAAATGATTGTCAGAGTTTGAAGGTCGCCTGGTGACATGAGGAAGGAGCTCAAACGACGGAACACAAAAATATGAAGTTTGCAGTTTTAACCCTTAGAACTCCCAGATATATTTTGCCATATTTAGTCTGCCTGTTTTTTTTGTTTTGCAGAAATCTATGTAGCAACTCTATCCTTTCAAGCACAGTTAGTTTATGGGTGCAGAAATTATGTAAAATGAATGTGACAGTAGATTCAGAACCATCAAAGTCAACCAAAAAACAAAAACGGAAATTGATCCCAACAGAACTTTGCTCAAAAAACACATAAATCTACAGTGACCAAGCCTTTTCTCACCTGCACATCATTCTCTCAAGTCTTGGCTATCAGGAGAAGAAATATTGGGATTGGAACAAACACACTAAACACACTATTGACATATTTACACTCATTCTTCCAGGCGTTTTTTTTACTATTTAGTTGTTTATTCCACTCCTTGAAGCAGTTCCTGTCTGGAATGAGACCGAGGACCACATCATACTGCTCAGAATCTCTTCTTTGCTTGTTTCTAAACATTGAGGACCAATATTTCTGATTTTGTAGACAAGCAGAGAACTTTCTTGTCTCTTGTTGATCTTTGGTTGCCTCTTATTGGACACTACCATCAAGGGAACAATAGAAGAAGAGTACGAGACCATGTAATTGGTCGAAAGTTTGACAGAATAAGACGTCATCAAAACAGCTTGTCAAACCTGGAAGACATTAGCAGCATTAATCGATAGCGATCTGTTTTTATCACAACAATATGATAAATAATCCTGTTTTCACCGGTATATCACCGCGGATTTACCATCAAACGTCTCTGATCAAACACCTATTTTTGTGGCTGGATTGTAAACCTTGTGGCAGGTGTAGAAATGACAGGAAACCCTCGATAGATCGCCAAAAGGGTAAGTTTTTGAAGACTTTTCATCCCATAGAGATACACGGTATCGTTCCTGAGAAACTGTAAACAATAGTAGTGGTGTCACGCAAGTCCCCCTGTGGTGTCCGTTTTTTGATTTCCTCACTCTTGACTCACTTTGTGTGATTTCTGTGTTTCTCTCACCTGTAGCTGGAGTACACGGCCCGGCTGGACTTCCTGTGGCGTGTCCAGGCCAAAGAGGAGATCAACGAAATGAAGGAGCTGCGAGAACACAACGAGAACATGCTGAGGAACATCCTGCCGAGTCACGTGGCCAGACACTTCCTGGAGAAGGACCGAGACAACGAGGTGAAACTTTGATATAGAGACACAGTTTAGTGGATTCTGGTTAAACTGGCATTTGGAGCATCATCTGGAGCGTTTCCAAAGCTTTTGGAACTACCAGTTATTCAGCCCCCAAAATGGGTAAAAATGAGGCCTTGGTTTGTAATTACCCCTGCAGATGTTTAACTGATTGTAGACTAAACTGGTAAATTATCACCAACTCATCTGCACGTTTCACCTCATTTATCGCCACAGATCCCGCTCTGAAATTAGTCCCCTTCTTTTTTAAAATATGAAAGAACTCTCGGTAATTGCTTTTCACACAGCTGCACAGAGAAACGAACACAGAGGGTCAATTTATCCAGTTTGGAAGCTTTTTTGGTCGCGTGCGTTTGATTTAATTCTAATAATATGCTGTCAGCCGGCGGCACTGATTTGTCTCTCCATCAGCAGTGACTCAGCTGCCCCGACGCTGCAGACAGTCACATTCTGCAAAAATTCTCTTTGTGTCCCCCCTTATCTCCACTGGCCTTTTCCTTTTGTACTCTAAATTGCTCTGAATAGCACACTCGACATGTGTCAGTGTTCCCACATGAACAAGAGGGATATGAGGGAAGCTAGAGCATGTTTGAACATGTTTTAAACCAGTTATCACATTTAACGTTAAATTGTGACTGGACTTTCAGCAAAATCTGAGCAGAGTACTTTGGATCCTTGACCGTGCTTTATTTATAAAGCCATGAATGGTGATCTATCCGTTGCTTTCCATGTATTTATGCTATGATTGGTCATGAGCCAGGGTTCAACAAAAGGGAAAAGGACCCAAGTGCAGATTCAAAAAATGATTTATTAAGAAGAACTAAATGAAAAGCAACAAAAAAACGTACTTGAACATATCCAACTGAAAAACCCAAAAGGCAAAATCCAACAAAAGTCACTGAGGGGAAAAACCACAAGGAGACAACTGGAGACACAAGCATCAATGTCCGACACCCAATGAACCAACAAAGACAGAAGGGAAGACAGGGACTATATACACACTGGGAAACGAGCAACAGGTGAACTCATGGGTGATTAACTAAGGTGGGAGAACTAGGGAAGTAAAACCAGACTATGCGGACGCTTAACCGATCAGTCGTGGTGAAGAAAGAGCTGAGCCGTAAGGCAAAACTCTCGATTTACCAGTCGATCTACATGCCGACTCTCATTTATGGCCATGAACTTAATGTAATGACCGAAAGAACAACATCGCAGATACAAGCGGCTGAAATGGGTTTCCTTCGCAGGGTGTCCGGGCTCAGCCTTAGAGATAGGGTAAGGAGCTCGGACACTCGGGAGGCGCACAGAGAAGAACCGCTGCTCCTCTACGTCGAGAGGAGTCAGCTGAGATGGCTGGGTCATCAGGTTAGGATGCCTTCTGGACGCCTCCCGTCAGAGGTGTTCTAGACATGCCCCACCGGGAGGAGACCTCGTGGCCGGCCCAGGACCAGGAGGAGGGATTATATCTCTCGCCTGGCCTGGGAGCGCCCGGGAATCCCCCCTGGCGGAGCTGGTGGAAGTGGCCGGGGTGAGTGCCGTCTGGGCTTCCCTGCTGAAGCTGCTGCCCTCGTGAGTTTAGGGTCCTGTTTGCCACCCCAGCAGATTGGAGGGCGTGGCCTGATTTGGGGCTTGTTGTCACTGATTGTTTAACCAAATAATCCTGAAGTGTGTGGCATCAGTGGAACTGTCATACTGCTGTTCACATGACTGAGTCCGATTAAAACTGGTTTGGACCTCAAAGTTGTCTCGCCTAAACACAGATGATAATGCAGAGTTGGGAGCATTTCAGACATAGTTTTTTACAGGCTCATCTCCAACTTTTTATGGGTTTCCTGATAAACAGAAGTGAAGCTGAGTCCTCTTTTCCAAAATCAATGGACGACATCACTGAGACTGCATTATCGTCAAACATAGTAAATGGTGGAGCAGGAGTCTGACTTCCTTTCTGGTTAATATTAGTATTTTTTAATCATATGGTTTTAACAGTTTCTCCATCTTCTCAGCATGATTCACAATTTTTTCTGCTGATTTTAAGATTTGAAATGAAGTATCTCTGTCTTGATTGTCTTGTCCAAAACTTCTTGCAATCCTAAAACTTGATTTTTCGTGAAAGCGTTCACCCCGAGGTGAAGATTCTAGTTAAACAGACCAAGAAACTCTCTTAAATCCTGTTCAAACTGCAGAAAATGAAAAAAACTGTCAAATCAAAGGCTGATTAACATCATTTTTAATCTGAAAATGACTTTGGGTTGAATCTATTAAAAAACCAATCAGCAGGGGCTCAGTCAATTTCGCTATCGTCTTTCTTGGTGTAATTTTTAGGGGGGGGAAAAAGTGACATGAAAACGGCTTCTCCTTTTTTTCTGCCCCAGTTGATTTTCCTCATCCACCAGTTTAGTAATGGCTGATTGTACTGGTGGGCAAGCAGAACAGTTATCGCACACCAGAGTCAAATCACTTCATTGTCCTCGTCTCTCCTCATTGGACTCCTTCATTATCCAAACCTCCGATCTTCCGTCGCCCCCCGAACAAAAAGGCGAGCCGCGGATGAATTATGAATGTCAGGAGAGGAGAGCTGATATCATTCTGCTGCTAATTAAAAAGGACACGATTAGAAATGCATCCATCAGGAAAGGTTGGGTCCTAATCACTTGTTACATTATTAATCAGCCTGTTTATTGTTCCCTGATTTAGTAGCTGGAGTATTGGGTCATTTATGGGCTCCACTGAGGGGTCGAACATCTTTGGAATTAATCAGGTGACAAATAGATGTCAGTCATGAACTCCAGTTTTTGTTTATGTCTGAAGATGTCGCTCATGACTACTCCAGTTGTAATTTAAACGATGCTTAACAATAATGACATAATTACAGGTGTTTCTTCCCTGATTGTGATACTTATTTTCTTTGCTATATTTAAGAAATCTCTACAAGTTCGATTTCTGACTGTGAGAGATAATAGGAATTGGTTTGGAAACAACACAGAGCCGTACAGGATCATTCAGAGTCTATAGATAAGCATGTGAGATTTAAGTCACAGCTAGTTAAGCTGCAAAAAATTCGTAGCAAAATTTAGGGTCTTTTGTTTAATAATCAGGAAGTTTTTACCCTGAGTCTGATTAAACTTTCTCTTCTCCCGAAAAAACAAGATGCTGACTAAAAACCAAATTGAGGAAAAAAAAAAAAAAAAAACAGAATAAAGTGGTTTCAGGTTGGAAAAGAAAGTGTTAATAGCTTGAACTACCTCTGCTGAGGCTTCAGGGGCTGCAAGCTGAGCTGCCACATCCTTGTTTGTTTGGTGTTCGGCTTATTTTAGTTGTCACCATTCTTTAAAGCTACAAAAACACCCTGTTGGACATCTTCATGTAACAAATCTGTTACTTGGACTTCTTTCTCTGGGACTTGAGGAGCTGTAATGTTGCTTTTAGAAGAACTCTAAGAAAATGAGTATCAGCTGTGGATATGTCTCAACTGTAGAGCCAATTCTGCATCTATGTTTACATTTGAGACGGTGTCCTACAGCGGAAAAAGTCTCAAACTGTATGTTAAAGAAGCAGGACCTGCAGGATGAGCCCTGCTTAAATCTCTGAAGACTCGGAGAAGAACCAGAAAATTAGATGAGTTTGACTTTTCCCAACTTTCACTTTGATGCACTGACATTTGACTGAGCTCATTAAGTGTGCATAATGTCAGTGGGGATGTCACAATGATGTCAGGGGCTCACTTTCACGAGTGAGTAATTACAGTAAAAAGCCATGCAGAATACAGAATAGGCAAGAGAGAGAGAGAGAGACAGAAGGAGACAGAGAGAGACGTGACTCCTTAATAATGGATGTGAAATGTTTAACAACGCTGGACATGAAGTCTGTTATTAAAATGCTTACATAATGACATGATAAATTACTGCATGTGACAACATTAGTATGTGAGGACATGCCGCTTCATGTCATCAGCTGCTCTGCTCCTTTATGTGTCCACATTGACCCCTAGTGGTAAAGATAGTGTAGTGCAGCAGCCATACAACCTACTGCATCATGAGATAAAGACTGTGAGGTTTCAGTGTTCCTGAGCGAGACTCTCAACAATCTTCAAAACAAATGCAACTGCTTTACTATCACGATTTCCAAAAAGTCAGGATCCTCAAAACTTTGTTCAAAACGGAGAAACGATTCAACTCTTCTTTCAACAAAACCTCCTGATGTTTGACAATCAAGGGGACCAGTTTCCTGAGTCCCTGAAGGGAAATGTTTGCCCCTTAATTAAGTCTTTTTTAACAGAGCTCAGGCACAAAGAAGTCTTAGGTGTCTCTGGATCATGTTTTCATGTGGTTTCCTCTTTGGACGGTACAGTTTTTATCTGCATTTGTAGTTCTAGCAACATATTTTTGTTCACAGACTATGGTTTTTGGTGGTAATTTTGGACCCCTGCAGTAATTTCCACCACAGAGTGGATTCAACAGAGTGCTACCTGGAGGCCCAAAGATCACAGCCATTTTCTCTAGCCCTGCTTTGATTTTCTTATAATGTATACTGAATACTGTTACAGGTTTTTCATTTCAACAAAATATCTCAATAACCTTGCTTCTAAGTCGTTTACATCTTGCATTGAGAGGACAGCCCTCAGAATACAGGCGTTTCCCTCGTTTTGTTCAGTCCTCACTAGTAGAAACGTTCATCTCTAAAGTATATGTTCATAAACATGAGGAAAACCTGCTGCTTGAATTGTTTTTAGATCTGTTATTATGATTACAACAACAGACTGTAGTCCTTCAGTTTTTTGTTTTGTTTTGTTTTTTCATTTCTATACTTTTCCAAACTGACCTGGAAACAATTCACATTAAATTCCATATCAGTCATACTAAAAAGGAACCAGAACAAATACTGGAAATAACAATAACATTTAAAAATAAATCATACCTGCCAGCATTTGGGTTATAAAATCCGGGAGATTTGTACGATGCACGTCAGGCAGTTTTGGGGGTTACCTTGACATTAAATCAGTAGCCTCTAACGTTAGCTGCCGTCGTTATTTATAATTTTATAGCTACGCTTTGTGACACATCGTGCATATTTTATTGCATAAAGACTATCTGGACGAACATCTACCCGTCCCGTGGCATGTAGCCTTCCAAAGGGCAGTATTTTAGTCGCATTAGGCGAGCCTACAGCCCTGATGTCAAGTGTTCGGGGTTTTCGCTTCAACTACAGCGCTAAGAGATGCACACCTTCATGCTAACAGTGAACTCAAATATCAGGGGACGTTGGTGTTACAATGCTGCGTTAGAGTTACCTCGGAAATCAGAAGTCCCAGCTGAAAATGACGTGACACCCGAGTTACCAGCGGTTCCGTTACAAAGTCGGAAAAAGCAAAATCGGAGGCCTGAAACAAGACGGCTAAACATACAAAGGTTATGTTAGCGCTTGATTTATATTCGGACAAGGTACGTTAAGAGAACTTTCGTCGATGTAGCCATCTTGTTTCCACCTCCGATATCTGACTTCCGAGGTTCCTCAAATGCACCATATGCAACACAGGTTGAAGAATGATCGCTTCCCGCGCTGAGCGACGTTGCTATTTTTAGCTCTCTTTCTGTATAACACGCTCAAGTCCATCAACAACACACTTAAAACTCGCGCTATGTTTTATTTTAACATTGTTTAGATGTAAGAGTATACATTTTGTGGATTTTACAGTGTACAAACCTGGAAAAACACAGGAGGAAAGTTGGAGAAGATGGAGACCCGAGTCATTCATTTTCCCTCCCGAATTTTCTCTGATGAGGAGGCGGTCCCTCAAGAAAGTCATCCGGGCACAACTCACCCTGGCTCATTAATTCCCCTTTTTCTTCTTCTTCTCCTTAATGGAGTTTATTAGCGGTTGGGAAACTATCTTGAATGCGCATTAACACCATCTACTGGACTGGAGTGTGGGGCAGTAAATTGGCAGAAAAAATAGATACAAAAAATAAATAAAATAAAATAAATAAAAATAAGGAAATTAGATCATCTCCATTAGCCCTGTATTTTTCAAATATGTCATTAAATGCTTGAGCATAACTTCTGACTCTGCTCAAGGTTCAAGGTAACTTTATTGATACCCTTAGGTAGATTTGTTTTGCAGTCTGGAAAGAGGCACAGACCACAGACCAAAGACATTGACAGGTACATCACTGAGGTAGAGCTGAAATAATATATTGTTTTAATGGTGGGACAGTGTCAACAGGTAGAGCTGAGATCATATATTGTTTTAAATGGTGAGACTTTCTGATCCTTTCTGATTGGTTGAAATTGCTCGTCCGACATCACTCTTGCTGTTTCGTGTAACTTGCTGTTGTGATGTGGTTTTGACCAATCAGAATAAAGTATGTAACATCCATGGGTTATCAAAAAGATGAAAATCAAACCTTCACATTCACAAACACATGTTTAAAATGAAAATTTGTAAGTGGGGTACTATTTTAGCATCTGTTAAACTAAATTAGGACCAAACATTTAAAATCTTGGAGGTTAAATAAATCATATGTGAACCAAAGATTGTGCCAAACTGAAATACTTTAACACATTCTTTCAGCAGAGAAATAATAAATGTTCAATCTGTGGTTTCTGTCTCTACAGGAGCTGTACTCACAGTCCTACGACGCCGTGGGCGTCATGTTTGCATCCATTCCCGGTTTCGCTGACTTCTACTCGCAGACTGAGATGAATAACCAGGGAGTCGAGTGCCTGAGGCTCCTCAACGAAATTATTGCAGACTTTGACGAGGTGAGGCTGCAGACTTTGAAGTGCACCCGACACTACTTCAGTTCAACTTTTCGACATGCAGCAGACCGTGTCTGGCTCCTTCAGCCTCTTTCATTTTTGATTAAAACCTCCATCGTATCCCCTGAAACACTTCAAACCAGATTGATGCAAAAGCAGAAATAACAATAGGGCCTGTGTCTGTGTGGTATCAGGAGGCAGTTACTTCAGATAAACACTCCATGCACAGAGATAATGGACACTTCTCCTATGAGGTACGCTGTTAAGACGTTCCCAGGTTCAACCTTTTTCATGTATAAAGTTCTCTCTCGAGATTCAGCAGATAATCTTTTAATCTTCTCTGAGAAATTTGAATGTCTGGACTGTGGCTGGTTGGGGAAGGATTTCCTCAAAATGTGTCATCTTTCTTTGAAAGTTTTCTGATAATTCAAGCGTGGGGTAACAGATCAGCGTTCAATAAAACATCAGTGAACACAGTTTTTCTGGAAAAATGTAAAACTGTAAGGCTTTACATGAAAGGTAGAAATAGCCTCCAAGTTAGAAAAGTGGCGCCAGTTCATAACTGTCCGCACTTGCATTTAGTTTAGCAACCAGCAGGGGGCGACTCCAGTGGCTGCTACAAAGAATTGCATATACTGTAGATGTCTATTTGAGACTGACCCCCAATTTTTAAATTGGGGGTAAGGCCCTATGCAGATGACTACATGCTTCTAAATGACTTGACTTGTAGACTTTATAATACATTGATGTAGTGTCAGTGACGTCACTTTTTGTTTGAGGAGTTTTGAAGCCTATTAGCAGCGATTTCCATATTGGTAATGCTAACTCAACCTAACTTTCAGTTGCTGTTTTACTTCAGCTTCCCGTCCACGTTTAAACATGATTTTTCCTGTCCACAAGCCCATTCTGAAATTATTTACTGAGGAACAATCCTGTCATCGGTTTCATACAATCAGACTTCTTTTAGCAGCCAGTGGAGTCGCCCCCTGCTGGTCACTGGTTTAAGATTCTACTTTGCATTTACACTTTGTACTGTCCTTGGTGTCTGCAGGAAAACAATCCAACTAGAAAGCAAAAAGGTATATCCTTGAAACTCAGTCAAAACACCTCAAAAAGACAAGAATAGAGTCAGGAGAAGTACTAAAATAACTCTGGAGAAGATAGACGTCAGATGCAGCAAAGGTTTCTTCTATTCCAGCAAACAAAAACGGGAGACGTCTCTGAGTAAACCATGAGTCATCTCCAGGGAAGGCTGAAAAATACTGTCTTGAAGGTGGAGTTTGACTATGGGTGTATTGATTAGTGGATCACATCACAATATAACATTACTACATGAAAAACAAATCATTATTTTTAGTATATTTTGTCAGGACTGTAAGATTAAACCTTCTTGAAACTCTCCTCATGTTTACAGAAAGAATGAATCAGCAAAACAAAACAAACCCTGTCTTATTCAACTCCCATTTCACCCTCACTTATCTGCTTCTCAGGTTCATGTTCAAACCCTCCCCACTCAGACACAAAGAGTCTTTCTGCATCTAATTTTTTTAATGTTCATATCATTTTTTTTTACTATATTATATGGATTAAAACCAAACTCCAATCCAGTATGAGCAAAATAAAAGACAAGCCTACTTACAATTTTACCCCATAGGCCTACTCGTGGTAGTGTCAGTCAAGAATCTGTTCAATTCAGGTCAGCTGCAGCAGCTACAGCTCCAGTTCTCATGGGGAAACACTCCTCTGTCCGGCATGTCCTTGAAACGGGAGGAAGACTCTCAAAACGCCACCAAACAGACTTTAAATCATATGAAAGAAGACCCTACTGTCAGTCAGATTAAGGACAGGCAAAACAAGGGAACAAAGATGACATTCTGTTTTATTTGTCTTCTATCTTGTTTTCTGTGGCCTAGAATCCTAAATTCTTCCACTCAGTGCTTCTCAGATGTTTTTGTGTCCTGATTGTCCACTCATGATGGCTCTGACTACCTTGATTTTTGTAGAGAATCATTGCTGAATTAATTTACCGAGGTCAAGAGTGCTATTCAATGCTCAGGATACGATGAAACTACCTCCCCTGTCTTTTTTTAAATGAACTATTGCTGATTTCTCTTAGTTGCACCATGAATAAGCGATTTTGTGCGTGTAAGAATAAAATATAAGTACTTGAAACAGCCTGTCAGTAATCCTCCATGCTTTAGGCTCAGTATGAGTTAGCAGGCTCGCTGAAGTTTCCCAAAACTCTGGCACATCCTGCGTCCCTGTGGACAAACTGAAGTCTACAGGAACTTTACTTTTTGACAGAAAATGTCAGAGTCTCCTAATAAGAGCAGAGGCAGACGGACAGACACGCACCAGCTGAGCTTTCTGCCGCCTCGGGCCACAGCCACCAACTTTCTCATTCTTCACACTTTTCCTCAAACACCAGCAGACTCCTCTTTTCTTTACCCGAGGACAGGAGAGACATGGCAGAGTGAGTCAGGATATTAGCGGCACAGAATCGGATCAGAATGACACTTTTTCAAGATAGGATCCGCAACACAAACACAATAACCATAAAGTGAAGCTGAAGTTTTTAAATCAAACACTTTATGTTAAACATCTCTCCTTGTGTTTCTCGTCACAGTTGCTTGGTGAGGAACGTTTCCAGGACATCGAGAAGATCAAGACGATCGGCAGCACCTACATGGCCGTCTCTGGGCTGTCTCCTGAGAAACAGGTAAGATTCATCTGGCTTTGTCTGACTCATACCTGTGCCGATGCCGGTGACTCACCGTGTGATTGAACCTTCATGCAGGACCTGATTAATGTTTGCAATACCGGGGGAGTTTAATTTGGAGCTTTTCTGCAGTTATATCTGCTCCGATTACACTCTCAAGTCACAAGCAGTAAAAACATAATATCAGAATCAGAATCATCAGAATACTTTACTTATCACCGGGGGGGAAGTCTAGGAAAAACAGTAAGAACAACCTATTGGAATTCTGGCTTTGATCTTGGAATTCCAGCTTTGATCTTGGAGTTCCGGCTTTGATCTTGGAATTCTAATATTTAACTTGAAATTCTGACTATAATCTTGAAATTCCGGCTTTTATCTTGGAATTCTGGCTTTGATCTTGGAATTCTAACATTTATCTTGAAATTCTGACTGTAATCTTGGAATTCCGGCTTTTATCTTGGAATTCTGACTATAATCTTGGAATTCCGGCTTTTATCTTGGAATTCTGGCTTTGATCTTGGAATTCTGGCTTTTATCTTGGAATTCTAACATTTATCTTGGAATTCTAACATTTATCCTGAAATTCTGACTATAATCTTGGACTTCCGGCTTTTATCTTGGAATTCTGAAAAACCCACCAGGAGCTTGAATCCAGCCGTCACTGCCGAGGTGATCCCAGCAGATTAACGAGCAGACGTGTAATAAATCATGATATATGGCAGCACTTTTAGTAGAAGTAGAGATAAAACACCAGTAAATGTCTGTTTGTGAAGCAGAATCTAAAAAATGGTTCATCATCCAGTGCCCTGAGATCAGTATTCAGAGTACTCCTTGTATATGGAAACCCTTTTCTGGACACACTTCATCTCTCGAGAGACTAATGACCAGTTTCATGTCTGCCCTCCAGCTGCTCCTTTCCTCCTGACATTTAGCTGACTCACACTCTTCTTCCTCTCTCTCTTCTCTTCCTCCCACAGCAATGTGAAGATAAATGGGGTCACCTGTGTGCGTTGGCTGACTTCGCCATCGCCCTCAAAGAGAGCATCCAGGAGATCAACAAGCACTCGTTCAACAACTTTGAGCTGAGGATTGGTGAGATCTTTCAGTTCCTCTCTGTTTATTCAATTTCATTTCTAATCAAGTTTTCTGATTGTACTTCTGAAATTTGGCATTTTCTAAATTGCTTAACTGTAACAAAAATGGTACCATATTTGACGTTTAGAAACCCACCTCTGAGGACAGTTTAAAGTTAATAAAGGTACTTTCAAACAACGTGTCTTGTTGTCATTTCTGGTTCTGGTCTTGATTCATGTACCAGTCCACTCTGTTTAACATCTTAACCCATCCGTTATTTGCAGGAATGGCCCATGGCTCAGTGGTGGCGGGGGTGATTGGTGCGAAGAAGCCTCAGTACGACATCTGGGGGAAGACGGTGAACCTGGCCAGCCGGATGGACAGCACAGGGGTCAGCGGCAAGATCCAGGTTCCCGAGGAGACCTACCTGATCCTGAAGGAGCGCGGCTTTGCCTTCGAGTACAGAGGCGAGATCTACGTGAAGGGCATCAGCGAGCAGGAGGGCAAGATCCGAACACACTTCCTGCTGGGCCGTGTGCAGCCCAACCCGCTCATCCTGCAGCCGCGCAAGATCACCGGCCAGTACTCACTGGCCGCCGTGGTACTCGGTCTGGTGCAGTCGCTCAACAGGCAGAAGCAAAAGCAGATCCTCAACGAGAACAACAACTCGGGCATCATGAAGGGCCACCACCACTACAACCGGAGGACGTTATTAGCGCCCGGTGGCTCGGAGGGGGGAGGGGGGCATCACACCGAAGCAGCGGATAAGACTGAGCTGTCCTGAAGAGCAGACTGGAGTTTTGGTTCCACACTGATGTCCTCGAGGCAGAGCTGCTCTGCAGGCAAAAATAAGCCCCATGGTTGAGTTAAACTTCAGTGGCTACAGCTTACGAGCTAATTTTACACAACTTAGTACTATAAGAAGAGAGCTGTAGCAGGTTCAAGCTCTTCAGGGCTCAATGAAAACTCAGCACAATGATATCTGATAGGGCTGCACTGATTAAGAGAATCAGTTATGAAATTAGTTCTGACCAAGTAACCTTATTGGACGAGAGGCTTCCATGAGTGCCAATATAGAGAATAACACCCCAGGAACTCTTTACTCAGTGTATCAAAGTGGTTCCTTGGTAGGCTATAGGCCGCTAAGGTCACTCTTAGTGGCTCCTTTGTTTTTCAAGCCCTTTCGATCAAAGTTCTTTACAAAGGTCTAGAAACTGACTTGTTCAAGGTTCTGTGTCCACTCATGCCATCTTTCCATGAAGCACCCACAATCCCAGTTTTTTGAGTGCTTCTTACTGTTGCAAGGTACTGAACGGTGTCCCAGGCACTTCTGACTGTCTTCATGATGATAATGAATGTGCTTTGTATGTGATTTTATTCAGTTGAATCTTAAAAAAAACGAAACATAAAAACAATTCATGGAAACTTGATGGAAATTTACCTCAAGGTATAGTTGTTACGCCTCAATATGGAGCTCCTATTATTGCTGACAAGGTTGATATCAGAAGTGTTCAAAACTCTAAATTTCACTGAGTTTTGTACAACATCTAGGCACTGCCAATGCGAATAATGCTGTTAGTGGACACAGGCCCTTAATTCTCAAGATCTTCCAACCTTACTCATAATGCTGTTTGTTGAGCTGTTGCTTTAAAACAGCATCACACTCAAGGTCATGAAGTGATCGTCTTCAGCTCTTAGCTTTTGGGCTTTTGCCTGTTTCTGAATCATATCAGTGTTGATATTGAAAATAATAACTTCTTATTTAACCTCCTTGGCTGCTTTAAAGTCATTCAGAATCAACCAATTTTCAGTTTCTACATCGTCCAAGAGAAATCTTTGTATAAAACAAACTGTTGTATTGGTATTACAATGAATGGATACATGGTACACGAAGTAGTAAATTCAAAGGTCTTTTATATAAACATAAACAGGGCTATCCTTTAGCTTTATGAGACAAATAAACAGGGCTCCTTTAATCCTACCGCGCTGAAGGCATCAAACTTAAAGTGATGGTTATTTTACCAACATTTTTAAATAAAAAGTAGCCTCAAGTAGCTTACCTTTTCTTCGTGGTTTAAACACTGACTTTCCAGACAGTCTGCTGAACAAGCTAGCTGTCATTTTAACAGCATAGTCGCCGTGTAAGAGTAAGTGAAAACACGTAAACCAAAGTAAGTCCATTTCACGCTAGCTAGATGTGACAATTAGTCTAAATACGATCATAGGAAACATTTCTCTGGCTCTTCCCACCGAAGTGTAACTCAGCCAATGAGATTCTTTCTGCCTCCTGAAGCAGCTCTGCTCGTGATGAATGTTTGTAGAACTGAAACTCCACCATGTCCCAGAATGAGGAGGAGGAGGAGGAGGAGGAGGAAGAGGAGGTGGTGGGGAAAGGACAGATTTTCACCCGCCCTCATACGTTGATGTCTTTTTGACTGATACTCCCCCCGGACTGTGTGACTTTCCTCCCGTCGTTTCACTTTCCCATTTTTATGTCGCCCAGACTCCATCCCGAACCCCCCTTTACCCAGATCCCAGAGACCCTGTCCCGTTCTGACCTCGCCTGGTGTCGATGTTTCTTTTTTGTATTTCTTTTATATATGAGAGAACACAATAAAAAGGGGTCTAATTTTTTATAAAAACTGGTTGCTTCAAATTGTCTTGTTTGCATGATTTGTCAGAAAACCAGAAGGAAAATTCTGGTCATGGGATAATTTTGTTATATAGTAGTGGTTCCACAAAACACTTGTTAGGCTGATTTAAGCAATTTCCATCTTTTGGCGGAAGGTATGCAAATACAGTTGGTGTAGCTCAAATGAATAGATAGTGAATCTTGATTTGGTGATTCGCAGATCTAATAAGGGCCCAGATATCACTTAAGTATTGTACAATTGCAAGTCCCCTTAAAGAGAACCTACCAGGGTGTGCCGTCCTATTGGGAGAATGCCCACCAGGCTGCTCCATGAACCACAGTAAGCAAAATTATAACAGCAGCTAATATAACAATAGCCAACATGTGCCAATGTTGCTAAATGGGAGACCAAGTGGATGCTAACATCTAGCCTCAGACGTATTCAGTAGAGGCACAAGTTTACAAAGCTGTGTAAAAAGTAACACCCACAAAAGCTGTGTCAGTGAAGAAGCAGCCAAACTATGTCTATATGTTTAAGGGTTTTTAGGAGCCAATATAATGTATATAAGGACTTCCTGGGATCATGCTCAGTTATTCCACAAGTGTCCCTTACCGATACTATGAAAAAGAAATATGAAGAAAATATGTCCTCTATAAGGTCGTCTCCAAAAGTGAGAGAAACACAGTTAATTCTGTTTTTGCAAAAGAGTTAAACATATTTGCAACCCTGTACAAACTGCTAATCTCACAGGGTTTATGAGCCTCCTGCTCCTCATTTTCACTTTCATGCAGGAAATAAAGAGCAGCACGAGAGCTGTGAAAGCTGCTACCTCCACCCTAGAAGAAGAAGAACTCAGTCTTCCTCTTGGAGAGCTTTTGATAAATCACATCATCAGAGGAGCGTGAAAAAGGAGGAGCTGGGAATGAAACCAGACACCTGCTGCATGATCCCAAACCATCTGGACCCTGAAGGGTACTGATGATCAGGTCTGTCTCTGATAATAAACCTTCAGCTCAGTCACTTAGAGACAGACCTGATCATCAGTGCTGTTCAGATGTTCAGGAGGTGGCTCATCGAGCTCTGATTCACACAAAAATATATGATAACACAGCCCAAGAAAAAAGTGTCATGATGTGAATTAAGGGAAGAAAATAAGATGACACCATCTGAACAGAAGAGTACGGGGGCCACTGTAAAGAATTTTGACTAAAGTCAGGATTAGGATACAAAAAGCAAACCCCAAGAGAAAAAAAATCCCAGTTGTGTGAAACTTTAATCTTAGAATTCTGAAATCAAAGAAGGAAATCTGATATTAAAGACAGAAGACTGAGATTAAAGGCGAAATTCTGATATTGTGGTGCGTTCGAGTTATCTCGGAAGTCAGATGTTGGAGCTGGGAATGTCGTCACACCTGAGTTACCATCATTTCAGTTACCAAGTCGGTAAAAAGCAAAATCGGAGTTGGAAACAAGATGGCTACATCTACGAAAGTTGTTGCAGTGCTTGCTTTGTCTGAATATAAGCAACTTCTGGACAAATATGCAGTCCTTCTGCAAACATGATGGATAAAGCGGCAACACGAAGGTGCAGAAGGTAGAGGATTTTTTCTTTCAAAGTATTTACTTGTCTACAAAAAGTATCTATCGCCGTTTGATCGGTCATCTGTTAATAACGGACAAGTGCTCTTAACAACTGCATACACGCTTTTTGTCAATTATAAGTTGAAATAAACAAAAAAAAAACTACCAGGCTACAGTAAGCCATTGTTAACCACTTTGTAGTTCACAAAAACACATGAAAAATGTAAATTACACCATGACAGCATTTCCATATACATCTAATACTTTTGTAGCCCGAGCTTCAGGTTGACTTATTGCGACAATAAATAGTGAAAAGAGTTAATAAAAGGATTATAACAGAAGCTTCAATTTACAGTTTACAACCGGCGCCACCATCTTGAAACGTCAACTCGGGGGCTGTGTTGATCGTCAAAGACGGAATTCTCAGATCAAAGGCGGAATTCTGAGATCAAAGGCCTTTATCTTAGAATTCTGAGAAGAAAAATTCTAAATCAAAAAGTAAATCTATCTGGTTTGGAAATGACCATCTCCAGAGCATTTCTCTACCATATCTGCAATTTGTGAGTTCAATCTGGTCTACATCAAGATTTAATCTGAGTTATTTTATAATTTGAGGGATTTTTCCAGAGTGTGAAACATTTTGGGCGGTGATGTGACCAAGCTGGTAAACAGAAAATTTGAAGGCAGCAGTTTTAAACCTTTTCATGGATGAAAAGTGAGGGGTAAGGATGCTGAAGGAACAGACAGAAAGCTGTAAATAATGACTACAAATTGAGGTTTTATGATTTCACAGTGACAGCTTTTTATTGTTTCCCCAAACAGAAACAGTGAGAGGAACTCAAATGAATCTCAAGTAGTGTGCAGAAATATCCACTAGATGGCAGAAGAAGCTCATCAAACAGCTGGAAGATCTCAGCCTGACAAATATCAGTCAAGTGTTGTGCTTGTCCAATCAGCTGTCAGCCAGTATTGTGATCTCTGACCCCTTCATGCTTAACCAGGGGCAAATGTTTGATAAAATACAGTTTTAGGAGGGAGACAAACTGGCTGTTGGGGCAACTAAGACATCCTAAATTTTTCCCTTTGAAAATAAATAAATAAACTAAACCAATTTTATATTTTAATGTGCATTTTTAAGAGGGTTTGTCGAAAGGAAAGATCACACTTGGGGGAGAAAAGAAGTCAGCAGGATGAACTCCAATCCCATGATAAATATGATTCACTTATTAGTGAAGCTAAGAAACACCTGGAGGAACATCTCCCCCAACAAACAAGTTTGATTTGCAACAGGTTGGTAACATGTCCGGGTTTAAAAAGAGCATTAGAGCGAGTCTGAGACTGTCATTAGTTCAGATCACCACTCTGTGAGAGACTGGGAGAGGAAACAGCTCAACAGTTTGAGAATAATTTCTCTCAGGCTAAGATTTCAAAGAGTTGGTGGATTTCATCATCTACAGGACTTGGAACTATTAAAAGAGTCCGAGAATCTGAAGAAATTTCTGCTCAAAAGAGACAAGAACCAGAAGCACTGATGACAGCTGGGATTTTTGGACAGTCGGTTGGAGCTGTACTAAAAAAAGACATGACTCTGAAGTGGAAATTACTGCATGGATTCAAAAGTCTCATCCAAAAACCATTTCTGTAAACAGTCTGTCATTGCATCCATAATCATCATATTAATCATTTTCACTGCAGACGCTGTAGTTCTTCTGTCTTAGTGTCTCAGTCTGATTGTATTTCCATGAAGAAATGATCATAAATGTTCTTCCTTCAGCTGTGTCACCCCGCTGTAGTCGATGGACTCGCCCAGAAGTCTCCGTACAAACAAGCGGCTGCTGGAAGAGAGTAGGTGAGTTGTGTTTAGTCTCTTTGCTAAAGAAATTAGGCAAAGTTAAAAAGATGTTTAGTGGCTAGTACTATGGCTGGGACCCTATAACATCACCCTATTAAATAATGGCCTAAGTTGTTTTTTGACTGCCATTATCGCAAAATGACGTAGGCCATTATTTAATAGGGTGACGATATGTCCTGTTGATGAAGTTAGGTGCTGTTCTGAGCATTATTTGTGGCTATAGAGTGGCATTTTGGTTGAGGTTTGTTTATGGCTCCTCAGACCGCTGTTTATTACTATCTGCGGTCGTTACTAAAGTTGGTATAACTAGAGAAGCAAGCGGTCGGCAACATTCATCTCTCAACGGGGTGTCTAACTCTGTGTTACTGTGTGTTTGACCCTAACTTAATTTAACGCTGGAATATCCCTTTAAAGTTAAGTGTTATCTTCAGGCCCTGGACCAGCACTGCAATAAAAACAAACAGGACTCTGTAGTAGAAGTCACTGCATTGACTCAAAATCAGCCAAAAATTACTGCACTTAAAACATCAGAAATCATGGTCCTCCATTCTCAAGATGAGCAGGACCGCCCAGCGTATAGAAGTATCTGATAAAATAATCACTCTCATGTTAATCTGACATTTTTTATATATTCCTGCCTGAAGTTTCCTCCTTCATGTCTCTCCGCCTTTCATCACTGTCCTTTTACTCGAGCATTGCTGATGTATAAATCAGAAAATCGAACGAATCGACTGAGAGCATCCGGTCACCACAACAGCGACAAACACAAACACGGTGTGTTCGGGAGGAATTGACTGTGTTTTTCTCTCGTTTCCCTCCCTTATATGGATTTTCTGTTAGACATGACGGAGGAAGACGGGGGAGGAGGAGGAGGAGGAGGGAGCTCTCAGGAGGGGCAGAGATGTGGAGAGAGTGGAGTTGCCATGGAAACCATCGGCATGTAAGGGATGCAGTGTGTACATGACTGTGGCTATGACATACGCTCGTGTGAGAGTTGGTGTAACAGCCAGTTCGCTTTAAAACCGTCAGCAGCATCGTCGTTCACGAAACAGCAAATCTCGACTCACAGATTCGACATGAAAACACAGACGCCGACTACCGCAATCCATCGCAACCACATCCTGGTACCAACAGTTTATCTCTACAAACAAATATCTGCATGAAGGCTGATCAGCGCTTGTCAAACAGAACCGACAAAGACTGACTTTAGACTTTTTACGTCTAACAAATCCACAAAAAATATCCGGTCTCCACAAGTGAAGAGAGGAGAGAGACTGCCTTACAGTTGGATTTTAATAAAGTACACTGCAAATGATTTGGTTCTTACCAAGACAAAAAACTTAGATTTAGAAGTGTTCGATAATTTCTTTTGTTTTAAGACTTAATTTCTTATTTTAAGTGTTTAACTTTACACTTTAATTTCATATCAAGCAAAATCTTTTTTTTTGTCTCAAATAGGCAGGAAATCTTCAAATGAGAAAAATAACTTAAAATAAGTTAAAAGGAATCTTGTTTCAAGATCAGCCTGCTTGGATTAAAACAGAGTTTAGTCATTCTTCACTAATTCTGGGTATTTTTTCTCTAAATTTCTATTTTTATGTTAAACTAATCTTCAGCTTAATTTGCTAAAAGTAAGAAAACAAAATATGTAGTTGCTTATATTTAATATATTTCACTTATTTTGAGGCTGTAAAAAAGTTACTTTTTGAGTTATCTCATCTTAAAACCATCATTTTCTCCTTAACTTATACTTTTATTTATTACATTTAACTTATTTTGGGGGCTGTAAAAGTTAAATCTTAAGTAATCTGATCTTAAAACCTGCATTTTTGGTGTACTTTAAGCCTTCCAAATACATTTGTAGACATGCTTATTTCCAGATTTAACAATCTTAATTCAAGTGAAATTATGCTCTTGCATGGACAGAAAATTTCACTTGTTTTTAGTACCCTCTCCCTCAGATTTAGTGTTTTTAGACCCTCTTTTTTACAGTGTATTTTTCAAAAACGTAACTTTGAAACAGGGTCGTCCCTGCATGGTTGGCACCCCACAGGAGATAACCTGAGATAAAATCCCAACATGTGGATCTCAGGATTCGAACTCCAGTCTTTTAACTCAAGGCTTTATACACCCACCTTCAGCTCTGACCACTCGACGGGACTTTCATGTGGCGCTTTAACGTTTGACTTCCTACGCACTAAAAATCATTTTCAGAGAGAAAAGTCCTGGCAGCAATTACCCGCCCCATCAAAGTCTAACTAACAAGTCAAATAAGAAGGATATCCTCGTCGATTTGACTGGTTCGGCTGACTCTGTGCTGTTTGTATTAGCCACACAAGGGGGAAGATGGTGAGTGATGTGCAACAGGTTCTTCAGAGGAGGTCTGGAAAGGAGTTTCCATTTTACCATCATCCATCTTCAGTGGGCTCAGACTCACAGAGGTTTCTGGATCATTTTTAAAGACGGTCAGTGCGTCAACATGCACAGCTTAATCAGACTGAGCTCGTAATTGACTTTGAGACCATGCAGGGATTTCCACTACAGAGGCATGTCTGTTAGGATTGAGGACTGGAAAAGAGACTTCTTCTGAATGGAGCAAACATTGTTGGTTAGTCAAGAGTCAAGAGGGAAGAAAAGGAACTGCTCCTTTAACTTTTTAAAGCTGTCCATATCTAAGGAGTTATAAAGGCTCCAGATCTAACAATCTCAGGGTCTCCACAAGAGCGTGAGATGATTTAAAAGGGTGACCGAGCAGAACCACACAGGTCTTGATTTACAGGTGTGTCACTCAGTGCTGACTGGATGAGTAAGATTGAGGATCCAGGCAGCCAGATTGGGTTTGGTCCAAAGGACGGCTGGGCTCAGACGGTGGGATGAAGGTACGAGCTCAGAGTAGACCCACTGATCTCTTGTCAGAAAGGAGTCCAGCTGAGGTGGTCATGGCATCTGACTTTGACGCCTCCTGGGAGGATTTGAAGGCCGGTCAAAATGCGAGGAGACCCCAGGGATTATATTCCTCAAAAGACCGTTAAAAGCTTCAGAAACTGCTGGAAAAACTGGACGACTTTAGAGGAAAGGCTCTGTCCTCAGCAAACATCCCATCAGCCACCTTACCATCATACTGGACAACATTTTCGGTTAGTGATGAAAAGCAGCTCTTGTAAAGAAGAACCAACACACAGGAACGGACCACAACAACAGATCAGGGTCTAAAGGGATTTATTAACCAGAGAGCTTCAACCTCGAGAGGTCAGAGATCACCTGGAGGTTGAGGTTCTTGTGTGTTCGGCTCATTTCTGCTCTCAGAGGTTTCTGACCTAAAAGACCGCAGACACGACACACAACACACACAGAAGCTCCTTTACAGTTCACACCCAGTTCACTTAATGAACTCAAGGGGATGCAGAAATTTAACTTTAATCCTGGTGAGATTAAGATCTTTGTTGGTACTCTCATGTTTTTATAAATTAGGTATATGGAAACTGGATGTAAACACATCATGTCAACCAAAGTTTTGGGTCCAACTGTCCTGAAGCCTCCAGTTTGACATTTCAGCCGTGAAATCTTTCATTTGTTTGTTTAGCCAGGAGGCTTCAGAGCGATGGGAATTTTCGCACGCCAACTCCTACCGGATCCATTTGTGAGACAAATTTCATGGCAGATTACAGACAGCAAGAACTCACAAGAACCTGCAGATTCACGTGCAATCGTGCGATAACGAGTTGTCTCTGTAAAGACAGCCACAGAGGCTAATCATATAAGCAGTAGATTGTGTCCTTCCAGAGGAGGAAATCTACTTCTAGACTTCTAGAATCAGCATCTCCTCATCCATGGTGTCATCGGGGTGAAATGCTGTCTGAAAACCTTTTGTTTTATTTTGTGTCTGTGCCCGACTTCCTTTCCAGCACGGGTTAATCTGAGCTGAATTTATCCGGCATGCTCCGGCATCAAGAACTCTTGCAATCAGCTGCGAAGTCCAGCGATCCGCAGTGGAACAGAAAGAACCTGGTGGAAATTGACACATCAACTTAAATAGTTACGATCAGCTACCATCAGCAGATACGGCCTTTTGGTAGCCGTTCCTGATGTGGTGGTAATTGGGGGTAAGTGCCCACTTCAGCTCCGCCTTTCTGTTGGCAAAATTAGGCTAAATCAGTATTTCCAGTATGGTGACCTCCAAGATATCACACCTAAAAATAAGGCCTGGATTTCTTGTAATGATACCAGTGTGTTCTTGAGGACATGTCATGCTGTATTTTAGGACAACTGCGCAGTTATTTGCACAAACACACAACCATGTGGTGCTGTGTGTGTCGGAGGGCTTGTTTTAAGAAGAACTGCATTCTTGTCACATACTGTGAATAGCTGTAAGTATTTCAGCACTTTCCGTCTTATTTCCAAATGGTCACCCACACAAAAGTGCAGCACAGAGCCTGTGGCATCACAGCTGAGCTCAGAGTCTGCAGACGTATCACGACCTGTCCTCCATGATGTGATCTCTACAGACAGAAATGTGACCACAGACATGAACATGTTGGTTTTACTTCAGATGAAATCTGATGCTCTCTGCATGTGCTGGTGAGAAGAAAAATATCCAGTTTAACAGTTTCTGTAGCCGTCTAAATATGCATCAGACATCACTTTTGCCATGGCAACCACCTCTTTCCCGCCAGTGATGCCTCTCAGTTGACCAAAAAGAGTCGACCGCCATCTGGACCAACAGGCGGAGGAAGGAGGGAGAAGCACGCACACACATGCACACACGACATGGACAAAAATACACTGAAAGAAGAAGAAAAGAGATTTTAATGTCGGGAAAGTGGAGAAAACTGAAGCAGAACACAAAGAGAGAAAGATTGGATGATCTGAAACCCTGGATCTCAGATTAGCAGCCTGTATGTTAATAAAAATGATCAAATATGGGACAGAATTTTAAAAAATGGAGTGTTTGCGATCAACAACAAATCAGTTAACACGTCTGTCTGTAAGTTTGATATGTCCACTTTGACCATCAGTAACTTATTTCATCATCCATGCTGTGATCTGAGTGGTCAGGGGTACCATGACAACGAATAGTGTCTGAAAGGGGAGGGTGCAGAGGTGGAAAAACACCCGAACAGGGCGAGTGCTCCAGAAGAACCGTCGCTAGTACCTAACTGGAATAAAAAAAAGTCATATGGCACGACTGGAAAGACTCCAGCTCATGTTTATTTATCACTCTGAACGACGTCTCTCACTTTTTATCCAACAGTCATTAGCTTGTTAGCGCTCATTCACGCCTCTTCCTCGTCACGCTCATTCTGTCCCTCAGCTTTTCAGGCACCGACAAAAACTCACACCTGCCTCCTCCTCTCCCTCCTCCTGCTCCTCTCCCTGCTCTCCTTTCTCCTCTCTTTTCCTCCTTTCCCTGCTTTTCTCTCTCCACCTTTAGCAGTATGAATTAAAGTCCTGTCATTACATCACCACAGGAGCTAATTAAAAACAAGCTAAAGGATGACTCCAGTATATATTTGCACGAGAAATCTGTTTGGGATCATGTGGGACCATCGACTGTATATAGAATTAGACCCTCCAGGAATCATCACAGATTTTAAAGTCCTCCGTGGAACTTAAAGTAGCCCGCAGAATACAAGGCGAGGTGCAGAATATTATATTTTACATGTAGTTTTCATCCTGGCCACTAGATGGCACGGTCAGATAGACGGGAACGGGAACTCACAGCCGAATGTGGAAAGGTTTGGCATCGCCTGGTTGCTTGTGCGATCTGGTGCGTATGCGTGAGAAGGATCCCAGGTGGAAAGGCGGGCTGTAGAGTGGATGGCACATTTTTAATGGAGTAAAAAAAAACACAGCGTATGATGAGCGACAGCGAGCAGCTCCAGCGACATTTGAAATGGAGCGATTTCTCCGGCAGAATCCTCCGACGCCAGCAGCAAAGCGGTATATTTTTATATCTGAGAATCACAGCTCCAGGCATTTGTGTTCCTATGATAGTTTGGTGAAATATTCCGCACTTGTATTTGTTTACATTTATTATCTGACTGTTGCTCCATTTTGTGACAGTATAATCTGCACCAGATTATTCCTGAAGTTGCTGCAAATAAATCTGCCCAAGGGGGACAAAGAGAATATTGATGTTGATTGATTATTAACAAGAGCGTTTCATAGTGTTTTGGTTTTGCAGTTCATTTCATAAGATATTTTTTCTTTATTATGACATGAAAAAATATGTTTGCTTCAGAACTGGAAATTTTAGGTTGGTTTTTTAATGTCTGTGGAATCTTAATTTTCAAGCCCCGGATTTCCGCGGAATCAAGAATCGCACTCCGCAGAATCAGGATTGTTCTCTGCGTTTGTTCTTTTGAATGTATTGTATTTTGAATGGACTTTGATTTGCACACGATCTTTTCCAAATGCTAGAAACCGACGTCGGCTGATTACATCGGACGCAGAGACGGTGGATGATGAAGGTTCGGAGGTTACGGTCGCTGACACAAACATCCCGACACTTCCCCTCAGAGACCGAGCGCCCTACATTCAACCATCAAACCCACTGTTACATAAAAAAACCACCACCACACAAGCCGGCTTGCTGCCTGTTGCTAAGCAACGAGCCCTGGAGCCCCATCGACGAGTCTCGCTGGGCAGTGGCTGTACCTGAAAGTGCTCAAATAGGTCAGCGAGGACAAAAGATGAGAGACGAACTTGAAAAAAACAGAAAGAAAGGGAGGGAAAAACAGCATGAAAGCATGTCCCTGGGACTGTGTGGGTCTGCACTCAGCATTATGTGAGTAATGAGGTTTGTTAGTCAGAGGAGGCTGGCTGAGGGAAAAACAGAAGGAAGAGGGTCTGTGACGAAGAACGACAGGCAGGAGCGAGCTTCTGTCAGGAGTATGAGATACACAAGGCGTGATCGAAACCAACCAGCCGAGGACGAGCGGCGTTTTTCCAGGAGTCGACTCCATATTTGATCATGTTGGTGCAAAGAGCAAAAAAAAAACCCTGCTGAGGTGTTCGGTGAGGTTATAACTGAGGCGACATTTCGAGAACAAAACAAACAAACAATCGTTCATAGGTGCCAGTCTAGACTATAACCTGTTTACCCAACATTAAAGGGATATTCTGCGTAAAATTAAGTTAGGGACAAACAAACCGTAACAACGAGTTAGACACCCCTGAGAGAGATGAATGTTGCCGACTGCTTCTTCTCTAGTTATACCAACTTTAGTAACGATTGCAGGATAGCAATACAGAGTCACACGCTTAACCAAAACGCCACTCTATAGCCACAAATAATGCTCAGAACAGCACCTAACTTCATCAACAGGACATATAGGGTCACAGCCATAGTACTAGACACCAAACATCTTTTTAACTTTGACTCATTTCTTTAACAAAGAGACTAAACACAACTCACCTACTCTCTTCCAGCAGCTGTTTGTTTGTAGCGAGACCTCAGGCCAGTCCATTACGGACTACAGCGGGGTGACGCAGCTCAAGGAAGAACATTTATGATCATTTCTTCATCATTTCCTTAAAGTAATAATCATCATATTAATCATTTTACATGAAGAAATGATCATGAATGTTCTTCCTTGAGCTGCACTGAAGTCAATGGACTCGCTAAGCTAGTTGTTACTTAAGTTGGTATAACTAGAGAAACAAGCAGTCGGCAACATTCATCTCTCGACGGGGTGTCTAACTCTAATTTTACGCCGGAACATCCCTTTAAGATGGGATAAGACTGAGGTTTGATTCATAAAAGGTCAACCAGGAGATGACCTGGAAGTCCTGAAAGTCTTGAAGTCTTGAAACTTACGAACACAAACAAAATCCTGGTCCAGTTAAATCCACTAACGGAGCTCGAACCCTTTTCTCACTGCAGATGAGGGTGAAAACTCTCAATTACCTCCTTTTCTCCATTCTTCCTCACATTCGTTGTAAAATCTTTGAGTGATGATCTGTAGTGAGTTCATGTCCTATCTGACTGACTGACTGACTGACTGACTGACTGACTGACTGACTGACTGACTGACTGAGGGCATCTGAAGTTCACATTAATATTCAGTCTAAGCCCACAAAAGCAATTCTTCTGTTCGGAGTAAACAGCAAATCCTGCGTTAAATCCTGTAAAGGATCATGTTGGTGAGCGCGACGACAGAGCTGAGCCGCTTACAGTCGCACAATGAGGATGTCTGTCCAAATGCCACATGCCGTACCTCAGACTGTTTTCCTGAGCATGAGAGGGTTAAATACTTACGCAGAGACAAACCTTTATTTCCGTACGGGGAGCTGTTGGATTTAGATACAACTATGAAGCATCACTTGTATTTTGCGAGCTCGTGTTACAAACCCCGATGTTGGCTCTCCAGTCGCTCTTTTTTAACTCCGGCTCAACAACAGATCTTTACTCTGTGCCTGAATTATTCACGTCTCGCTCATCAATGTTTGATTCCACATTTTACGATTCACTTTCTACCCTCAGCGCTTCACTCATGATACGCTCCCTTTGAAACACATGAGGAGTCCTGAGCGGTGATTAAGAGGAGGAGGGATGAAGGTGTGTCAGTCGAACGACACACACACGTGGAGGGCTCGGGTTTTAGGGTTTCAGATTCTTTCAGAGACTTTCTTTAACCAAGAGGGATGTTTTAACACGAGGATTCACAGTCATGTCGTGTCCGTCTGCAATCCTGTTTTAGTTTAGATTTAACAAATTGGGATTTCTTTTTACATTTGCACCAAAATTTGAGAGTGTAACGGTTACAAACTCAATAAAAGTCATTCATTAGTATTTCTGCAAGTCGTCTCTAAGTCTGCGGACCAAACTTTGAAGGATCACTGAAAGTTACGGACCAGTGCCAGAATCAACTCTGTCCCTGTTCTGTCTCTGTCTTTCTTAAAGTTGATTTTTTCATCATCGCTCTTCGGTGGAGTAACTTTTGAGTCTGAACAGCGCCCTCTAGTCAGTGTCTTGCCAAATGCCTATTCTTACCCGGGAATCCCACGGCTCCGCTCTGGACCGGATCGGATCCGTCTCCGCCTTCGGAAGAGAAGCACTTGCAAGATTACCGATATTCCTCATGAGACTGGACGAGATCTCACGAGATCTTGTGTGCTTCCCCATGAGACATAGGGAACCGAAGCCACGCCCACTTCCGCGTTAGCGCTATAGGTCCTATTGGGATAATAGGAGTGAATGGACAGGTCTATGGTATTTTCTGGTCCGCTTTGTTTTACACCCTGAGTCACAAATATGTTGTATTTTAACTTAAATGATAACCATTAAGGTAAATAAAGGCTATGTTTGTTGTGTAATTGTTGATCTATTTGTCTTTGAAAACACGTAAATGGAGAGACTACAGACCTCAAGAAGTCGCTTAAATGACGTCACGTCAGTATTTCTACTTCTAGCTAGCTGACAACTCCTGTCAACTCGTTATCATTGCCAAAATGCCTGTGTGTTTTGTGCCAGAATGTCACCATAATAGTTCAGCAGGATGTTCCTTTCACCGTTTCACCGCCATCGTCGTCTGTCAAAGCTTAGACAGTGACGCAAAAATAGTGCGACGAGCGGTGTAGTTCATTACGTGGTCTCACTCTAAATTAAACTGTAGTTATAGCAACATGTCTAAAATCACGGCTTTTTCGAGGTTAAAATGTAAATTTAAACATGATAAACATTATATGTGAAATGTGTAGGGGCTTCGGTTCCCTATACCAAAGCGGACCAGTAGTTATATATATCTGTCCATTCATTTTGATGGGCTCCATAGGACCGTATGCTAACCCGGAAGTTAGCATGACTTCGGTTCCCTATTGAATGAGATCCACCGATCGGTGTTTATAAACACCCACATCCCACAACCCTGACCTCTCCTATTATCGAGCGAAGAACAGTTCAATGTATTGACTTTATTTTATTTTATTTTGAAAATTAACCGGTTATTTTACTCTGTAACTGCATACAACTTCCGCTGCGGCTCGACCTGCGCTGCACTGAATTCATGCGTCGTACAGCAAACATAGAAGCCTTGCGTATCTGATCCGCCTGCTGTACCAGAGCGAAGCGGAGCCGTTCTGGATCCTGTGGGTTTTGCCCGTTTTGCTAAAGACACATGGAAGTTTGAAGACAGTATTGAATGCGCCGTTTAAAATGTTCAGATCTATTTTCTATAGATCTATAAGAGGACGACACATCAGATCAACCACCAACCAACAAACAACCAGATTAGGGTCTGGATTCAACAGGTCGGAGGTTTTCAAAGCTCATTGTGGAGGCAGGAAACCATGAGTTACTCGAACTGTGGGTGCTGTAGGAGTTACCTAAACCATTCAGACTAAAGCCATTCTTGAACCGGACAGTAAATATGTGTTTCTCCAAAAAATGAGCTTTATTGAATGATTGTGTGTACGTGGTTTCAGCCTCGAGTGGACGCTCAGGGAACTGCACTTTTTAGTGCTTTTGCAACACATCAGCTTCAGTTCTCAAGACTGGAGGTTGCCGCCTGGTAACGCCATGAACTTCTGTTGCAGTTGCTGCATCAGCCTGATATTAAGACTCACCTCTCTGTGACTTTGGCCTGAAACGTCTCAGAAGATAAATATTTAAAATACGTTTTAAATTTTAAACATTTAAAGTTCATTCAGTCGTGTTTTTTCACTGAATAAAAGTGGGCAGGGATTTTTAGTCTGATAGGATGAGTAAGCAGAAATACAAATCGTTTTGTCCACAGGGGGCGCCAAAACAGAAAGTTCCTCACAGGTTACTAGAAGTGAATGTGTTACTCTCTTTCAAACTTTGGTCTCCTTCCTTTTGTCCTTTTTTAGCTCCTGTTCAAACTAATTTAAAAAAGCAGACCATGAACACTAAACTGTGTCGAAGTCGTCATCCTAAACTTGTACAGTGAGAGGTTTACCTGAAACGACTTCCTGCCTCTGCCTCCGCTGACAGACTGAAACAACAGACGCCTTGTTAATTTCACACCAAAAATAACCTCCACTCAAAATTTCCTGACAACAGTCGCAGCAGCGCCTATCATCACGCCGGCGAACTTGAAACGATCCGAAAATAGTTCCTCTCTCTACGAATTTCTGTCACTTCTCAGCCCATAAACCTCTTAAACTCCAGCAGAGACGAGGAGTGAGTAGCGCCCTCCATCCCCGGAGAGACACTCGAGGTAGAATCTGTGAATCTGGGACAGTCGATGGCGCTCGGGATGACTGACGCAGGCGATTGTGCAGCAATCTGCTGTAATCACTGAGCTTAACTATCCATAATTCAGGAGAGCGAGGGCCGCGTGATTCACAGGACGGGCTGAGTTTCGGTAAAGCAGGAAAATAATTCATCAGAAACCTCGCTCCTGAGGACAGCGGCAGGACTCAAAACACGACGCAACAAAATAAGGGACATTTAATTAAAGGTGGAGGAAACGATGCATCACAACAGTGTGAGGAAATGACAGCATGAACCGCCTTTAATTGAAGACATAAATCAGACGCTTCTCAACTTAATGGTTAGTCAATTTAATGATGAGACAAACATGTCAAAGTGTCTCGAACACAAACCTTTTCCTGCTGTAGACTCAACAGTAGAAGTGTCTTTTCTTTGTCTTAGAAAAGGGTTATTTATTCTAAATTATGTTTAAATGATGGTTAAATAAAAACAAAAGGCTGATCTATACTTTAAAATATTCATATTAAGTTTTAAAATGTTTTAAGTCCATCCTAAACTTCAGCAAAGTCTCATTAAAATGAGATACAGGGGTGTTGGTGTGATCTCTGGACCTGTTTGTCAGCTTCACCAAAAAGCTTGTTTTGATAACTTAGTGAGACTCAGTTTTAACCTGATGTCATGCTCTGCCGTCCAATCAGGACAAAGTTAAAGGACACGCCCACCTAAAAGCGCTTTCAAAATACCACCTTGTCCCGAAAGTCCAGTTTTCTGTTCGTCCTTTGTTGAGTCAGAAAGTTTCTCTAAACGTTGTTTGTCGGTGAAGGGAAGTTGAGACTATTTTGTCGTCTTAAAAACACACACACCTGTCAAAGCGGGAAGGTTTAACTCTTTCAAGACAACAGTCTCAACGTAGCAGTTCATGCTCGCCGCTGATCGATGACTCCTCTGTAAACAAAGGCCAGTATGAGCTTGATTAGAAACTACACTGTCAAGACATATCGTGAAGGCTCAGAACAGCAATGTACGTATACAACAGGTAGCTTGTATAGGCGGTAAAAGCTTCACATGTTTACTCTGGTGAGTTGACTGATATTTGTTCATCAGGGCCGATATTGATCACAATATTTAGTAGTTTATGAGGAGATGTGGGCTTCGAAGTTTATTATTCAAAGCATGACTGCTGTGAAATGATCTGAAAATGTGTTAAAATGTCTATGAGACTCAGCTGCTGTTGGACTGCATCTTTCAGTTGGAGCAGATTTAGGTCCTGCGGATCTAATTTCAACACCCTTCATGTATGGAAGCAAATTTGTGTCATAATTCAAATGAAATTTGACTTTGGAAAGGAAAAGGCATACTGCATTTAAATTTTCAGATTTGACATTTCAAATTGAATTCCGGTTCATATTTGCTCAAATGGATTTTTCTTTTACATCTGAATTGAGTTACAGAATAATCAGTTTTGAAAAAGAAAAATCAATCGCAGTTTGGATCATTTATTTTTAATTTTATTTATGAGTCAAAAGTGCAGGTCCATTCTGAAAATGCAAATTTGTTTCTGTTTATCTATTTTCATTTGAATTATGATACAAATTTGCGTCCATATCGAGCACCTTTTCATACTATTTACTGTAAAATCAATAAGAGACGGTGTCATTTTAAGTGGTTTTTAATTGTTTTATTATGTTAAAAAGTCTCAAGTATTAAAAATATTGACTTCCTTATTCTAACCAATTACTGCTTTAATCTATAAATTGTCATCTTGTAAATGTAATAAACAGGAAATGTTGACATCTATCTGACAGTCATCTGGACCCTCAGTTTCCCCCCCGCTGTGGTAAATGTGTTAAAGCCGCCTCTGTGCTGCGCTCTGATTTGAATCCTCAGTAAACCTAATTGTACGTTCCAGCAGAGAGTCCTGTGTTTCCAACAAGCAGAGCTCAAGAAGATCAAAGATTTATTCGTTTTTAATCAAAACCCACTCAGCCCGACTCTATTTTCTCTCCGTGGTCCTCAGAAGCACTGCTGTTGTTGCCTGGCAACCATTACACCAATGAAAATATAATGAACGAAAGCGAGAAAGACACTGTAATCTTTGTCCCTCCTGCTACGAAGCTGACTGAAAATATCTCTGACTCTACCGACTCTGAACGCTGGAGCTCCTTTTGTCTCTGATATTACACCTC